ATTGTCGCTCTAGTGCTGTTCAGGGTTATGACACTGCGCGTAACGTTTGTGTGACGTTCGATTATATGCTATCGAAGTTGATTTTATTGCCAGCCAAATATTACCGCTGACTACCGCTTCCGATCTGTGGGATCTGATATAAATATTCCATCTGACTAAGGTGAGCAACATAAAATAAAGCAAGATGTTATTGTTAGGTCGTGAGATAAATCGTTAAAATATTATTAGTATTTAATGAAGATGTAACTTACCTAAACAAAAAATTTACTTTATTTCCAAACTCGAGTTAAAATTTTATAGTTTACTTCATTTATAGATAATCGTCGTCGAAATTTATACAAAGGTTTATGGAATAGTTTTTTAATAAAAAAAAATATTCGTAATTAAAAAAGTATTACAAGATAAAAGTTAAGAAAAACTAGCCATTAAGAAAGGAACTTTAAAAGTTTTCATTTCATCAGAAATAAGTGAATCGTTGAGCATTTATTTCTTCAGATTTAATTAATTATAAAAAAAAAAAAACAGATAAGTACAAAATTTTAAATAACACTAAAATTGCAACACAAATGCTAAAAATATTTAAAATTTCTAGAGCCTACAATTAAATTCCTTTTTGTGCAAGACAACGCCGAACCTTTTCGTAGCTAAGTGTAATTATCCATCCGAGTTTGCGAGCTCCGAGAAAGAATTGCTCGGTTGTGTATGTGGGGGGATACGGGGGGCGGAGAAGGGTGGGGGTGGTAGGCTCACATGGGACGCGCTCTAATGAGGTGCCTGAAAGCGACAATGTCTTTGAGCAAGGCGAACGTGTAGGTATCTACATACGGGGAGGAGCTCTCCCATCTACTTCTGTCTGTAATGTGCGCCCACTGATAGCTTGTTTATTGTGGTAAATAAACGAAGTTGACTTTCGCTGTTGACTCAGGATATTATCAAAATTCAATACATGGCATATTGAAACTACAGGATTTAGTAATTTAATAAGTACGGCAGTTACTAAAGTGATTTTATAAAGATCCTTGTATTTCTAGAACGAAGCCTTGTATTTCTCAAACGAAATCTCATTAAAAATAATGATGTCTTTATCACTGAAATTAAGAGAATTAATACATATGATACTATTCATGTTTATAGGCGATGGCTACCACTTACCATCAGGTCTGCTTATTCGCCATTCTAAATACATATGAAAAGTATGTAGATACATAATAATCAATTTAAAGTAACTTCCAGTGCAACACAGCCAAACTTTGTTATGACCTGAATGTCACATTTTCATATCTACTGTTGTGTACAACTTTTAATGAGAATAAATAATTTGAGGTTCATGAGCTCGCTGTACCTAGTTAACTTTTGAAATAATCATAACGATTTTTAAATCAAATTAAATTACCAACATGCCTTTTTTTATATCACACAGTTGTGATTTAGTAATCGTGACATATTTAGAGTTACATAAGACGCTATGTTGTGGCCACGATATTTCTCTGTCTATAATATCACGAACCTAAACTTGTAAACGGTATGAATATATAAGCTTGTTTACCTTTCGTGTAGTTTCATAACCTGATAGTATTAATAAGGTAGTAGAATTTTATTAAAAATATTCAATAACATTAATGTACTATCACGTAGGTACATACTCGTATTTCATAATAGTGGAAATTGAAACATTTTCCAAAGCAGCCAAATACTTCATAAATGAGTCAGGTCAGGATGGGGGCTTAGAAACCATTATGGTTAATTAATTCCTGGAAAATTCGTCACATGGACAATCTGATCTGACTTTATCCTACTTTAACTATATTACCATTATGTTGCGTTTTCATCTATTTAAAAGTAATAAGTCTTCATTTATTTTGTTTTCCATTTGTTTTGCATTTTACCTAATCTAAACCGTGTCATAACTCGGTTTTGAAGTTTTTTTTTATTTAATATTAGAATTATTGTAAGATATAAACAGCGGTTCTACCTAATCTCTATACAAAGCTACCTAAGTGAAATTGATTGCTACATTTGAATATAAAAGTAATAAAAATAAATTCTCATAACAGCAATCAGCGTATGGATATTGGATATGTATCAGCTCTCGACTAGCGCAGGGAGATATCGAGGGACGAGGCGAGGCGCGAGGCCGCGCTGTGCGAAAGCGCGGGGTCGATCGCGCCTTCCGGTCCACAGCCGGTTTTAATTTCCCGCGCGAAGCGGCGGCGCGTTAAGTTTAAACGGCCGGAGATGAGCCGCACACGTACTAATATCATGCACGGCCCGGGCCGTCGCCATAGCGACGCACACTCAAATGACGTGTGTGGCGCGAGGCGCGAGACCGGGTGTGAGGCCGGGGGTAATATGATTTGAGCGCCCCCGGCCGCCGACACCCCGCCCGCTTGTTTGCTCTCCGATGCAATCGCGATACGAACACCCCCGCGCGCCCCTCGCGACACGCCGCTCGCGCCTTGTCCAGCGACACATCTCTCACCTCCGCCGTCGATAACCGCATCGGATTCCTTGTTGCAAGCCACCGCATTCTATTGAAATAGATACTCGCACCCGCCTATCCACCTACTGCTCCACTCGATTTTCATGTTATCCCAGGTCGCACGATTTCCAGCAGGACAACGACGCCACGAGACATATCCCTTCGATGTCTGTTCATAGCATCTGGTCATGGTGTCCTCGCGGTAGGTATATCAACATAGAAACTTATAAAAAAATGATTGGAACATAAACACATAGATAAACTCACTTCATACTCGTGAACTTTCGACGAGTACACTTGTAACCAAGCAAATATTTTTTTGAAATATATTACCTTTACATAGGTATTAATAAATCAACTTAGCAACCTTAGGATACGACCTTACCAAGAAGTCTTAAAATGCATCGTTTTCAAATGCTTTCTCGACATGTAAAAGTAATGTTCTCAATATAAATGTTCAATGGTTAACAGCCAGCTAGTATTGCCTGTTAAAGTGGTTATAGTACTAATAAATCAATCATACTCTCCGCAACAGAGTAACAAACTGCGTCATACTCTCGTGCATTTTGCGTAGTGACTCAATTCGCTTAGTTACGGAATCCCACAAGTTTAGTGGCGACCAGCACTGCAGCGTGCAACAAACCAGTGACAATTACGCGGTGCCGGGGTTCATTAGTTGCAAACGCGCCGGTTCATGTATCATGTATAGCGCGTCTTCAACGCCACCGACCGACGGGACAATAAAGCAATCAATCCGCATCGCTCGCCGTCCGCAAACGAGCTGCTAGCGACACTTCGCGTAACGCTGACCACGCTATATCCGCACACAATAATGTTGTTTGTCACCAATATCATCGCAGACAACAAAATAACTAGCTTTATACCTGAGTGATCTTCAATTTTGATCTACGAAATTGAAGGTCTCTGCATATCGTACAGGAAGACCTATTTCCCAAAATGGAGTACGCTTTTATATAAGGCTATCCTAACAGAGTTGTGGGATTGAATAGTTAGAGCCGTTTGTGCTGCAGTAATTGCAACGCGGACGCCGGGGGCCGCGGATAATGCAACACGTGATATATGGTACTACAGCTAATAACAGAGCTCGAGCTTTGCACCGATTATCCCTTTACTCGGCGAAGACGAATTCGTATCGATCGTTGCGACGTTCGCTCTCACCTAATGAGAGCGGGATTTACTACTCATTATCCACTTTCGCCGGTTGCCCGGAGCGCGATGAAGACGTCGCGGGCTCGGTGCAATGCCGCCGGCGCACAATTTGCTGCGCTCGAACGCTAGACGCCGAGTGCCGCGCTGGAGCCCGCAATGCCCGCAGCGCACTTTGTGTTTTATCCCCGGTAATTGCGGCCCGACGCGATCTACCTTCTAACGGCCACCACCACACGATCAACGGTAGTGGATAATTGCGCTATTGTTGCTGAGCCCCGCGCGACTAGCTTACAAATCGCTTTCAAGGAAGTTGCTACGTTCGGCTAAATTAGAAGGTTCAAGACATCCACTTTGTTATTTGAACAATTAAGTTAGATAAGAAAATTAATAGTTATACTCGTATTGAAAGCGATCGGATAATGCCTTATTGCATGTGAGACATACTATGTGAGATAATGATATCGGCTTGTCCGTAAATTTTAGATATTGAGTTCACTTTTAGTTTACAATTTATCAATCCTTATTTTGTTCAAAACTACATATCTATTTTTTTTCCATATTACATGTTATATGTAAGTAGGAATATATATAGAAGTTAAAATCGAAATCATTAGCTTACTTTTATCCGAACTGTATTTGCGAACCTTTGTCTCTTCCAGGATGCTCCTCTCTTTTTTTTGTCTTTTGTCGATCCATGTTTCCATAGGCGTATTTAAGAGCGGGCCGAAAGAGCACTGCTCACCGTAGAATTGTCTGACGCCCACTCCTGTATCCAAACAAAACTTCGCAAAAATATGTTTGAGAAAACATTATTTTTTTAAACGCCAGGACTTCCCTAAAATAATCTTAATTACGCCAATGCTTGTTTCTTTAGAAAAAAATGTTCAGTTACATTAGCAAAACGTGCTGAACAGATGCTAATGATTTCTATTTCGTACATACATATATATATTCGAATTTTATTTATTTCCTGATCTATCAACAACTCTTTTAGGTACTTGACAATGAGCATTTCCTTGTCTATTGTTGATATAATTAAATATATGAACTTTATACAAATTTACAGTTGCATTCAAATCTCTAACAAAATACATAGTGCATAGATTAAAAAAAAAACATTTTGTTTTAAAATCTGCATAGATTACTCTCATTATTTATATTTATTACCTCCATTTACTCTCTCTGTTAAGCGTAACGGTAGACTGGTAAAGAATGCCATCAGGCATTAAGTCCACCCAATAGACATATTTTAATTTGTGTAAAAGTATAAATAAATAAAATAATTTAGATTACCTAAACTTACTGGAAGTACCCAAAATTTTTAATTATATTATCAAATGCCATCGCTCAGGTGGCTCGGGCGTGGCTCAATGTTCGTGCTGTCAGAAGCCCAGGCACGGTTGTTACTGCGGTCCGCAAAGATATCGGGCAACGCAGCGGAGACTGTAGTTGACGTTGGTGCTGGCGATGGCGAAGTTAGCCGCCGTTTCGCAAATCTCTACTCGGTCAAGTACGCCACTGAAATATCTGCGAGCATGCGAAAAGCTTTAAACAATAAAGGATATACGTGAGTAATACCTATACATAAAGTTTTATTTAACTAATTATCACACATTTCCCATAACAATTTTCTTCCTTTGATTCAATGAGTGGAACACAAACAAAACAAGCTTCGTATCTTGCGGTCTCTTTAAAAATTTGCTTTAAAAAAATCTATGACAGCAAATTTATAGCAAACATACGTATGTTTTATTTGCTTTATTATTAACACATGTATGTGTTAATACAATAATAAGACTCGATGCTTTATCACTAAAGTCTGAGTAGGTGAACAGCTTCCGTACCTGACTAGAAACAGTGATATTGCTATAATAACATATCTATTCAAATTAAATCTTTATAACCTTGACATTAGAGACATAATTGAAGCTGATTACGCAAAAAATAGCCACATTACATAAAATCTCCATAAAACATGGCCGTCTTCTGTGTAATTAGCTCCAAATATACAAGTACTTTTCAGTATCTACTACTCTCAAAATTTTGAAAATAATACTCCCATAATGTTACATATTTTTGAGCAAATGTTATTAATAAAGTTGATATCAACATTAAGATAAAATAATAACACTTTTCAGGTTATTGGACACAGAGGATTGGTGGCGTGGACAGAAGTTCGACTGCGTATGCATGCTGAACCTCCTAGACCGGTGCAGTAAGCCGAAGACGATGCTGAAGCAAGCGCGTGCTGCCCTCGCACCTGGTGGTGTTTTAATGCTCGCGCTCGTGCTACCGTACAAACCTTACGTAGAAGGTAATAAACTTTTTTATTGCAGTAAAAATTCAAGACACAAAACACATATAGCAGACTATACTGAAATTGATATAAGAATACCGACTGGGAAAATCACGAATTAAATAAAAAATTCTTTTTGTTAGAAATATAAATAATACAAAACGCCCTCTTATCTCTCCCCTTAGATTCCACCTTTGCCGCGTTGTATTCAATTAATTACTAAGCTACCATGGCAACAGACCCTTTGGCAACAAAACCTTTGACAACTAACTTAGCGTTTAAAATATCGCTAAGTTTTAATACGAGTACAAAGTGGATGATACCGCTAACTAATACATAGTCTTGTTATGGTAGTCAAATAAGAAATCTCCAAGTCACTCAGCGAGCTATGAAAATTATTATGGTCAGAGTTTAGAAGGATATTTTCAGAAAAATCATAGTGACTGATATAACTCGAAGGATCAGTAAGCTAAAGAGAAATGCGCCAGGCGTATAGCTCGATCAACCAAATCGACTGGAACAAAAATTCTTGACTAACAACCTCGTACAGATAAACACAGTGTAAAACTACTTCCCACCAGATAGCGCAAGAACTTCAAATTTATTGCAGAAATTCAGTGAACGTAACTAGCTCTAGCCCATTCCTTACTGTAGTAATCATCTGAATCTGTAACTGTTCAATAGTTCGTTAACATGAACTCTTAGACCTTACTTAATAAGTGTTTATTATTGGTGTACATATTTACCAGTGGGGCTAGGGGCTAGGCCCTTAACAAAGTCGTATGTACCTATCCTCATATATGTACTTTGCGTATAGCTAAAAGTTCTACTTGGATATTGGGGTGATCACTAGACACATCATCATCATATCAGCCGTTGACTGTCCTCTCCTGAACATAGACCTCTGCCATAAGGGGGGTTTTGCCAGTAATTACCACGCTTGGCAAGAGGATTGGCAACTGCAATTACGCTATGGTGATGTTTTAAAAGGAACGCTGTATCCCTCGACCGTTAAGTTCCCTAAGTCACTTCTTACGACAAGGAAAAAGAAGGGATGGGCTATTCTATGCCGAAATCACATGGCATATTTACCTCTTTATCAGACAATTACCCCCCTTAAATACGCCTAAGGTATTCACACTATTTATGGTATTCATCTATTATCTAAATTCGTTTTACTTTTATTTACAGTTACTCCAGACCACAAACCAGAAGAACGTCTTCCGATCCAAGGCGCGAACTTCGAAGAGCAACTCAGTTCATTCGTCGAGTTTATGGGGGAGAGTGGCTTTGAGCTTTCTTCCTGGAGCCGCGCCCCTTACCTCTGCGAAGGTGATTTCGCGCAGGCCTACTACTGGCTCGACGACTCTGTTTACGTGTTCACACCTAAAAGTATTGAATCGGACACATGAAACAGCTTATTTTAATACATTCCCTGCCTAGTGCAATTAACAATTTTGTGTACAGTTCATCAACAAAATTAATTTTATTCAAAATTTAAAAATAAATTTCAAATGAATAATCATGCTAGAAGCCAGCTAGACGGGGTGAATGCAGCCACGAATTTGTGACAGTGCCCTCAGAATAGATAGAGAATGAAACGCGGAAATGTTTTCCGTGAAATGTTCCATAATATCAGAGTTAAGTTAATAAAATAAAAAGTAGTTATTATGTAGTTAGATAATTATGTTCTATTGACGTTACCTATTGTGTCATAAAAATATGCACACTGTTGAAAAATAACCTGTAATATAAATAATAGGAAGCAATAAGAAGATCCATGGTCGCAAATTAAGTTTTATATACAGATACTTCCCTTCATAAGATAAGAGGAATTCCGAACATTTTATTGATCTATAAAATACATCACGATGAACTAGATTTATATTTGTCCAAGTAAACGCATATCGCTGGTATTTTAGCATTTATGCGCGGAACAGCATTAGAGTGCAGTATAATAATGCATACCGCATTTATATTTGTCGTCAAGTAAACGCATAATCGCTGGTATTTTAGCATATTACTTTGAACGTCCCATTCAAAAGTATTGACAGAGAACATTAAATAATGTTCTCTTGCTTCTTGCTATATTATAATTTTTATAAATTATAAATTTTCTATAAAAATTGTTATATTTTTATATGTTATCCGTGCACGTTGTAATACAATTGTACCTCTATGGGCTAAGTACCTGATAATAAAGAATTATTATTATTATTATTATTACTTTGAACGAGTGACAGAGACTGGCTATAATTAACATAAAAAAACTTTATAATATTTATTTTGATTTAAAGAGCAGAATACATATGACAGAGGAATTACAGGGTACAGTCATAACATCTTGATTCCCAGAAATGGCGATGTATGGGGGAGTATTATAGACATCCTAGTATATTTTGTGATGTCCTGTCTATAAATGTTTTCCATTAGATAAGCTGTGAGTTTGTTTGTCATTCCATGTTGGATAAAAAGACCAAATATTTCATTGTGTGTGTTTCTCTCATAAATACGACATCGTATCGTTTTTGGGTATACTTTTATCAGCTTCTAATGCTGTATATGTGTTGTTGCCTAGAAACTTGAAGTGCTCTTCACACTAGAATCTTCAAGAATGTTGTTGTTATTATTATTATTATAGATAGTAAAGAACATCGCTGTTGAGAACATCATAAAATTCCTGTCACTTTCAGGAATTAGCAGCGAATTCTAAGAAAGGGCAAGCACAATAGATCTCAGAGGTCGCAGTGTTTTTTTTTTTTTTTTTTGCCTGGTATCCTTCAATAATAATAATAGTAAATAATATATAATAATATACATAGTAATCATTTTCATAAATGATAATGCTAAATTAGTAAAAAGGTGTGTTCAAATAAATTATGTATATACTTTGTTCAAATGACTGCTTCCTTTTAGAACCTAGGAGTGTAAGGATTGGGCATACAAAGTAATAACAATAAACAATTAGGTCAGCGATAACCATGGAATAAATAAATAAATAATGAGCTTATAAAGACATTTTAAGTCACATTATTTTAGCTATTTGATCAAAATATTTTCGAATTTATTCGTATTCAGACCAATTTAACAGTTAACTTTTTTATTAATCTGGGTCTGGGCACTTGGCTCCCAAAACAAGCGATAGACTAATCTATTTGTCTATAAGTTTACGCTACCGCACGAAGAAAGTCGATTCAATTTGGTTCTATCTCACACGTTCATTAACACGTAAACTATACTCTTTCTACAAACAGACTCGTATACCATGTGCCTAAAGTACTTGGTCTGACCAATTCTGGCACTGACATTAAATTACCGTTACAGAATGGAGCTGTGAATAAATTCAGAGAGCCTAGCGGGGGTTGTACAAAGAAGTACGTTACGTCACGTGTCGTACGTGGCGCATGTGATCGCGTTAGCAATTCGTGAAATCTAAGTTTCCGAGACTATCCTTAATCTATGATACAAACTTATGGATTAAACGTTAAAGCAATCATATTTCTTAGAGTAACTCACGCTAAGCACTCAGTAATATTAAATCAGTAAAAAACAAATGTTGTAATTTAAGATTGTAATGCCTAGGTATAATAATTGATATTAAATGTACTAACAGAAATGAATATTATTGTCAGAGTAACCTTTCGCTAGTTCAGTGTATTTCTGTATAGGCTAATATGCAATTCACCGCCATGATGTTTTATTATACTAATTACAACTGCGACTCGACTACCTCGCTAGTTAGGTATATAATATACACAATTTATTCAGTTAAAACTGAATTAAATTTATTTTAAATTTTTATTTTTGTAATAAAATCAATTCCGATTAATTTATTATTTAATCATATATGTTGAAAAATTTAAAAAACGCAGTCTTTCCTAAGTAATCCAGTAGGTAGTATTTATTTTATGCAATATACAATTTTATATTTAATTTATAAACGAATTTAATAAATTATTTGAATGTAATATAATAAAATAAGCAGAAACTTATTTATATAATTAAAGCGCACACGTGACATCGAATATTAATGTCAAGTCAGTATGTTTGTACCACTGTAAATAATATTCACTGTCTCACTTTTATACCTTTTTATGTATCAATTTAATATATTAAACGTGTGAAGTGTCAATTTTTAAATGTATCTTATAACGAAAGTATTAAAATATGGGAGTGTATTGATGTTTGTGCCAAATGTTACGTCGTGAATTTAAAATATCACTGTTTAAGATAGGTACAGTTTTTATATGTCAATGTAATATTAATCGAGCCATACACCACCAACCGACCGGATAAAAATGCAATAGTACCCCGTCTGCGCTATAGGTACATGCTGGTGGGGTACCAGTGGGAGATGATAGCATTGATTCATACGAATTCATCAGGAATAAAGAATAATTTTTTCCAAGTAAGACAGCATGGAGGTCGATCTAACAGAACTACTAATAACCACTCCTCACCATCCGTGTCTGATTTACTAAAAACTGTATTATGAACATCACAAAAATTGATATGTTATTGTAGGAAAATTATTTAAAAAAAAAAATTAAGGGTTTCAGCCAAGATGTAGTCGATTCAATTCTCTTCCTACATAAAGCTTTAGCCTTAGCAAAATAAAATTATATTTATTATATAAATAACCAATAATCGCTTTTAGCGACAAGACCAACCATTGTTTTCTCGCTATGATAATTTCTTGTAATTGTTTGTCTATATACGCTTACTACTGTCTTTTATCTTGTATCTTTTGGAGGAAACAATACAGAATATCTATCTATCGAACCAAATTCTAAGCTAATGAAGAACTTAGATGACATTTTATACAATAATCTTGAACTTCGGATAGTTATAAAATCTTCACGTAAACTAAAGCACTACAAAATAAAAAAAAAATATTTCGCTAATGCTAGAGCGTTAACATATGCAGATATAGAATCATTGCCCATTAGTGGTACATCATAAACAAGTACTTTATGTTGCAGATATTTGGTGTATTATATTTGATAACAAAGATTTTGTGAACTAATTAAAAGTGTTAAATACAGTTGCATTGTAACAAGAGGTTATTTAAATTTATACTTTTTATTCACTAACTATAAGCATTATATACATACAATATCTGATGTCCTTTAATTAAAAATTAAAAATAATGTTGTTGGGATGTGCACAAAACATGATGGTATTGAATTAATGTTGAGACGTCAGTGTATGTTTTAACTACAAAATATATTTACAAATTGTTCTCTAAACGTGTTTATACTTTCATCCGTCCTCAGAATAATCCTATAGTTAAGACTTATTTGACAAAACATTAAAACCTGAAATTAATTATGCAAGATGCCGCGTTAGATTTTATATTATCTATAGTCGATCAGACATTGAATGACCAGAATTAAATGCAGGCTACCTTTGTTATTTATCCTTTACATTTAATATAATGCATGCCAAATTTCATGATCGGTTGAGCTGTTGAAGCGCCAAGCTTACGAAGGTAACAAACACTCATATTATTATTACTTGCCTTAGTTATTTACTTTCCTTTCCATCATTATCATTTACTGCAGTGCAAATAGTGACGAGTTACAACAAAGTGAAAGTACAAAAACTTTTATGCAAATATAATTATTTTTGTACCAAATTTCATAGTAATAACTCAAATCTATATCATCGTCTCAAAAAAGTATCACACAGACCAATAAAAAACATAAATTTAAAAAGTATTTTTTGAACAACATGCAGTATATCATTTCATTTCATGTAATTAGGTATAAACAATAATTTGTATTCGAATGTCATGGCAAGTATAAAACAAACATATGGCATTCCAGACACGCCTCTGTGGTTTTTGGTATGCGTGTTTGTTATTTTGGTTTTATAGTGAAAATAAATAAAAAAAAAGTAAGTAAATTTATAGATATGTAAATAATAAATCTGCTTTAGAATACATTTCAAAAGTCAAGCATACAAAACTTTTTATATTTTATAATCAATATTCTTTGGTTCTATAAAATAAAACAATAAGTATTGAATTATATATTTATTTCTAAGCACTGCTTCCTCGATTTACTATATTACCACTTTTACAAATTCAAATGATAATTATAAATATATATATAATAATTTCGGCAAATAAGTTACATGGCAAGGCCAACATTTTTTAATCAATACACTTTTCAATTATTGTACAACCTAGTGTTTTAGATGATACCAAAAAATACATGTTTTTCGTCTACTTTTCCAAGAAATATTGATAAAATAGACGAAATGAAAGGCTACATAGAATTATTCAGCATGTTATCAAAATATATTTATTTTATGACAAAGCAAAACATGCTCTTTAGTGTAGCTTTCGCTATTTATATATTTATTTTTATTATAATATACCACTACTCGCTACAATAAGGAAACAAAGGTGAAATAATAAACAACTGATTAAAAAGATTGTAGATACTTAATAAAAAAGATTGCGCTTTCAATATTTCGAGGTCAGCTGTTTTGTAATTAACCACAAATTAAGCATCTTGTAATTTTGAGATCATTTTAGAAAATAATTCAATTTATGTGAATGCTTATGAATTGTACGTCAATCAATATTTAAAAAATAGTTTCCGATCATAAAACAAAAACATAGCAAATCCATTTTTGACTAGAAAGCTTATTCTAATACAGAGAGATTCTTTTAGGAAATTTATAATACTTTGTCGAGTGTAAATTATTGACAGTTCATGAACTTAACACTATGTGTATTGTTATTTTTTATGAAAACATAAATAGCCTCGTATCATTATTTGGATACTGTTCATACTGTGATAGCAAGAGAACACTATAATGTCTACCGATACCAAATACATGTCTTATAAGTTAAGATATAATGCATTAAACAATAAGCTGCTCACATGATCTTAACGTTACTTGACAATAGTCGAACAGAATATGATGTTTCTTATACAACAATCCAAACAAGTCAAAATCCACAACACAGTCAGAATACCTAATACAACCTAACACGCCCTCCGCGCGATGCGATTATAATTTTATATCATAATTTAGAATTATAGTACTAAGATACAAAAAAAAATAATTTAAAGTAGGCTTTGCCTAATTATTGCACTTACATATGTAGTTTATTATTCCAAAGTGATATTTTGGATATTTATAGCGATTTGTATTCGCAGTACGATTATCATGTTTCGTCCCTACAGACAGATATACATTGATTGCACTATATAATAGTTTATATTTTAATAATACTGAGTTAAGTCATTCGAGAAATGTATTCATTATATAGCCGTATATACTCTTAAAAATATCTCAATGCGTGACAAAAACGTAAATGGTAAATTTTCAAATATATCAATATTAATTGACAAATATAATAATTTAATCTTCATAAATATATATATATATATATATATTCAATAATCATATAACGTATTATTCTATTATTAATACTTTGTGAGGTCATTCTTCATATAGTGATTTTCTTATTAATTTATTTACTAAATATTTTACTGCACTAGATGTTTTCTTGCGAAAGTCCATTTCACTGGTTATTTAATTAGAATTATTTTGTTTAATTTTGCTACCATTAGTATATGTGTGACGAAGCTGCGAAAATTTGCAAAATTAAACGGTTAACACTAAGCTCCGAAAAGCAATCTAATAATTTGCCTGAAGATACCTCGTTTAGAGATGACAGGCGTGACGCAAAAAGTGCGAGAACAAAATAACAGCCGGAGATTGATAGCTAATATGGAAGTAACTACCACTATTACAACCAGAAGATCCAAAACTTCTGGTTCCAAAAAATAACTTGGTTTCAAAAAATAACTCTAATCAAATAACCAGTAATTAATTTCCTGCAAAAACCTCACAAAGTTAAGTTGCTGTCAATGAATAGATAGCTCAAAATCATTTCACCAACATATGGGGTGACCAAGTTTATTAGTAAAGATAATAGGATAATGTAGATAAAATTTTTAAAATTTCTGATAATACATGTATGAATCCGACTGTAGTTTAATAAACCAACGTGCTTAAAATTATTTACAATATAATTAAAGAATTCTAAAATGCCTTTGGAGCGATCACTGCACTGTCTGCAGCACTATTGTAATCATTACATGTATATATTTTGGGACGAGACATTACAATCGTAATAACGATCAAACTTGTTTTATCGCAATGTTATTATATGACGACTGAATTTGAATAAATACTTAAATAAATCAACGGAAACCTTAAAATTAATGCCCACAATTTTATTAAAAAAAAAACATTGAGGTTGTTACCTACCTAGTTGTCACATAATAACGATTCGACAAGAGAATCTTTACATCATACTCTGCACATTGGAATAATCGTGAATATTTACATAATTGCAATACAAAAATTCAGTACTGGCAAATTTTATTTTTGTGCGAAGACGAATTAATAGATACATTACGTACGAATATCTCAATGTGCAGAGAGCTTCCTTAATACAACTTACCAAGCCTAATTTAATACATCCACAGGCAATATTAGCTAAGACGACGTGAAAAAATTTGCAGTCTTCGATAAGATACTAACCTCCCTATGGTTCAAGACAAGATGTGGCGATAAAAGTTGATTAATTGCGTACATTTCAAATACCTAATACAGTGGCCAATGACCATTGCGACATCATTAAATATTCCCATGTGATTCACTTTTATGCTTGAAACAGTCAACACTGGATACGATATACACACTGGGGCCGATACTGAGACGTCTTAACTCTATCTCTAAAATTGTCTAAATGGATTCTAATCTATGACAATGGCAAAAAAACTGTGTAATCTACACCTCTTACAAAATTGTCCTTTTAAAAAAGAAGAATTCGAGATTGATCAATATATAAAACACCCATAAAAATTTGCTAACTGTACAATTTGTAAATCTTGGTGGGAACAGCTTATGAGACGCATCATTTGTGTTGAATGCTTTATGCATTTTATGAATAAAATCTGTTGTTATTTATCAACAAATGTATTTACAAGAGACATATTCAATGATATACTAGGTTCAAACGTGTAACGCGACTCCACTACTAAATAATTTATGCACCTATTTTACATTCATGTCAAGACTTCGCTCAGGCCTACACCTATTACACTTCTATCACAGTGTAAATAATGCACTTACGACAATAAACTGAAATTAAACGTATTGTATTAACTAGGACGAATCATAAAATTGTAATAACTGTTCAAAATCTTATATACTAAATTATTTAACTACAAAAGCAATAAGAGAAACGTACGAACTGTAACAAAGTAAATAAGGCATATATTGAAAAACCCAGTTATGACAAAACAGTAATGTGTAAAGATACAACAAACACCAACAAATAAAATAACAAAATTTGTAAATAAAAAAAAAAAAACAAAATGCCAGAGGGAACATTGTAAAAGATGCACACTCATTTGTGCTAAATACTTAAACATATATACACCACCATTAGGATGTTACAATAGCATCACTGTCCAATTTAATATTATGTACGTATTTCTACAGCAATAAATACCCCGCCACGAATTTCACATTGCAATTAATCGCAATCTTTAAAATACAAAAGTGTATATAGATGAAAATGTATATAAAGATATTAAAAAGTAGTACAAAAAGTCAATAAGTTTAAATAAAAATAATTAAATGTTCATTGATCAATGTTATAAAATGATTAATAAAAAATGCATCAAAATTATTAATCGAAAATGCATCATCAACCATCTTGGTTGATAGAAATAAATGATAGAAGTATCCAATAAAAAAAATTTTTTTTGCGTATGGATGGAAATAAAAAAAATATAACAATCCGAAACTGAACAAAATCGACAGTATTTTTAAAACTGAATTTACATATTCTAAGAGCATAGTCCAAATAAGAAAATATTTTTTGGAGCTATCATATAAATCGATCATGTAAACGGTTTGTCGATGATCAAAAATTTCATAATATGGGCAATTATGGTTAGAATAGCTAATCACTTGACCAAATACTACTGCTGATTTTCGAATTGTTATAAAGAAATTAAACGATTTGCAATCGCCAACATGCGCCCAATAGCACCACACGTGTGGACACGGTATTTGATTCGACATCCGAAAGCTTGAAATCTTAATAAATGCAAACATGTAAATCCCACACCACTTTCTGTTACACACTGTATGGGTTGAATCAACATCATTAGTATACATTTAAAAGAATATTTTACTGGTCAAACATTCCTAAACATTTTTTACCAAAAAACGTGAAAACACTGGATGCGTCCTAATTGGACAGCGCTGTTATTATGGGAGACATAAATTCTTGGTTTTTTTCAAGTCATATTTCTTTGAAAAAATAACATTAGTTTTCCTGATAGAATAATCCCTTAATATTTTAACTATTTTTCTTTGTAAAAAATGTTATAGCTCTGAACACCCGAGTCAAATGGTAATTTTTGCATTGTACTAGCTTTTTTTTAATTATTTTGTAAAAAGTAAATTTAAAATATAAACTTTTATTGTGTATTCTATTTTATTATATACAAAAGTCTGCTCTTGGTATTGAATACATCTGACATGGGCGTTACGAGTCTGACAATCTTTGTCGAATAAATCCGGCTCGAAGGATAAAAAAGTTTAAAGGTATACTAGTGATTTCGATTTCATCTGTATAATGAGTAACAACATCTAAAATTAAACATATACCGAATGTATACGTGGCGCGGAGAAGAGCTGGCGACGATGTGAGATCAGCAGCATCAGCGGTATGAGAAAGAGAAGCGAACGGGCGCAGTCCGGGGGCTAGTTGCCGCTCACGATCTTGCGACTCTCCAGTTCCTCCATGTTGTTCGAACTTCAAAACATTTTGTGTCAATAGAATTGTTTATTGGTGCGTTGCAAATAACAGATTGGTGTGATACAGCTACCTTTGTTTATTCTCTATACTTACTCTATTCACTGAAACATGAGACAAAACCCAAACAAATCACAAAAAGATCAATATAAAGGGCGTCTCACGGCTAATGTACTAAGAAAGTTATTAATATTAAGTATTGAAGATAAAATATTTTATTTATTAGGGACTTGATTATATATAATTTTTTTAAAAAGCAAGAATTTACTGAATTTTAACTAGCTCAATTGGAAAACATAGAACACTGTATATGTATATAATTAATTTACATTATTTAATATACATATAAAATATTTATTTTATATGCTTTTATGTATAAATTTCCTATACTATTAAAACTTTTATTTTTCAAGCGTAAATATTTGAAATAAAATACAATGAATACCATTAGAATTAATATCACTAGTAATGATAACTTTACGTATGAACTATTACGTTAACATAAATGTACAGTCATATAACTGTTACAAAATGCAAGTAGTTTCAAATGACTGTACATTTAATATATAATACGTAAGTTACTCACCGAAGTTTATCGTCATTCTTCCACGACGTGACCTGAATGTGCGGTGGCGGCAAGTAACTACGGAGCGACTGCACCAACTGAATAGTATCCAGTAAAACTGAAATTGAATTGAAAATTACATAATTGTTACTGTACTGTTTAACAAAGTTTGTCTGGCACTGCTAGCTTAATCAGTCTTGTCTATTTATACCAGTACTTCATAAGCATTTAGTGATGAGGGAACTTTGAAAAAAATTCTGGTTGGCCATAGATAATAAATCACGAAGGGCTGACTTACCTGCCTTCATCCTCATCTATCATCATTTACTGGTGCCCCGCCAGCGTATACCGATAGCGCAGGCGAGATTCCATTTCCATTACATTAAAAAAAAATCTATTTCATAAATAAAACACATATGCATTTATCGTTCTAATTTTAGTGCAAATTTTGCATTGTGTTAACTCATTGTCACTTATTGAATCTTTTTTGGATGGCTTCGCAGACTATTTTGAATGCTTCCAGGGACCACCAGTGGCCCGTAGGTATATCACCAGTTGACACCAGAAACACTGATTTATACCATAAAACAATATTGTTACATTTCAGTATAAAGACTGAAATAGATATTCTGTTTAAAAAAGGTTGCCTATTAATCTTGAGGAGTACCATAAATTTTGTATTTTGTAAACCAGGGTCACCTGGCATATTGATAATTTTTTTTTTTTTACTTTCACATTTTTTGTATATTTAGATATGACTAATTTCATCAGCTTCTTTCTTTGTCAATAATTTATAAAAAATATGTCACATTACAATATTATATATATTACATTATGTAGTGTTAGTATTTGGATAAACAAAAATTTCAAACCAAAATTTATTAAATCTAACATCATCATAGTATAAACACAGTGCAAGGAAGTTCTTTATACTGTGTTCTAAGTATGTCAGAGTGCAATCCTAACAGTGTGAATCACAATACTGTCACTTAGTTAAGGATCCCTCTTAAAGACGGGAGCCTAGTCTAAGGTCTAAAGGGATGGCATAGATCCTCGTCAAGGGGAGGCATAGGTGCCATGTAGGTTAATGTCAACCCGAGTCAGTTACTGCCATTTAATTGACAACCCTGAAACGCTATTATAAAAGAAAAAAAAAAGAGTTATTACTTACTCTTCTGCAACTGCTCACTCTGCTTGCCGTAGGGCTTGCACATGGCGGGGCGCACGCAGGGCCGCATGCGCTGCAGGTTGCGCGCGAGCTCGGCAAACGCGCGAACCACGCGCTCCTGGCCGCCCGCGCCGCCGCCGCCGCCACCGCCCGCGCCGCTCGCGCTCGTCGCCCCGCCCGCCCCGCTCCGCTCGCTGTGTAGCCCGCTGCTAGCGCTGCCGGCGCCCGATAACGATTCTAAACTCTCCAAATTCGCCCTGTTGGAATTGCAATAATTCACTTTCGATTTAAATTTCTATAAAGAACGAAAATATATCTATTAAATAAAGATTTACTTAAATAGTAATGAAATAATTTATAAATTATAGCATAATAATATATATGTTAGTAGCAAATTCTTCATACTATCAGTTTTCATATAAATTAGTACTTTATTATAGAATAAATAATTTACTTGTAATTTTTATTCAAATTACATAAATACAGTATAATACAACACGACACAGAAGTCCCTTACTATATTTTTTAGTTTCACACATAAGAGAACTAATTATATAAGGTCTGTTTAGTACTCACCTCAAGAAATCAGTGAGTTTATGCTCATCAGTATAATGATGTTTTGATTTTGAATCAATGGTAGACTGCGATGAACTGGAAGAGCGTTGCTGAGAATGACTGTACTTGTCCATTGATGATTGGTGGCCCAGAGACCTATTCTGGTGCTGCAGTAACATCTGCTGGTGTTGCGTCAATTTGTCTTGTGCACGACGCTCTGTTTTCTCTCCTGTCAAACTAGCTGCAGTAACATAATCTCTTGATATATCAATGATTGATTATCTAACTTAACTATTATTATCCATGATTGCCTCTTTAAAAATATACCTCATAATACTTAAATATTAAATTTATTTAAAAATCACAAGAATGCCAGCTAGCTCACATATAACCAAATTTTTTAATAGCAACTACTTTTGTATTTCTAGTAAAGTCTTATTATTAAAGATTTACAGACCAACACATTGTCTTAAAATTATGTGCTTAATATGACTTTATACTTCATTTTTATCATATATGTTTTTTATTTCTTTTCTATGTTATTTTTCACAAACAAAATTGTGGTTTATTTCAATCAATAGAATTTTTGACAACTTTTTTCAATTATTGTCAATAATTTGTATATTATAATTACAAATTAAAAAACATTAAACTTGATTTTTACACAGTAACTCACTAAGAGCAGCTAGGTGTGGTGCAATCGGCAACTGATAGTCTTGTGCTAAAGCTGTACCCCTGAGCAGACGCTCCACAGCCTGACTGTCAGACAGGTTGGAAGCACCAGCATCTGAGAAGTTTACTCTATGTTAAATATATACAGAATAATGTGAGACATATTGAGCACATTGTAAATAGACTATTCAAGATACAGATAGTTAATCTCTATTATTTCATTTTAGTGCCAATCAATCTTGTGATTTTAGTGATTTAAAATTGGATTTTATATCTCAAAAGCAAATTAAGTGAACCTATTATCTGTATAATGCATATTAACTTACACAGAAGACAGGGTTGGAGCAATAACAATTCAATCCTAATAAATAATTCCAAGTCAAATTTTACTATGCAGTTAATAATTAAAATATACTCACAGATATATATCACATTTGTCAAACTCACAAAAACAGTATCAAATACAGACATATAATTTTATCAAAAATTTTAATATATTAGATAGACATAGTGTAAAATGATGTTAAAAATTATTATTATTATTATATTACATAGTAAGTGTTCTAAATTGTCTGGAGCCTACAAAATAATTACGCCATTCATACCTACAGGTAATGGTAATCTCTTTCCAAGAGGTGAGCCATCAGCTTCTGCCATTTAAAGTTATATCAAGTAAAACTTACCTGGAATATATGTAGGCTGCTGAGATAGATGCTGTTGAATGGTTTTTTGTGTCATTTCCAACTGGTTTTTGTAATAACGACAAGCAGGGTTGGGACAGTTTTGTACCACTTCCACTATAAACTCCTTCTCCATGCCAAACTGCTCCCTTCCTATTGTATATGATTCTACAACCTGCATAAATATATTTTTTGTGTTTATTTATTGATATTTTTGAACTAAATTTACCATAATTCCCTAAATTATCTTAAACATTTTACACAACCAACATATAAAAGTTTACAATTACTTACTGCTCTAACTGTGGCTTCTAAACCCAGGTGAAGACCATGAGGTCCATTCATATGTTTCAACATAACTGCATTAGCAAAATGCTCATATGGTAATATTATCTTGCCATTCTCTCGAAGTATCAGTCTTCCTTGAGTGTCTAAACCTACTCGTGATGCCATCATTCTAAAAAACAATTACAAAATCTTAGCAATAATTATATTTACACCAGTAAAAACTAATAACAAATCCATTTTCTAATAATCTGTTTTTTCTTGATACAACATATTTATTAAAAATAGTTGATGATAGAAAAACCGTACAAAAAAAAAACATTGATGAATAAAAAATATTTTTTAATTCATTAACACCCCTTTTCTGTAGCTGATTTTTAGACACTTACTTTTAGTTCTAATAAAAACACATGCACAGACTATGTCAGTATAAAAATGAATTAAATATTACCATACATGCATAAAAAAAAACATTAATTGTAGATCATATAAGTTTTACTGTAAGTTGAACATACTGTAAATAAGCTGCACTGGGAAGCATTGAGGACTCTTTGAGGTCACTGAAACACTGTAGAAGTTCTATACTGGGACTCCAACCCTTATTTTGCAGATAGAGTTGTAATAACATATACAATTTTTCGGTGACATATCCCTCAGCGCCGTGTGGTGTCGACGAGCCGGATGTGCCTGCCGCACTACTAGAGCCGCCTGTACTCTTTGCCAACACACTCTTCATGGTCTCCGCCAAATCCATCTTGTAGATGTCCAAATAAGTCCTCTTTTGGGAATCCTGATCAAAAATAAACAAACACTAAAACAATTAACTACGAGCATATTGAGGATCGATAGCGACACCCGCACGCTGAATTATTTTATTAAAAACAAGCACTCACCAGAATGATTATTATGTTCAGACTAACTATTAAAAAATAGATTATATCTAGCTAAAAATTAAATTACAAATCTATCCATCCAGTTTTACACAAAAATATTTCTTTTTAGAATGGATGGAAGCTTCTTTTCTCTTCTGTCTGATTCTCAATTTCAGCCTTGACACTAGCTGTCAATATATCGTTTTCATTGCAGTTGTCATTATTAACTGTCACATAAATAGTTTCGCTGTTACTATCTATGATACGAAAGTACAATAAGTGTAGTGTTTGATATCTCTATACACGGTCTTGTTACCTTACTGTAATATGGCAATTAGTCGTCATATTACACGTATCCATCGGCTAGCCAAAAGTCTATTATCATATCATTCATCTTATCGTCTCATTGTCTTTCGTTTTACCCAGTTCAGCGTTGAAGTCCCCCCATTAATATTATGTATTTGAGGGAAGGGATTATTAGTAATACGGATATCCAGTCCCATTTCTAGCAATATATCCTAAAAAAAAATAACGTAGGCGGAGTTACTATTCCATTATTATCCATTGAAAAAAATACTGTGTATCGAATATTAGAGGAATGTATATCTCTTGAAATGTCCTTATACATTGTTTCTATTTCATCATCAAAGTGTATCACGATCGTGATCAATACACATATACTGATATACCTGTATTACCTACTGCGAATATCGATTAGTATTAATTCTGAATATCATGTATATAATTATACATGATATTCAGAATATCATGTATAATTATATACATGATAATTATACCACCCTTGCTGACACAGCCTTGATCTTTTAGATATTATTGATGAGGGACTTGCAGACAATAAAACTGATACTACCACATTACGGATAGTCCCAGAGGTAGAACAAATTATCGGATTTAAGAATCATCTTATTCTCTCTCTTCGGATTTTAGGTAATCCTATAATATCTCAATTTAACTTGTTCGCCTCTTTTTCCAACTGTACAACCTTCTCATCGGTCATCAAAGTTTGTATTTTGCTTACTATTACTCGACTATAAGTTCCAATAGTCGCCACTTATGACACCCACGAGAAAGAAAGGAGTAGCCTATGCAGGATTACACGGTAAAAAATATCAATTAATTGTAATATATATACGTTTTTGTCTATTACATTTTGTCCAAGCACTAAAAAAGTAATATCTTTGTATTAAAACCGTGCTTATACTACAAAGATGATAGCAAAGAGATACAACTAGAGCTACAACTTTGAATTTTTTATAATTGCATAGATTGAAAATAATACATCACGTTTGACATTGACATTTAAGAGATATTGTCAGGGTTCATCTAGTCAAATGTAACTTAACTTAACCTAGCTTTTATAAAAGTAAATAAAAACGTGAGTCAAATTAACGAGTTTCTTCATGACTATTTTAATTTAAAAGAGAAACAAAGAAAGACTTTTATTATTTAATTATGGATGAATTAGTTGTGGGAACCTACGAGGGGTTCTTACTGGGATATTCAATATTTCCTGAACAAACAGTAAGTATATGTGTATTTTTTGTAATGGGTGAAAATGGAATGGTAACCCTGCCTGCGCTAACGATCCCGGTGCTTCACTGGTGCTCCGCCAGCGTATCCACGCTGGCGGAGCACCAATGAAGGGTGATCGATGAGAATAAAAACAGGCCAGTTAGCCCATCGTTATGAATTCATCGAGAATTAACCATGATAGTTTCCAGGGTGAACCACGAGGAGGTCGACCTGGTTGGGTATATTGCTAGCAGTGGGATTTTTAGTCTCTATTACTAACAATTCCTTTCCCCCAGTATATGTGTATTGACTCATGTGTTCATATCGATATAAAACAAGCCACAACTTGAAACAAATTGCTTATTTCTTCCCAGTGGAAACACATTTTTTTCCTTTATAGAAGAGAAAACGGTTATTCTGAGTATTTTAATTCGTGAACTAATTGATTACAATTGATTCACCAATATATAGTTAATAGTTTCAAGACCTTCCTAATAAAAATTTAAGTTTTCTGCTATTCTGCACTAGTAGTTTTAGTGGAAAATCATAAAAAGGAAAAATTATTTTAAATACTATAAAATTTTTCAGGGTTCTAAACTAAAACAGACCTTTGCAACACAATCACATACAGCTGCAGTGCGGTGTCTCTCTTTATCTGGAAAATATTTGGCATCTGGAGGCACTGATGATAAAGTAGTTGTAATAGACTTGAAAACACGTAAAGAACATACAGTCCTTATGAACCATGATGGTACAATCAATACTGCAGCCTTTACGAGTAGTGGTACCCACCTCTTGACTGGCAGTGATGATGGCAACATTATTGTAACTAGAACAGGGAATTGGCAAATTGAAAAGATATGGAAAAAAGCTCATGGAGGTATTATAATTTCACAGTTTTCTATAATTACTTAACTTTAATACTTATATTACCTAAAATACCTATTTCATAAAATCAATAATAATATTGAAGATTTAGGATTAATTTGCATATTTTAAGTCCTTTTAAAAACTTACATATATTTTTCCTGATTTTATTTTAGGTCAACCAGTTACTGCAATTGCAGTTCACCCATCAGACAAGTTAGCACTTAGTATTGGAGGAGATAAAACCCTAAGAACTTGGAATTTAGTTAAAGGCCGTCCTGCATTTACAATTAATTTGTCCAGTAAAGGAATATCTATGCCAACAGAAATCAAGTTCTCGCCAGGTGGCGATAGATTTTCATTAATTTATCAGCAATGTGTTGATGTGTGGACTATTAGTAAGGCAGGTGTTGAAAAACACATTACATGTAATTCAAAACCAACTTCAGTTCAATGGGTGACAGATGATAAGTTCTATGTAGGTTTGGAAAATGGTAATGTCATTGTATTAAATGTCTCAGATTCACAAGCTCTTACATACCAAGCTCACAAACAACGAGTTAAATGTTTATATTATGAAAATGAAATGTTGTATTCAGTATCAAGTGCTGGAGAGCTTAAAGTTTGGTCAGAAATTGATTCTAAGTTATCTGAAATATGTTCTGCTAATGCTGGCTGTAGACTCACTTGTATAACATTGAATAAACAAAATCACTTAATTAAAAAAGAAGATAAATCTGATAATGAAGAGGAAAATGAAGAAAAGGTTGAAGATCTGAGTAACAGTGAAGAATCAGATGATGAACCAGCTGAGAAGGTATCTATACCTGCTAAAAGACAACCCGGAGCATTTGTGAGAATCAGTTATGGTAGTGATAATGAAGAAAATAATGAGGCACCACCTAAGAAGAAAATAAAGAAAAGGAAACGAAATAAGAAACCAAAAAATAAAGTAAATGAGTGATATCATTACAATTAAAATTTATTTTACACATTAGTGGTTTTACTAATTTATTAGTTTTATTAATTTCATTTTAGAATTTGATACATGACTTTCCTGTTTTAGATCCTCACTAGTAGTAATAACACTGAATAGAGATTATACATACCTATTCACTTCTCAAACTTCCAGGAGTTAAAGTAATAATAGAAATTAACTGAACAAAATTCAACAAAAATGGATATATGTTATTTAAAATTGAAACAATATATTTATTACCATGATCTTCCATAGGGTAATTGGAGGCATGGTGATTACTGCTGTAACAAATGTAACAGCCAACATACCTAAATTTGTCTAAGCATAGGCTATTTACAAATGGCACATTTATTCTATTTATCTCTACTGGTAGCGGAATGGTAGAGACGTTAGAAAAAATCCACTTGTACACGCCAGTGGGGAAAGTCATTGATGCTATCAGTGGCGTAACAATAGGGTGGCAAGGCTGGCAAAATGCCACGGGCCCCCGATCCAAAAGGGCCCCGGCTCAAGAGGCCGCGAGCTCAAATTTTTTTTTACATTGTACCAGAGTATTTTATTTTTACTGATAACGTAGTGACACCCATCAGTGTGGGAATTTGCCACAGGCCCCAAATGGTATAGTTACGCCACTGGTTGCTATCAACATAGTATACTTATTTAGCTGATTCAGTCTCACAAATTTTGTTTATTAAGTGTTTTCAATTACTGGGAAATTGTTAACAGTACTGGAAGTTTTTAGTATCAATCAGATAAGAGTTTACGACATTTGTGGTCTTAAGTCTGTGTACCAAATAAACTAAGGCAATGACGCTTCTTATGAAATTATTTACACTGACTTTCGGTTCTCTCCGCTTATTTTGTAAAGAATTTGACATAAAGATAGATTATTTTTAAGTCCTACTCGCTTTTGCCCGTAAATTTATACGCGTGGATATCAAATTTTAAGTTGGCCCTTTGGAAATATAAGTGCTGCCATATCATGATTTCGGAATAAACATACAGACAAAAATTCTAAAAAAATATTGTATTGTTCTTATTAATACCCTTAGGGATGGTAATAAGAGCAATAATAAAGATATATTATTTTTTTAAATATGTCCTATGTAGATGTAGACATCGTCTAATTACAATTATTTTTTTTTTTTATTAGAAGTAAATGGAATGGTAACCCCGTCTGCGCTAACGGGATACGCTGGCGGGGCACCAGTGAATTAGCCCATCATGATGAATTCAGCAGTAATTAATCAGTCAGTCTCCATTACTAACAATCCCTTTCCCCCCATTACAATCGTATTAGATTTAAAGCGTAGAACTATATTAGGATTACCAGCCAAAATTAACTGCTTAGCTAGATAACTTAGCTGGTAATCTTTGGGGTAAGGGATTGTTAGTAATGAAGACTGAGACCCATTGCTAGCAATATACCCAACCAGGTCGACCTCCTCGAGGTTCCCCCTGGAAACTATCATGGTTAATTCCTAATGAATTCACCGTGATAACCTAACTGGCCTGTTTTCATTCTCATCTATCACCCTTCACTGGTGTTCCGCCAGCATATCCCATTAGCGCAGGCGGGGTTATCATTCCAATTTCACCCATCAGCTGGTAATCTTTTTGATGATGAACAAATTTGTCTATAGGGAACAATTGTAATCTAATCAATTGAACACACCTCTATTGTTTGTTTACAATGCTATTACTAGTTATACTAGTTACCCATCTTCATATAGGCAGCAAGAAAACTCGTATCTACACTGCAGATTATATTTTTATCATCATGTCACAATACAAGACGCTCACACAGAAAATAACAGTAAAAAACAATAAGATGATTGACTTTGGTTTGTTTATTAAATTATAAATAATAAAAATCTTTTTTAAAATGCACACCCAAATACATAAAAATAAGTTCATAACAAATTAATTTGGTCCCAAATAAATAGTAAAATAATTTAATATGTAAATAAAAAAAAAACAACAATATTATAATAAAAGTACTGATCAATTTTGGCAATGGTTAATGGATTCTACTTACATTATTTGTTAACTCTTATTTGAAATAATATAACATATTAAAATGTACAGTGTACATTCAGTCACACAATTATCGCTAGCACACCTCGGTAGTTCCTCTCAGTCTACGTTTGAGACTATATTTACATGTTACAGGGCAGCCAAGGAACAAAACGTACTCACAAGAATACATAGAACGACATATAGACAAACCATATTCACTTTGTCGCCTAAGAAAACTATAAAGCTTGCTAAATCATTGAAATCTCATAACTATAATATCGAGAAAGAAGTTTACTGGAATGTATAATAAATCATAAGGATTGCACAAGACAAGAGCCGCAGTGAGAGATACATATAACAAATACTGAAACGTGGATGAAACGACGCAGAAAATCTGGTACTCTTACATGAAATGAGATCACATGCTTCATGAATACTTCGCTATTTTAAAATACTAAAAGTCTGGTGATACACAAATGGACACCATTATGCTAAGTACAGTTTGTGCAAAATACAGTACATAAATAAATGCCAAAGTAACCAAAATCAACTTGCATTGTTACATCATACCAACTTAATACAAATTATCGCACTGCTATCTTGTTAATATATAGTTGACAGTAGTTACATGAACGTTATATCCTATTCATCTTATTTATAATATTAATTTTTCTAAGAAAAAAATGTTAAAGTATTTCATGACTTGAAATAGCTTACAATTCATCTTATGACTAGATTGAGCCAGTATTTTTCTCACAGTCCATTATTTCTCATTGAACTCGAAGAAAATCTGACACAATTAATACAAAATTTAGGAACAATGAAAAAACATGTGGATCCAACGGAATACAAGTAAAATAATTAAATAGAGCATAAATAGATTACAGTAGAATAGACAGTCTAGATAAATGAGTACTACTCAACCTGTTCCGTATTGACTTACATCTAATTTTCGATTAATAGTATTCGTTTCTTCGTTTGAAGCAGCACTAACGTCACTAAACCCTAAGCTATAGGTCAGATGGCACTCTGTACGCTATCGGACACAGCTCACCAGTCCTTCACCGACGTCGTGTAGGCACAGTCACATGAACATTAGCTGGTACACGCAGCAAACGCTGGTCTTAGAACGTAATTACATTTTATTGGCTGTATCATAATGCATTCGAACCCGAATCAATTTGATACTAGGTTGGCGTATATAAAACGATAAAATTGCAAACTTGTACAGGGAGATCACTGAATTAGATCGAACAATGAAGTGTTGGAAATGTACAGGTACAAAACAGAAAGGGAAAACCAGCATGGTACAGTGGACGATGTAATTACGGAGAAATCGTGGCCACGTCTGCAAGACGAGAACTTTTATTTTAATGCTGCTTCATTTAGCTGCCAGACGTTGCGCCACATCACCGAGCTCTAAGAACTCTCGATTAGTTCTCGGACCGATGTCTCGGCGAAGTGGGAAGGGGTGGGTTTATTTCTTTTTGGCTTTCTTCTCAGCCTTTTTGAGGGCTTTGAGGTGTTTTTCGTGAGCAGTGCGCAATTCTTTCAGGCGACGTTTCATACGACGACGGTCATCCCCGGGAAGCCCTAGTAGCTTGAGGTCAGCGGAGCTAAGTGCTAGCAGCAGGCTGCCGTCGACACCGCGCGCTGCAAACGCACCCGCGTGCCGCTCTAGTCCGTCGCCCAGGCCGGACACCCACTGCCATACCTGATACAATTTATCAGAAACATTCATAATTCGGTTTGACTTTGGACCAAATTAATTTAGTTTTTGGAATTCTGTGTCTTCGCATTTTCCTTTTATTTCTCAACAACTAATTTATACAATCAATATACAGATTACATATATAAACCTTCAGTAAAAGTAAATCTAAAGGACATATTAAAATCTATTGGACGATTTAGAAGTAAGCAGAAAAACAGATGTAGTTAATGACTATGTTATATACTATAAAGATAAGGAAAGAATAAATCAATGTACCTGCTGCTTGGTCCAGTGGTTAATGGGGTGCGGCGCCGGGCCGGGAGGCGGCGGCGACAAGCTCGCCTCCGACGCGGCCGTCGACAGCGGCTGCCACGGCACCTCGCCGCCGACTACGCAAGCCGGAGCTTTCTTCACTATAACCACACGGCATTACATCCCGCTATACAGTCGCGATGTCATACTCGCAATCGCCTCCAACGTTAGCACCGCATATGGTAATAATTTCTATATCAACCCCGCAAAAGTTTTATACATATGTTGCATCTTTTATAGTATACTTTTTAATCAAGATTAATAGATTATGTATTTTTATGGACATAGAGTAATCTTCTGATAGGGGTTATTTGTGTAAAATACCAATTTTGTTTCCTGAATACAGTTCAGTTCTTTATTTCATTAATTATTTCATTTATTTAGATTTACAACAAATCCTTCAATTTGAAATTGAATTAACCAAAGGGGAAAATACAAATTCTAAACACATAGTGAATTAATGCACAAGTAACATGTACACTAAATGTTTATAGTCCATAGCTCAAGTGCATATTGAATAAATTATTTTAATATGATACATTCTTTAGCAGGGAGAACTATTCATATAATATTACAAGTTGGTGCCAACATTGGTGACTGTATACAATGTTACATCACGCATATAGATACGCAATAATAATACAGATATTACTACCCAATTGTTGATTAGTGGTATATTTACATAAATAAATACATATTATATAGATACATTAACCATATGGTCCCGACATAGAATGGCCCACCCCTTCCTTTCCCGTGGGTGTTGTAAGACGCAACTAAAGGAACTTAATGGTTGAGAAGTAGGTAGCAGCGTCTCTTTTAAAATGTCACCAAAACTTAATTGCAGTTGCCAACCCCTCTGCCAAGCGTGGCTACTATTGGAAAAACCCTTCTTATGGGGGAAGCCTATGTTTATCAGTGGACAGTTAACAGCTGATATGATGATATACAAATTTAAAACATAATTTTAATAGAAATTATAAAAAAAAAAAAAAAAACATCAGACAATCCACCTAATCGTAACGTAACAAATCATGCATTGCTTCATCATGGAAAAAATTAAGAGAAAAAAGTAAAAGTCAGTGATGAGTAAATAGAAAAAGAATAAGCACATAAAAATGTAGAAATAAAATTCTATTTCATCCACCACCTTATAAAAGTACTTAATCGTATCTCTACCGACGATTATTGCCTATAAATATTTATAAGTTTTTCATAATAATATCAAATTAGTCAATTATAAAAAAAATATTACTACTACTAGTAATTTTTTTTATTATGTTTCAACCAAAATAAAAGTAATTTTGTTAAAAATATTCCCTTACTGGTCCCCAAAACAATTGAAACAAACTCGCCGGTAATGGTACAAAGATAAAGTACCTTACATAAATAACATTGAATGCAAACCATACGTCAAATAATGGGTTAGATTCTAAATTGCCATTTCTATAAACCTATTTCTAAGATTAAAATTTCAATTCGATATCACAGTGAAATTTTTTATTTTAAGGAAAAATTATTACATTTTTAATTAATGATGGGCCATAAAATAATATTTTCGAGAAATTGTCAAATTAAAATATTAGTTTAAGGGTCAGGTTTAGAGAAATAGCTCTTCAGAATCGGTCCCATTGAATACTTTTGTGTTTATACATGACAATCAATACCGTTATTAGTATCACATTGCATGTTTTAATTTTTAAAACCAATCTTGAACAAGAAGCGACGATTATCATGTAAAAACTGTCATTAATAAATTTATCAACGAGACTAGAGCAAAGTATGTTATTTATCGCATCATACTCGGCCATATTTAAAAAATAGCGTAGTGTAGGTCATTTGGATTAGAGCAATCTCATATACAACGTGCGGGATTAAGAAATATTCATGCAATGGCGAGTATATACGTTATATATATTATAGAATCTGTTTCAAACATCGGTACAAGAGTACCGACCTCGTTTATTCCAGTCTCGTTGACTGCACTATAATGAAACGTGAAACGATAGATACAAAAAAACTATGTGTTAATTGAACTAGCCATGATGATTGATGATTGATTGATCAATTTGAATTTATGATTCTAAATTCAAATTGATCAATTCGAACATTCTCCATAATTACTACTCCAATAATAGGCACAGTTGTAACAGAGGGTTCGATTCTGAGGCGCCATTTCTCTAAACTTATGTCTCAACCTAATATTTTAATTTGATACTTTAGCGAAATTACTGTTTTATGGACCATTATAGTTTAAAACTATAATAATTTTGTTTTAAATCTATTCGAAATGTAATTATATCGGTCCTTAAAATAAAAATTTTGCTGTGATGTCAAATTAAAATTTTAATTTTAGAAATAGTTTTAGAAAAATTATGCCTCAGAATCGACCACAGTGTGATTTATGTTGCCAGTTAATATTGACAAATAAATAGTAGTTATTCTGGATAATTCCAACGAATTCGGACAGGTTCACATAGCCCACAACAAATGCTGGTCTCGGCCGGCACCGACCTCTGGCGTTAGCCTCGCTGACGGCCTGCCTGATCTCGTCGACGAGGTCGTTAGTGAGTTGCACGGGGTCAGGCTGTGGCGGCGACGAGCCAGTCGCGAGTCGTCGCTCTCGCTCCGCTAACACTTGCTTCAGTTGCTCTGCCAGCGACGCCGCCGGACCTAATGCCACAGTACAAACAGCCCGTATGTCAACTGCGCACCCATGCCACGCTATCACGGTACAACTGTACTGTCCCAGACACGGCCACGACCCGCTGCGAGCACCTAACTCTGATTTGCTACAGAATTACAAATACGATCACTTCAAGCGGGATTAATCACAATCACATCAGTTATATACCATTAAGCTAAAATCTAAGCACAGTAACGACTGTGAGGTCAAGGTTTTGTGTAGTGTTTCATTCAGTATCAGTTTTTACGAAATGGGCATGTTCGGAGATGTCAGTCAAAGATGGTATGTGGGTAAAGCCATGTTATATTGTTCAGGTTGCGGACATTATTAAACACAATGCATAGTGATAATAGTGTAGATTTGATACCTGTTAATGGATGGTGCCTGTGATCTCGCGAGTATATACCGTCGTCGGTCCCGCTGCCAACAGAACTGCCACAACTTTGTCGAGTTTCACGCTGTATAAAAATATAGTATTGCATTAAACTATCAGCCATATAATATTTAATTTTCCAACATTAAACAAAATATTTGTTTTTTCAAAAAACAACTGCGAATGAATGCTAGTAACATTAGATCCACATATTGTATCATATATTTTTTAGAAATTGGTCAATTAATAATAAATTTTCACCACAATATGGGAAATTTAAGTCTATTGATTTATTATCGGATTCTCGATAGGAATATAATCGTGATAGAATTCTGTCAGCTAATAATATAGCAACAGATATATTATTTATATAAATACCATCAACAAAAGAGACATAATATAGTAGATGTCATCAAATAAATCAATGTCGGAATTGGTTGTTTCGTGTAGGTATTATTAATGAAACGTACACTCATCGTGCCATGCCCGGTGTTGGGTGGTGCTCCTGACGTAGATTCACTGAGGGACTCGTCAGCCGAGTCATTATAAGAGTCATCGAGACCGTCGTACTGCAATATAATAATTCAATTTTAATAAAATAATATTTAATAGTAAATCATGTTTGTGTGTGGATGTTGGGTCACATAGTCATACCAACAAATAATAATAATAAAATTTAACACTATTTTCATCTGACAACAACACTAATTGAAAAGTAGTACTCTTGAATGCAATGTATTATATTTTTATTCAACTTTGATTTAGACCAAGTTTCATTAAAGTCCTATACCTGCATTATTACTTGCATAAACCAGATAAGATCTTAAGCTATTATGGATTGCTCGTTGTAATCAGTAATAAATTACCAACATCTTAACTTTAATTGAGCAACAAATAAGAAGTAACTAATCTATATTTATTCGAAACTTATACTAGAAATAGTTATAAATAGAATAATATAAGAATATGCGGACAACAATTTATTACTAATAATCTTATCATAACATCAACATAACTATTTCCTCATTATTTTCATAAACGTAAAATAAAGAGAATTTCGCATCTCACAGCTGCGTTTCTAACGGTCTGGCATTCTAACGTTTGTGCTCGTGGCGATTTCTTGTTTGATATTTTTATATTTTATTTTGTAAATATTAATATAATAGTAAACAAATATATAATTTCCAACATTAAAATGGAAAATAATAATAAAGATCAGATTAATGGAGTAGTACTTCAATGAAATTGACTGTGATACTTTTAAAGATTGTAATGGAATAATAGGTTACTAAAATTCAACATCAAAAGTGTTCCTTTGCCAAAAATGTTTTAGTTCGCTAGCAGAGTACTCTTTAAAGAATCAATTAGAAACATTGAAAAAATTGTTTTTAAAAATGGAATATAATTGCGACGTTGCCGCTCTTCGGTAATCAAGAGTAAGGGAACTTCCAGCAGCAGTATTTCCGAACCGATACGACAACATAACCTTCAAGAAAAGATTATATTCCTTTTTAAAAGGCCGGCAGCACACCTGCAATACCGCTGGTGTTATGGGTGATCATGGGCAGCGGTAGTCACTTACCATCAGGTGAGCCGCATGCTCGTTTGCCCCCTGTGTTGTAAAAAAAATTATTATTTAGCTGCCTTTTTTATACCACTAAGCTGGCAAGCAAGCATACGGCCTACCTGATGAGAAACGGTTGCCGTAGCCAATTACCGCTTGTAATACCAGAAGCATTACGTGCGCGTTGCCGACCCTAAAGCGATTCTTAAAAAAAAAAAAAGTAAGGCTCCCGATCGACAGCGTGTGAGGCGTGCACACTGACCGAGCTGGCGTTGCTGAGCGAGTGCGGCGAGTGCGGCGCGTGGTGGCGGTGGCGCGCGAGGTCGGTGCGCGCGCGGTGCGCAGACGTGTCCAGCAGCGCGCCGCGCGGCACCGCCGCGTCCAGCTCGCGCCCCGCCGCCTCCCCCGCACCACCCGCCGACACCGCCACCCCCGCCGACACCTGCCCCCCCGCCGACGCCGCCGACGCCGCCGCCGCCTCGCGGCTCGACACCAACGCGCTCACGGACACGCCGCTCAGCGTCTCGCCCACCGAGCTCGCGGCTACTGTCGACGTACTGCAAACAAACGTACCATTGTACTTTATAGATCTTACACACGACGCTGTTGAATAGACAACATTATATGTCGAAAAACTTACAGAATACGACAAGAAAAACAATGAAATAACACCTGTAGTACCTGATTTATTTTGACGCCTAGAAATACTGTAAGTCAAAATATAAATTAAAGTACTTGAAACTGCAATAAGCAGCACTTTGTCCATATCCTACATGTTCCCTATCCGACAAAATTCATATATTGACAGCGCTCATAAGTTTAGCCTATCCAAACGACGTAACTGTCTGTCAAGTTTTTAAGATAATTTAATATTCTTCAATACTCCTAATTTATTATTTAAAAAGTAAAAGCGAACTAAAACATTAATAACAGAATACGTTGAAATTAAATATAATCTACCACTGCTCCACTACTTCGTATTTTGGTTTAAAATTCTTCAAACACATTTGCAATTAAAATCCAAATTCTCAGTGACAAGTTAATAAGAATATTATTTCACAATTGTGATGTTGCCATACTTCGGTAAGCAAAAGTTATGAACGCTCTTAAAATTTTTATGTTAGTTAACATAGAATGCGATATTCTCTTTGTCTGGCGATGTATTCCTTGAAGATATAGATAAAATACATAGTACTATATAATATAAAAAAAACAATGTTTCAAAAATCATGTTCAAAGTACATTATAACATAACAGTGGAAATGAATGTAGATTTTTCTCATTCTCATATTCATTTTTCATTATCGGCTGTATACTTACAGCTTATCAGGGGCAGTTGTAGCCGCCGTAGTAGTGACAGGCACGCTCGCTGCTGTAGTGACGGCCGGCACCATCGCGGGCTCAGGGGCGACGGTACTTGCGACTTCTGTGGTGACAGTATTGACGGGCGCCTTGTGGTCAGCGGTGGTGGCAGTAACGTCGCCGATGTCTGGAGCCTCCCGACGACGATCCGACTTGTCTACCTTCGCGTACTCGTCCTCGATAGGGGACAAGTCGGAAAGATCGCTGTCTGAACTCCATGGATCTAAAGTTATAATAATGTTAATATTATCAATATCTTCCTACCCTTATCCCAATTTGAATATTATATGAATAAATAATTAAATAATAGCACCAATGGACAGAACAATATTATGGAAGAATTCGAAATAGATTTCAATTTTTGTTTCCAGTATTTAAAAAAAAATACAGACTACTAATTTGTAAACTGGCAGCACCGTTTGTAAACAGATATATGCATATTTTACTCAACTAGTTGTTATCTTGTAGAAGTACATATCACTTGTTATTTGAATTGAATTATTTTCTTTAATTCCACTACCATTATTTTGTGTATGACTGCTAACACTTAAAAATTGTTTTCGTATCGCAAACAGTGCGTGAACAAAATGGCAGTCGAAAATTGACGGCTAATACAAGTATGGAAAGGTATGGAACTTTTGGTAGTAACATCTCAGCTCTATCTATATAAAATAGTCAATCTTCAAGTGTTGGCAGTCACACATATACTAATGGTAGCGAAATTAAATAATGTTATTCAAATAACCAGATAAATGTAATTAATAATAATTATGGACAAACGAGTAGTAACTTGTGATTGTCGCATGAATCTAAGTTGCTCGTCCAAAATTATTATTTACTTAAGATAATTTTTAATCTATTGTCGTACACATACCGTTAATAAGAAGTGGATCGGGGTCGGGTCGCCGCGGCAAAGGCGGCGTTTCCCGCCGAGCCGATGGCTCATGTGGCAGCATCACCGGCAAGCCTGCTTTCTTTTGCGTCTCCTGTATACGAAATGAAATATTAGCAAACTACGCCAAACACATCATGTAATTTTTTTTAAGAAGTATTAGATTTTGCATTTGTGAGAACGAAAAGGACTTAATAAGTGATGTGCTCAAAAAGGTCGAAATTGAAAGTAATTCTTGAAATTTTTGATAGAATAATCTGGAGGAAGCGAAAAATATCTATTTAAATCAGAGCATTTCAATATTTAATCATCAATATCTCTTAATTGACATTTAAAAAATAGAATATTGAATTTTGTTCTAACTTACATATATCTTTTTTCTATGTTTATATAGAAACAGAAATATTTGTAATGTAAATGTATAACATGGTGAACGAAAAAGGTAGAAAACGTTAAACAGGGCGATATTCTGAAGAATGAAACTAAAATTAAAATATTTGTCGTTGGCAGAATTTGTCGTAAAAATAAACACCGATAGCCATTGAAAAAAAAAACAACAAAAATAATTCCCGACTAGGATATTGTCTGTGTGTGCTGTAACTGTGTGACAGTGGCTCGGTGTTGTACTCACGAGCAGCAGCACCTCGAGGCGCGCGACGCGGTCGTGCAGCGCGGAGAGCGCGGCGGCGTACTCGCGGTGCGCGTCGCGCAGCGCGCCGCTCCACCACTCCTCGCGGGCGCGCACCAGCGCGCGCGTGCGACGCCACTCGCGCAGCGCACGCCGCGCCTGCGCACCACACACACGCACAACACGTTACAACAGCGTCGACGTCACGCACGCAATACAGTACTAGCCACTACCCACCCGTCCCAGCTTCACACGAACGCAACGTACAAACACTAGAGGGAGACTTTATACAAAAGTCGTTTGCTTAGATACCTCTGTCCTGTGTTTCTACCGTGAAGCAGTTGTGTTTGCATGGCTGTGTTTCGGTTGGAAGGATGGGATATGGCAGTGAATTTACAAGGTACAAAGGAATAACACCCTAGTCCTCAGGAATGGCAACGCATGGGGGGTATCATGGGCGAAACAGTACTCTCTGTTATATCCATAGTACTGTTCATGTCTATAGGCGACGGTTACTACTTTACATCAGGTGGGTAGTTAGCTTGTTTGCCATTCTAAACTGCATAGAAAAAAACAGTGCGGTGTCAGTGTGAAGTGATTCATAATATTACTAATTGTATCCATCTACATAGCTTTCCAATTTTCACATAATTGGTATAATAATTTATTTTTAAATATTGAAATGGTTATAGAAAGCTATCTGTATCTGTAAAATGCCAACACTAGCTTTTTTGTAGTTCTAATAAAGAAGAACGACTATATCTTACATTGTTATATTTTAGCATTTTCTGTGAAAGCTCTGAGTCACTTGATTCCTTCTATCATCACAAGCAATTATCGTCATATTTCAACAAATTAACATAAAATAATATTAACCTATACATTTTATACGTACCTTCCTCTTAAATTAATCTATCTATTGATGAAAACCGCATTAAACTCCATTGTAAAACAGACGGCGGGAAGCCACTTTGTTTTAAACTATGTTGAGATTAGGAAAAAATATGCTCGCCATTATATTCCATAATGGGGATAGTCGGAAACACTTATAAAATGTTGACACACATACTCACTATACTGTTGACATACAATATGTTTTAATTCAATCTCATCTCGTGTTGCAACTTACAACAACACACACGTAATGCATGTCATATAACCAAATGTATTATATTTAATAAAAAGTAAATATTCATAACCGTAATTCCTTATTAGACATTTATCGAATGTTATCAATGTAATAAATGAAAAACAAAGATATACCCACTGCATCACCAATTTTTTTAAATTATCAAATTTCGATTAGAGGTTATGGATAAATGGGTTTATTACCTACATAAATTAATGACCTACATAAATTTAATGAAAACGATGCTGTAAATTCGAGTTATGCAACAGACGCTTGTTCAGTACAGCATATGATGCATAAACGCTCGAGGGGTTAAGAAATGTATTTTTATACAGAAATTTTAGTTTTAAAATTAAATAGTAAATATTCAATATGTACGACATGTACATAAAATTATTAAGTTTTTTTGTATTTGATGGCCTGTTCTAAGTAAAAAATTATTAAAGTTTCCTATCATTCCTATTGAAGTGATTGTTTTATTGTACACCATTAGTAGCAGATTTTTTATTCACGCTACCTAGTTTTTCAGTCCGTATTACTAACAATCAATCCCCTTTCCACTCGCTACTGTACTGAGAGTGTAGAGTGTAGCTCGGCACCCACCTTGTCGTACTTGCGCTGTGCGCGGTGCGCGGTGTCGGCGGCGCTGGCGAGCGCCCGCCGCATGTGTTCGTCGGGCGCACGCTGCGAGCTCCACGCCCGAACACGAGCACTTATTTCAGCGCTGCTGCCACCGCCCGCCTCCATGCCCACCAACTGCAGAAAAGTTGCAACGTTATATACACATAACACACGCTTCCAAATATTAATTGCATAGATATTATTCGTAGATTGCAAGACTTTCAATTTATAAAGTAAATAGATGCGATGTTTTCATCAATTTCGAACCAATTTTGACAAATATTGATATTTAAGCTAGATTGATATTACGAGTACAGTGCCAGACGTTGTTCATTCTCAACCCAATCTCGCTCTGATGAAATATTATTTTATATAAAATTCATACTACAGTCGAGTCCAGTTACAATGTTGAAGTGTTTCTATTCACAAGACTGATATCCGGATAGATCGGATCGAAAATAAACAGTGACCGGTATTATAGTGTGAATGTTGTCTAAGACTCATGTTAATTTTGTTACGATTGAAGATACTAGTCACATTAAAAAAACAGTACAGGTGAATCGAAATTTCTTTTAAAGTCAACGTCTTTTTTCTTTTTAAAATCAAAATATTTGATAAATAAATAAACTCTTTTTTTGAACCACCTATTTGTGTGTGTATATTGGCAACAGTTACTTTTGTGTCAGTCTGTATGCCGTAAATATATCATAAAAAAAACTTTAGAATATATAAGTGAATTGACAGCAAAATAAAAGAGTGTATTAAGGTTTCTTCAGGATCAGCAACACGCATCATGTTACCCCTAGTGTTGCAGGCGTTTATAAGCTACAGTGACTGTTTACCATTAAAGAGTCCATATCCTTGTTTGCCACCTTTGTGGTATAAAAAAATATTGGATATATTTTACAGGAACAAACATTTGCTGCTCAAATTATTTCTTTCCAGTATCTATAACAACAGATTACCTCGTGCAGCAAAGCTCGTAGTTCGTTGATCTCCGGGTGCCGAGCCTGAGTGGTGCTGTCGGCGGCCGCCTGCTGGTTAGCATCCTCTTCCTCGCTCTGCTGACGACGTTGTCGCTCGCGTGCCGCTCTACATAAATATAAAATAAATTATAGCACTACATAGACTAAATTATGAATTTACAATAAAAGATCAATGAAAAAAGAATTTACAAAATTCTTCATAAATGGCAAAGAATCACCAAAGAATAGTCTCGGAATGTTTACACTAAACAAAAACTAGTTTAACAACATTAATTTCCCGACATATTTGTCGGGAACTAACACAAATACTTTTATTCATTTAAAAAAAAATTCTATTAGATTTATTAATAAAAATACTGTGATGTAATTAATTTCATGAAATTAATCTCATTTTAACTACTACATTCATTAGTCATTGTGGTCATGCAACAGATTTTATGAAATATAATTAAAATTTTCCCCATTCAATTATATATGAAAAAAAAAACTAATGTGTATAATGCATATAATATAATTAAATATGAAAAAACTAATATGTATAACATATAATGTACTAATGCGATGTAAACCCGGTTTAGGTACCTTTCCTCTCTCTCTTTATCGGCTATTAATGACTGGCGTATGAGGTGTGCGACCTCGCTGTTCTCGGGGTCCTTCTCGCGGCCGATGAGGAACTTGACCGGTCCTGACGTGTTGCGAAGCACGGACGCCGCATACGCTTGAGTCACACCCACCTGCAGCAACGAAATATCATTACTTTTCCAGGAGGAGGCGGAATTTATTTAAGACATCAGCATGGTCTCTAATCTTAGCATTTTTCTGTGAGAAATAAATGTACCAAAAAAAGAAATCAAAGGCGGCGATGGTGTATTTTGTTACTGTAAGTTCAGTATCATTCGAAGTTAGATTGAATAATAATTGAAATAATTTATTCCCATAACAATATATTAACAATGTCAAGATTAAAATTATTTTTTTAAAACAATTTTAAATTATTATCTAAATAATAGAATGAGATTGATTCTGAAATGTCATTACTAAAATCCAAAAAAAAATAGAAGGAGGAGTAGGTAGGGAATGGCTAAATGTTAATGAATTTAAACTTATTATAATTAATGAAAAAAAAAAAAATATTACCAAGCTCTTGCCATCCACTTCAATAATTTGGTCGTTAACTTGTATGCGGCCATCTCTCGCGGCTGCACCGCTTTCAGTGATGGTTTTAACAAAAATACCAAGTTTCTCCAACCCGGCGTCAGCACCGACACCCATTCCTGTAAAAATTAATAGTAATAATTATTTTCTACTAAAACATTTGTTAACTGCAAATTCTGGTTAAATTTTTAACCACCACATAATAACCACTGTTAGTAAACAATTTAATCTGAAGAATAGTAGTAGACTCCGTTCCTATTACTTAGATATTCTCGATAAAATAAAAACAATTTCAAAATGTTGTTACATTTATTACGTCAATATCTAACATGTAACTGTCTGAAACTATAGTCGTAAGTTACCTACTGTATTTAATATTTTACAATTAGGTAATCTTCCAAATACATGTTTCTTATTTTGAATTTAGAACGTACCAATAATAGATAGACCTAGACCATCAGCGCCCTTGATAAGGTCCACAGGAAATACATCCATTTTCTCCACGCGTTTCTCCAGCTCGTACTCGGCCGATGCGGCCACTGGGTCAACATCTTCGTTGCGTCGGTCGTAATCACTTATTGAGTGAGTGGAGAATACGCGCATTGGATTCGTACTGTGAAATAATATGAAAAAATAAAAGGGAGTGTTGACACTGTGTGCAAATACCATTGTATGAATTTTTTTAAGTCACATAAAGGAGAAGGGTGACAGTTCGAAAGAGAAGCAGAGAATGTCCATACTGTATAAACTAATATTATTACTTATACTGTGGGTCTGCAATGCAGCTTGATTTTACGTACTTACAAAATTTCATTATGTAGTTTACAATAGGGGGTTTTCTATAAATTAGAATTTATATTTTATAAAAAAAAAAATACCTAAATTTGACTTTGGTATTTTTCTTAACGAATACTGCAGGATAATAATCGTCGTCTTCATCTTCTTCAATTGGTGGAAGACCAGCCATCTAAAAATCACAATATTTCTAAAATTACATCTCTAACATACTTAGATAATATTTATTTATATACTGATGATATATAACAAACATAATTTACTTCCGGTGCCATTTTTTTGATATAAATAAGCAAAAGAGTTTTCGGCTCTAAATTTAGATTTAGAATTCCTATAGGAAAATCAAAAAAGTTGACGACGAATGCCAAAAGACAAGGAATTTTCTATAAGGTTTTGTATATACAGAAAAGGGTTTTCAATCGACTCACTAAGGAGTTTTTATAAGTAACAATATGACTAAACAGTTATTATGTTGCATGCCAAACTGGCTGAATGTGCAAGCTACTTATTGTCATTGATTCTATCCCATTATGGACTACATTCACAGCAAATAAATATAATTTTATTTTCATTTTAATTTGAAAAATATGACGCCTACTATTGTTTCTTCTTCATTATTAATTTTTAATGCTTCCTATCCAAAACACGGATTACTTAAAATCATCTATATATATCTCACCTCAGTATAAAAATGTCCATCCTCAAAGTAATGTATTCCGTTTTCTTCGCCGAGTTCTCGCAATGAGCGAGGTGGATAATAATCGAACACGGTGCCTGACTCATTCTCCGGCTCGGGTTCTGTGCCCGGCTCGGGCTCTCGCTCAAGCTCGCGCTCGGGTTCGCGCTCGGGCTCGCCCTCGTGCGGCATCTTGCGGTCACCCCCGGCCATACCATTTTCAGCCTCAAGCGAAACGAACTCATAGCTCTCATCCACTGACTGCATACTGTTTAATATATAAAAACAAAATTAAATATATACATTTTGTTGGCTGTATTAAAGATGTTTAAAATTCAATAAATAACGTCAATAAAAAAATAACTTTGTTCTATTTTTAGTTTGTTACATCATATTAAATAGTTATTTAAATAAAAATTACAAATGGCGATTATTTGATTGGGCGGTTAATATTGGTAGGTATTATCACTATTATTATCATTGCAGCCTGTATCTATCCACTACTGGATATAAGGCTTCCACATAAGGGGAGTTTTGCTAGTAGTTGCTACAATTGGCTGACAGGTTGGCAACCGCAGTTAGGCTTTCAGGGATATTTTAAGATCGACGTTGCTGCCCATCCCTAACTACCTTTTGTCGCTTCTTACGACATCTACGAGAAAGGAGGGGGAGGGGGAGGGGCTGCTGGGGTTTATATAGATATATCCACGGCGATTCTATAGATATATCCATTTATTATAAATAATAATAAACTCTGAAATAATTACCTCTCATAGGAGAGCACGGACTGGTAGCTGTCATTAAGCGACACGCCATTGTCGTGAGGCAGAGTGTGTGGTGACAGCATCGCCACTATCTCTTGCGCCTGCTCGTCTGACAGTAGAGCTTCTTGCCTACAATCGAACCGTCATCATGTCATTTACTGGAGATAAGATTGCATGACCCGTGGTTAATCAAATACGCCGGGAAATATTACAAGTCACTTCAGAAAGAAATTTTGGGCAGCTTTGGTTTTTAAATAATACATTTTATTTTACTAAAGTAGGTGTTATGTATATTGCGGAAGTGCATATCACTGGTTATTTGATTAGAATTATTTTGGTTAATTCGGCTACCATTAGTATGTATGTGATTGCCAACACTCCAAGAGTCATCCAGAAGTTCTATAATCTTCAGTCCACGCACGTTTTTCGTCGATTAAGTTTCTTTGAAAAAGATAATGAAATCTCTGTTACTCAAACTAACGTTATATTTTAATTTATCACATAAGTTAAAAATGAAGCCAAAGTTACTCGATTACCTGTTTCTAAAATTCAAAATGTTGAATGATAAAGTGTGCATTATTATACTGGTTATTTGATTAGAAATATTTTGTTTTTAGCAGCAATTTATTAATTTGCCTGAAGATACCTCGTTTAGAGGGAAAACACGTGTCGTAAAACGTGTGTGTTTGACAGTGGCAATCCGATATTGATGGCTAATATGGAAGGTTATAGATCTTCTGTAATAATGATTGTAATCAACTTTCTAATGTTAGCATTCGGCATGTACACCAAAGGTAACAGAATTAAACAAAATAATTCTAATCAACTAACCAGTGATATGGACTTTCGCAAAATAACACCACAAAGTAAAATGCATTATTATATTTTGGTCAGAAATTTAAATTAGTGCAACCTCTGACTCAAAAAGCATTATACTTTCGTCTTCAGAATCATTTTAGTTCACTTAAATAAATTAGTTGTTTGAATTTTGACAGTTGTTACATATGTATCTAGTCGTGCGGTATAGATCTCAAAAATATAAATTTAGGATAAATATATTTTATTATTCTTTTTGTGACTATAATAACTTTTTAATAAATATAATCGGATTTTAAAATATAGTAAATAATAATCTACAAATAAAATACACTATGATTTTTGCAAACATGTATGACAAATAAAATATTTGAGGGCTTCTGTAATTTCATTTTTTAAGAGAGCCATGTGTAACCTCCTTTTTATTACCTTACTTTGTTGCAAAGAGTTAAATGAAAAAAGTAATCAATAACTGCATTACTACTTTTAATTTAAATGGAATATTTATATACAAAAAAAAAAATACATAGCAGATACACTTTACACAAATAAAAAAATATTTTACAGATAAAAAATAAAATATTATGAATGTGGTGAGCTTACCTAAGTTTTTTCTCCAGAATACTGCAAATATGATCAGATCGTTCAAGAATGAAGCGTAGTGCGCACAGGCAGCATGCAAATGATAAAAAAATCAACATTTAATAATATTAAGCATAACAACAATTTCAACTAAATGATAAATATTATGTAGTAATACTACCTACAGAGATCAATAACTAACTACATGTGACTGAAGAGATATGTGTATAGTTTTAAGAATGCGAATTAGATATATTAAAAAGTTCATAATAATTAAAAAATAAAGTGAAACATGCACCACTAGCTGTTTTACATATAAAAATTTTCAATTAGAAATCTTTAATTACTAAATAAGTGAATAGACATAATTTTTTTATAAATTTACATAGTGAAAGTGAAAATAATATTACAAGCAAGCTGAAATAAAGAAAATATAATAATATAATTGATTGTATATAAGTTGCGTTATAGAAATTATTTCTTTTATAAGATATTGTAAAAAATATGGTACTTGATATTTAAAATTAATAGTGAACATGTACCACATCCCGTTAATTTTATTTAAACTAATAATTACTATATAATACAATTAACTAATTAGTTATAATACAATACATTGATTTATACATTATATTTAACTATAACAAATTTTATCAAATTTGTGATAATTTATTTTCAAGGTTTTTGGTGTATCAATTTTGTTTATAACTTGTTTTTGAGGAAAAATGTGACAAATGTATTTACTATTATTCACATTCTAATATTAACACAAAACATGTTATAACATAAGGATTATTGCAGAGAATTTAAATAAACCAAAATACTATAAAGCTATTAATATATTCATAAAAATTATAATACAAAATTCTGATATAAATAAAAATAGAAAATTAAATTTATCCGCGCGAATATTTCACTGATCGTCATTAAAAGTAGTCTATATCCTTCTCCATCTTATTTATTACGTACATATTAAATTTTAAAGTTATTTAAATATAAGTAAGTAAATAAGTGCTAAAAGGTAACAGACTCACTTTCATTTTTATAATATTAGGGAGTAAGGATTGTCAAGGACTCTATTATATAAAAAAATTCACTAAATTAACCCTAAAATTTTTTTTTTGATCACAATTTAAGTCAGAGACAAGGTTTTACCTCTTTATCTCATACATGAAGGAAATTTATTTACTGTTTTAAATACGAACAAATGTGTGGTCTCTTCTAAAACACTGATTAGGAGGAATTAAAATAGCCATATTACGCGAATCATATTATGATTGTTATGGTACATCTAGCAGAGTTTAATATCCGCACGCTGATCAGGGCCGTGCCTGGGTATATGGCCGCCTGCGTGCCAGTCTGTATGGCCGCCCCCAGGATAACATTAAAAAAAACTACTTTAATTTTTAATGTTTATTATTATACACAGGGCATCAAACTTCGTATCTTAATGAAAACAAACCGATTGTATTTTTGCCCAGTAAACAACTTGTAACGATTTGGCCGCCTCTTAATTTCGGCCGCCTGCGTGCGGTGCACGCAATGAACGCCCGTCAGGCACGGCCCTGACGCTGATGACATAATTAACGTTCCATTACAGTTACATACAAAATGAAGCACAAAATGGCCCTCAAGGTCAATTTTATATTTAACTAGCGTTTGTCCGCAACTTCGTACGTGTATATTTTGAAAGTAAGTAATCTTTTCTAGATGACGTATCAAAAGTTCATGATAAAACAAAATACTAGATTTTAAGGAACTTCAGGAACACAACTGTAAAAACCGTATTCAATTTGGTGCAGTAGTTTTTACATGATGCCGGATAAATACAGACAAATATATGTAATATGTACAGACAGGCAAAAATTTGAAAAAGTAATGTTTTGGCTTTTATTGCTCTAATCAAGGTCTCCTATATCATTTAAATTTTTACATATCTCTTATGTACAGATACCATCTAGTTATAATTTATGTATATTAATAATATTAGAAGATAAGAAAAATAAAAAAAAAATTGGTATAAAAATATTGTAGGAAGGAAATGCGTGTGCATGCTGCGTGGGGTGTCACCTGGAGCTGAGCAGTATCTCGGCCTCGTCGGGCGTCATGCTGTCTGGCTGTTTGGTGTCCGGGTCGGCCTCGTCCCAGCGCGCCTCCGCGTCCGGCTCTCCGCGGCCGCCCTCGCCGGATGCGTTCTCGCCCTCCGACACGCTCCATTGGCTAGTGGTCGACTTATCGAGCACTTCTATGGAGCCCTGACTCGCCTCACTTACCACCACCCCCGAGTCCTGAAATGTAGTAGAATATTTTTTTAAAAAATTCCATATACGATCAGGTGCTATTTGGCGAAAATGCATCATAAGAAGTACTAGGAATTAGTTTTTATTAATTATAATAGAAAAATTACGCAGACAATAACTGGAAATTAATGAAAGTTATCAATTTTTATTTTAATCTACATATCGTATCGGTGATGACGTTTTTAGCATGTTATATGATAACTAATGATATAAATGATATCTTTGTAGTCTTAAAATGTCTATTCTTCACAATTTGATTTGATAATTTTTGTTAAAAACAGCCATCATCTATTCCATGAAATATAAAGACCTTTCCCCAACTGCCAAAGGAAGAAGGGCAATATTTTTCGAGTATTTATTACTACATATATATGCAACGAAATTATATCAAAATTTTTAACATAGCGTGTAGCTTCAACGAACGTGGTTTTTATGCTTAAACGCGTTTTTTTTTTTAGATTCGTTTTATTTGTGGGAGTACTAATAGGTACAATAACAATAGCATGAAATATGTATGAAGACTATAATCTGCCGAAGATTTAACGAATTTATACTCAGGATTAGCAATGCATGAGAAGTACTAAGGGAGTCATGGTGTATTTTGTGATATACATGAATTTCTACGTATTTGCCGATCCAAAATACATAAAGTATAAAAATATTTACTTGTTGTAAGACAGAGAGCGTATCAGGATCTGAACGTGCGCATTCAGCGTCTCTGTGGTCGCGCGTGAGCGGCGGCGGCGGCGGCTCGCGGTAGTCGGCGGGCCGCAGGCGCGCCACTACCTCTGGAGAGGGCTCGTTGAACCCACCCTCGTCAGACACACTCGACGCGCGAGAACCAGGCCGCCGCGGCGTTTCCTCCGCCTCAGAAGACTTACGCCCTCCGCCCACTGTCATACATAAGAAAATAATATATATGTCATATTCTTCTCCCCCTTCATTAGTTTTACTATCACAGACTGGACATTTAAACATTTATCTATATCTCAAATAGATCTATCCATCAATTGCCTAGTACCATATTCCATAATACAAGCTCTGCTTAGTTTGGGACCATAAGGCGCTATATCTGTATATTTATTTGTTATACATACAGTGGTATTTATTTATTTATGTAACAATATTCTACGTGATTTCAACGATATTTTTTATATCTATTACTTATAGTGGTATTTATTCCACTACAAGTTACATAGATTAAATTATTTGTCATTAACACTAGCATTCCTAAAAAAAAAAAAAAACAATCCGTATATAATAATAAGTAACACATTTGGAATCTTCATAATATAAGAATAATTGAAAAAAATATAGACAATAAATATAAAATCGAATTCAGGTTAATGAGTACGCTATTTTTAACATTGAACGCAGGTGGCGATCATACAGGTGGTTAATATAAATAAAAGTAGTACACGTAGAAATGTATTTAGGAAAAGTTTACTAAACAAATGCTAAATAATTACATTTATTTTTGGAAAAAAGGAATGAAGTATTTTTACTTTTTCTTTTTCTCATACAAAATGTTTCTAGTTGCCAACTCAAACAGTTTGTGTTATATCACGATCAAACATCGTGATATGACACAAAATAATTTAACTCTTATCTCCAAACTCCCTCAACCGATTTTAATAAAATTATGCAAATATGAATTGTTTGTTTCAACTTTGAAAACAGGATAGTTCTTGTCCCGATCATTAACTCAGTAGAGGGTGGTAGGAAGTAAACGTTTGACGGGTCAGTTAGTAATAAACATGTTGAAACAAAGTTTCTTCAAAAAAGTCTAATACTTGCAGATATACTACATATATATATTACATACTCGTATACTACAATTAATATATTTAATACCAATATTGAGCATGAGTCTCATAGGCACTATAATGGCTCAATATTGGGTTTATTTTCAGTTTTCCTTCTTTATACTGGTATTTTATTTTGTTTTCCTGATCGCCTCTTATAATAATCGATAAATACAACTGGTATATTCTATGATGTTCATGGTGCCGTTCATATGTGTAGATGGTGAACAGCGGTACTGTTTAATATGCCGTCAATTTAATTGCTCTTTTAAATTGTATAAAAGTAACATAAACCAATAAATAAATCATACTCAGTTGTAAATACACGCACTAAATTAAAATTAGATGTTACATTTTTAATCATGTTCATACACGAGAAGGAGAAATAAATTTTATCTGGTTATCATTAGCAGTAAATTATGGAGTTCATTCAACGGTCGTGCGTCTTCGAAGCAACCTAAGGAATGCATCCAAACGGATATAGTAAATTTGTATTACAAAGACTCTTGTAGCGTGGTTATCAACGGAGCATTCAAGTCGTAATAATCTATGCAAAGCATGAATTCACAATAAACCGTTGGAACTATCACGCGATCTCGAGACAGCGAGTGCGACTCGTAACCACTTTACTAATTAACGCTCCGCTACAAAATTAACTGGAACGTTAATAGAAAATATGTTCGCATCGACCGACTATAGGCTTAACGTTGCGCTATGTACTATAATATTTGTTCTAGTTCATTGTAATTTTATAACAGAATTAAAATACGGAAAGCCATTAATGTATTTTATTTTACTGTTAAACTAGCTGTACTCATGACTTCATATTATACAATTCAACTCAATTTGTATAAACATAATTTGACTAGTAATATCTGCAACTTCGTTCACATAACTTTAAATTTAAATTAAATTTTTATCCCGTCTATTTTGTAAATGTATGATACATTTACAAAATAGACGGCATAAAAATTTACGTTGAGTTGTTGTAATACCAAGAGACATCAAACAAAAATCTTTTTAAAAAGGATATTGGTACAGATTATTAGATACTAACGCCATCTACATATTGCTCGCTATCCAATTAATTATTATTAATGATAATAATAATTACCCTTAGACTTTTATAATTTTTACACACTCGTTTCCTAAAGATTAGCAATCCAAGCAAATTTTTGGGATTTATATTCATTATTACATTTGATTCGCAAAAAAACCTTATCGTTACAAAATTAATATGGGCCCTATGCACGATTAAACTCTTATAGAAATCTGTTCAGAATCGCCGAATGGTCTTGATGTAGGACTGGGCCACCCTTTTTTTCCCCGTGGGAATCATAATAGCGACTAAGGGAACTTAATGTTTAAGATATGAGCTGTAGTGTCCCTTTAAAATATCGTCAAAGCCTAATTGCGGTTGCCAACCCGTCTGCCAATCGTGGCAACTACTGATAAAACCCCTCAACAGCGGAAGGCCTATATTCAGCAGTTAACAATAAACAGTTGATATGATGAATTGAAAATCTACTCCTTTTAAAGTTGGTTAAAAAGCATTATAAACAATTCATTTTGACACGCGTGATTTTATTAAATAAATACTAGAGAATTTTAGTCTGTTTACATTGGTACCCCATCATACTGCACCTAATAACAGCTGCAAGGTAGCTGTAACTGAAGCTGAATATAATATCGAGCTAGTTGGAATTGGATATATTCACTGCAAAGATAAAAATACGCATGGACGAAAAGCGTTGCAATGACGAAATGACCTTCCTAAATGTGCAATGGCCAGTCCAATAAATGTAACAATGTTAAATGGACCTCCCCACGCAAATTTTGTGAAGAACACTTAAGGACGCGTCAATGATATACATATATAATACAGATCTACAAAAGACCTAACTAAAGATCCTATCGTAAATATGTGTTTGGAATCTAAGATTCCTACGTTCCTGCAGCCATTCAATACGCGTGTACACGTCACTGTGGTTATATGTACTCTATTGTTAGAACAGTATACAGATACACACTTCGACAGCTCAATGAATGACTACTACAATGAACCAAATATTATATATGGATTACTTACACCGAATTAACTTGGACAATTATTAGCGTGTCCAGTTCATTGGTTGTTGATCAACGTTTAAGAAACATGATGATATAATTAAATTACATATAGAACTTATATCCGTCACATGAATAGAGAAGGGGCAAATAACTAGGATACGACGTTTTAAATAGGTTAAATACAAACATACCGGTCATGAGTTAAAAGGCGTAAAATATATTGGAAGTCATGCAATAAAACTGCAAACGAGAAGCAATCCAGAAAGCATTGAAAGTGAACAGGATATGATGCTGTTAACTAACCGAGGCAACAACCGCAGAGGCGCATATTGAGCGTGCGCATGCGGGAGGAGCTCGCGGCGCCGGCCGCACCCGCGGGACTTGGTTCATCACCTCGCCATTGTCGATTGTTTCTTGGGTTCACACCTCGAACACTAACACGAACGTTAAACTCGAAACGTCGTATTTTGTCTTCGTTAAATCAACACTATGTTCATAATATTATCACTATTACCTTTCATTCTGTAGTTTTCAATCATATACGATATAGATAATTACTAAAGATTGGAAATAGATCACAGCCTACACTATAAATTAGATACGGAATGTGTTCCAACCTGAGAAAGTGCCCAATATATGTTGTAGTAGTAAAAGTTTACGAGCGTAGTGTTGCTGGACACCGATGCCGGTACGCCATGTAAACAAACACCGCCACAGATAAGCAATTTGGCAACGTTAGACGAACAAATTTGTGCTTCCAAAAATAACAAACACAATAGTGTAAATAATGTAGATAGGTAGATCGTTCGCGCAAACTAGAGGTCAATGAGTTAATAGACAATGATAATAAATTCCCTGGGTCTGTAAAATAAGTAATTGGGTCTAAAAACCTTTATGTGTTGGATAAATATTTTATCACGAAGTCTCGAGTCCGAAACGTTTCCCAATAAATGTAATATTTAGAAGGTTGAGAGCATTGGCTTGTCGACTAAAACGAGACAGGATCAAAACAGAGCAAGAACTTAAATGCAACCACTATAGTATAAGAGTACTAACTAAAGAATTTCATAAATTTTAATAAGTAATCAAAAACTAAATATTGACTAAGAATTCAAGAACAATATTAAGAAGACCTATAGGTTTCCTTGAATAAGGTTTTCAGACTTGGTCGCTACAGTCCAATGAAACTGAGAGTTTATTTTGATGTTTTATTAACATACCGAGAAAATCGAGAGAACGCGAGCGCGTCACGCACGCTTGTACGAAACTGTAAACATGGTTTCCGCAGAAAAAGAAAATTATCAAAGAGATTAACGCGTTTACTTTAGTTAGCGGTATAAACTAAAAGAGCGAATGAAAGGGAGCGCGCAGGACGACGTCGCTCGGGTTACTGCGTCGCGACGGCGGAGGCGGCGGCGCCGGAGCATCTAAATCGGGATCGACATCGACTAGCGAGTCTCGCAACGACTCAAATACCTTGACTTCCTCAATATTACATTGAACCCGCCGACCACGAGTTCGCCAAACATACGTCAATCGACGCCCACTAAACATCTTCTTAAGATAATTTACTTCCCACGATACAAAAACAAAGTAACTAACTTAACGTTCATCTTGACAAAATCGTGTTTAGAATTTATATGCTGCTACTGACAAGTAAAATTCAAACTAAATTGGTACGAGGATGATTACTAGCATTATAAAACTATTGAATTCAAAATAAGAAATAAACTACTACCGATATTATTATATCTTCACGATAACTGCCTTGCGAGAAAAGCAGAAACGATAGAGCACCGACGCTGCCTACCCTATATACAACTTACACTTAATTCTATTTCATAACATATCTAACGCATGCCAGCCATTTGCGGAGACTTGAGTTGATGAATTCTTTTTCAAAGAGTAGATGTACAGTCTATTTGGGGTTCTTCAAAAGGGGGGTAAAGAGGTTTCTTCAGGGTCGGCAATGCGCGCGTAATACCTCTGGTATTGCAGGCGTTCATAGGCTACAGGTAACCGCTTACCATCAGGTGGGCCGTATGCTTGTTTGCCATCTCAGTGGTATAAAAACAAAATTTGATTGTGATCAGTATCGTATTCGTATTTAGGTTCTCCGGTACTTGACGCGTTTTTTTACTTCAGATTGTACATTCGTTTCGGTATTACACATACTATAAACTTCTAAGCACATTTAATATCTATTTAATGAATACGTCTGGAAAGAAGAATCTTAATCATCAATAATTACATGCACTATAATTAGCAATATGAGGGTTTTGTGTTGGAAAAAGAGTCTGATTGCACCCTACTACTACCCTTATAAATATTTATTTTGTAAACGAAATTTAAAATGCAGGATAATTTATTAATTTATTTAACTCTTTATTGCAGATATACAATGATTATAAACTCTACTAATGATAAAGATACCTTTTTATTACAAATTAGAAGCCACTTTTACCATTCCGCAAATTGAGGTTGAACAGTGTCTTAGTTTATCATGTGAATAAAGGGTTACTGTTTGAACCCGCTTTAAAAGAGGTGGTTCAAATTTCGCCTGTATTTTGTGTTTTTATAATTTTTGCTTTATCGATTAGATAGAGATTACTTCCACGTTGGCCCCCTATTATTATTATTTTTTTATAATAAAGTCGTCTTACAACGATACAACGTAAAAACACAAATATTTTATTAAAAAAAAATAGTGACTATGAAATCATACCTGGCGAAGGTGAAGTATGAAGAGAAGGCGGAGCCGAAGAATTAGTGTGGTGATGGACTGGGGACGCTAGTGGTGATACAATAGGAGACTGGGTTGCTACGTTCGTCTCCGCTACACATCCTGGGGACTCGGGCGTTGAAGTACGCCGTTTAGACTTCTCTTCCCAGTTTTCGTCATAAACTACAGCTTCATATCCATCTTCTTCTAAACTGGTAGTTTCTGATAATTTAGGAGAAATTTTGTCATTGTCCTCCAGGTTTGCTGGTTCTGGAGAACAATGATCACTATGAATTCTTTTATCACTTTCTTCATGTGTTTGAGCTGGTGGCGTAGGAGATGTAGATGATCTTGAAATAATAGAATACGTGTGATGGGAATCCGTATGATCAGTAGAGTCTGATGTACACTTATGCCCATTTTCACCTAGTAAAGGTGACAAAGATGGTTCTTGTTCTGTATCTATCGATTGATCTTCTTGAGAAACTGGTAAAAGAGGAGACTTTGGTGATCTAGGTGGTGGGGAAGGTGGAGATTTTCTAGGGGCAGGATCAAGCGGTGCTGACACTGTAACTGGAAGTTGTGGTGTTGGTGATATTCGTTCGATTGGTTTTGATGCCAAATTGGGAGATTGCAAATAGTCTTTTGTTTTAGATGGCGATAACTCACTTTTTTCCTTAGCTAGTTCATCTTTATCATTTAAAGATGCAATTGACGATCGAGATTTTGGTATTAGCCGCTCAACTTTTTCTATTGGATGATAAGATACTTCAGTACATGGTTTTACAGGTGAACTCGAACTTTCTCTTCTAACAGCTGGCGAAGGTATTTCGGATCTAGCGGTGGGTGAATTAACAGATCTGGCTGAAGGTGACACATTAGCATTTGTTTTTATAGGACTAGGAGATTTCGTGCCACTTCGATTAATTAAACTAGAAGGGAAAGTACTAGGGCGTTCTATCTGTGAATCACCAGCACCAGGCGATTGCGGTGGCGAATAAACTCGTGACGGAACAACATACCTCTCACCTACTTCTGGTGATTGATAAGTACTTGGATATTTAGTATCCACTCTAGACTCATGCTCACTTCGAGCTGGTCGAACTTTATTGAAATGGGCAGTCCAATTTTTCTGCTTTTCGATTAATTCTTTGTTAAATCGCCTGTCTGGTTTATCTGGTTTAGGTAATACACTTGGTTTTATAGGTTTTGGAGGCGGTTGTGTTGCACCATTTGACAGACGGTCACCATTTAGGGTCGTTGTTACGATAGGTGTTGGAGTAACTATACGCCTAGGTGGGCTCACAGAACCCGCGGAACTGGAACGTGAACGAGCTGGTGCTGGAGGTGTAACGCCGCGCGTACCAGCAAAGCTCGCTGCAGCCGATGGCGACTTTTCAATTCTAAAACCACGATTCTCCTCACCCAACTTTTCAAAAAGAGCTCTGGCATTATTAAACCGTGCCAGATGACTCTCTGTTCGCACAACCGTCACATCACTACCACGCATTTCTTCGTCTTCTTTTGATGGCATTCCTTGAAAAATATTAGCAATTTTTGAAACTTTAGTCCCTGTATGCCTCTTCTTGCACTCCTCCATACTAGCCGGATATGCCCGTTTTAATCCAATCTGGAACAGAAATATTTACAAATTGTAAATAAGAACATGAAAATTGAAATAATAATTGAGACGCGTTTGTAGGAAAATAATGATAAAGTAAGATAGGGACCGGCGCTCGAAGTATGACGCGAGCAGGCGAAAGGCGCGCGCAAAGCGGGCACAGACGCGCGCGACAACCAACGCGGCCGAACTTGATTGTTCTCCGCATAATTTGACTTGAGATAGCGATAACGTTGATAACGCCTCATATTTATTTAAACTTAGGCATTGTACTAATGTACGGTCATTTCTTTACGAAGTTTTTATGAAACAATATTTTTACAACAACAATTTTCAATATTTTAGACCGCATTATATTTTTTCAAAGGTAAACTAAGAGAAAAATCTGAGAGAAAATGTTATATATCATTAAATCCGCCTATTGTACCGAATTATTTTTTGTACTGTCGTTAATAAAGATTAAATAAATAAATTATGAATATTATCAAAATTATTTTGATATTTTTAATTCCAGAAGTACTACATAATTAAAAACAATAAAATTAACTGGAAAATATTACCTAAACACATATAAGTACTTAAATAATGTTTCTCTATTCTATTATTTCTATATAAATGGGGAATATTTGGCTAATGTAAAATGTGTTTTAGAGAGGTAAATAGAACTAGAACGATGATAGCTTTCCCTCTTCTGTACCACTTCTAATATTGTTTTATTGTCTAAACAATTTTGGCAATTGTATAATCCTTTAAAATTTTGACCCATGCTCCTAGCTTGTAAAATAAAATCAATTATTTGGAACATAAAGATCCACTGCGTTCAAACGATATAAAAAAGTGACTCAAACCAATATCTACAATATTATCAATTCGATAAGTTTCCGGTGATAAAAAAAAACAAATTACGAATAATTACTGAATATATTGCTTCAGTACCAAAAGAATAAGCAAAGTAATTGTTGCACAAGTAAAATGACTAAGTTAAATATAGTGGTAATAACTGCTTTTTGTTTATTAAAGGATTTAACAAATGCAGCCAATACTTGTGATGTAGCGCAAACATGTGTGACAGATCTATCAGAAGCAAATTGTACTAGTCAAAATATGGTTCTAGTGCGAAATTCCAATATATTCGGATGTTGTCCCAGCTGTCAGCCACCAACTGGTAAGACAAAAAATCATTTATAATTAATATTAAATAATTTAATTTTGTTGCACAAATAAAAACTACTGATTTCAATCAACACAAAATTAATATGGCAACAGCACTCATGATTGTAAACGGATATCAAAATCAGTCCAAAATTGGCGAAGATATTGCAAACACACAACACACACAAATAAATGCAACCGAATTGCTTGTATTGTAAGAATTAATTGAAGTATATGAAGGAAGCGAAAGAAATCTGTTTATATCGACTTGACATTCTATTGGTTTTAATTTGTCGTTTCTTACCTCAATAGGCGTCATGTATATTTAAGTTCACCACATGAAGTAATTACAATTCAGGACAGTTTCAAATTTGCCAACTTAAGGAGATATTTGATCGCGGAGTTACGTACCTATCCAATTTCCAGGAAAAATGGTTTTACCTTGTAGAAAATTACCGGCTCATGTTAAATTGTACAATTACCTACACGAGTAGTTCGATTTCATTTGAAAGTGTAAATAAGTACAGGTATTTAAAATTGTCGGTAGTATTCAGAATTTTGCAATGTTGTCAATGGAAACATACACCTAGGTATTATCATATCCCGCAAACTTTGATCAACATTACTGGTAGCTGATGGTCCGTTAAAAATGTCAGGTTACTAATATTCTAAATGAAATTTTAGTTACTTCACTTAGCAAAATGAAACTTTGCTTTATTTCTAATTCTTGCTAATTCGTTTGCTTTATTTTTCAGTATCTGTCAAATATGGTCCTTTTTTAATATTTTTGCAATCGATAGGATTTATACACAGCCAATTAATATAATAATAATTTTGCTACAATTTTTGTTTGCAGAGCATAATCTTACCTTTATATTTTAAATCCTATTGTACGATTTTGTCAATACTCTGTACGGTTTTCGTTTTAAAACAAGAATTGTGGAATTAGTCAAAATCTATTTTGTGGCAATTGAATAAGCTGTTTTTACAGAGCAAAATCAAGTTATCAGTTTTATATAATTACATCATGGCCATATTTTAATTGTTAAGGGATAATATGGATTAACAAAATGAAAATTATAAATGCAAGCTTATGTGCACTTCAAAGTCGTATAAAAAATATATAAAACAGACACTAGATTATTATAAACATTTATGTCCTATTACTAATTTAATGCATGAAATGCAAACAATGTATCTATCATTATGAAAGCTCTTAAATTACTTATAAAAACATCAATTGAAAGTGCGTCAGTCACAGCTTAGAAAGTACAAATAATTGCAGTTATATAGGCGAACCGGTCAATAAATATATGAAACTACTTTCTTATTTTTCGACTTCATTCGCATCCAAAGTGACAGATTTTGCAACATTGACATTTTATTATGGAACAGACAAGCATAACCTGTTTTCACGTAATATAAAATATTACGTACACGTGTAGACTCAAAAACAATAACGAAACGCTAAATGTGATGTAATTCATTAATTTAGCAACATTATCCCACAGTATGACGAGCATGATTTATAAAAATCATAGCGACGAAAGAAACTATAATAATAATTAATACATTGTATCTCAGTTTGTCATTAATTAGTGTTTTGACTTTATCGAAATAGCTTTTTTCTTGCGAAGTAAAATGTACTCGACGAATAAAATTGTGCTTGAAAAAAAATTAAACTAGGTGTTGAATCAAAACTAATAATAATAATTTATAAGTAATCATCTATTATTTGTGTCTGTATTCATCAATTCATGCAAATTTACGGTTGCTCTTCCTTTTCCCGTTCGGAACACCTTGCACTCTGGTACCTTTTATAGTAAACATTATAAAAAAAAGTCTGATCGTTTAAATTCTTATTACTAGTAAGGTGTTAGTATACTATATGCATAGAAAGCCGTACAGAAAATCAATGTAAGAAGAAAAAAACAGACAAACACAATTTAAAAAATAATATAAAAATACAAGATATAAAAAAGAATGGCTGGCCAAGTTGCCTGCAACAAGCGTCAATACTAATCATCAGTTGGCATCTTTAACACATGCATATAGTAAGATTTCAGAGAAGTTTCTTCCTATACACCCTTACTAAATTTGCAGATTTTTCCTAAAGATGGCAAGACAGTGGCAGTAAGAATAGGTTTAGAAAGGGTTTGCAACATCTCATATACAAGACAAAGCAGGTGCCATTAACAATAATCAGCTACGAGAAAACATACAATATATAAGTTAATTAGTAGCAATAAAGTAGACGATGGAATAAATGTATGTTAGAAATAGATAGACCGCGGGAACTTTTGTTTCCCCCGGGTAGGTATAGCCCTTACGGACTTACATCTTACGATGAAGATACTATCTAAGCAATTATCTAATTACATGTAGTATATGTATAGAGAATACAAAGAATCGTATCAAATGTTTGTGAAACACACATACACATTACACATACATATGTAAGCTCAATACAATCACACTATAATGTTATGTTTATTATATCCTATATCAAGAAGACATTATGATAATATCGTGTGTATTAGGAATGATAGCAACAATAAATATAATTAATCGACGTCTATACATAAAAACATTTAGGAAACACTAATGTGAAACCCTTCTGAAAAAAGTTTTTAGAAGCCAATCATAACATTTCATTAAATATTTTTCTGTGTCATATTACTCGTGACCTTCACATTTATATCACTGAAACCATAACTATAATAGCACCATCTCGAAGCCCAGTCTTAGGCTATGCTCACGCTATAATACATAAAACGCATGACAGGGACATAGTGATTAACAGAGGTAACGAAATATGCTCATGCAAAAATGTATGTATGCACGACAGGTACACCAGATACTGGATGCACTGCTCCGGCCAACTGTCTTCCAGATGGGCGGTACGCACCTGTTCAATGCAAAGGCGATTTATTTAACGGAAGGTAATTAAATAAAACTTGTAATTAAACGAACGACTAAAATAGTAATCAGCTAATGATATAAATTATTGATTACACCTTTTAAAATTTATTAACAACATTTATCCCTATTATAAGCAATAAATGTCACAAAAATACGAGACAAAAATCAGTAGATCGCGTGTTCAGACAATAAAAATTGTAAAAAATATAAAAAATGCAAAATAAAAAAGCAATAAAAGCAAAATATTAAAATATTTTTGCCATAATTATATTAATTTCACCTATCTGTAACGGTTTAAGTAGCGCACGCTATTTTTTCCGAGTTCCAAGAACTGAGTTCAATAACTAACCTAACCTAATACTATTTATATATACAGGTGTTTCTGTAGCGACGAAAATGGGAAGAGAATATTTGGACAAATGTGGAGAGATCAAGCTAGTGAAATGACTTGTGGTAAGTAACAATAATTATTTTCTAAATAAATATGTATTATATGGAATGAGAGAATTATTCTCGTTTTTCAATAGTTACACTTATAATTATCTTATTTTTTTAAATGAAAATTTATAGACTTCATTTAAGTTTATCTACACATCGTTAACATACCTGAACAGGCATGATGTCAATATTTTGCTCGTTATTTCGTAATAACATTAATACTTAATTACACTTCAAATTTTTGTAGACAAGTAATTTACACGACAATTTATACGATACGAGATTTATCGTAAAACGTTCTTAATAAATAAATAGAGAAAAAAAAAATCCAATACACGAGAATTATACAAAAACGGTAATTTCCAGACAACTGACATATGTCATGAAATAACAGACAAAAAAAAAACAATTTTCATTCGTAGATATTATCAATGAGATTTAAATATTTTGTTACCATCATCCTACAATACAGGCCGAAATTCAAGCCTTTAGCGGTACGCAAAATAGAGTGTCTACCCGTATTACTATTGAATACGCTTATTAAGACAGAATTTCTTGAATTAAAATTCAAAAACGACATAAAATCTGGAGACATCCCAGTCTCAGCTCAAAATATTTCGTTGTTTTTTTTTGGTGAAAATGTTCGATTTCACCAAGAGAACACAATCTTAAAAGAATGCTAGCAATTTCAATTTCACCAGGTATAACTTAATTTTTCCAGCATGCAGCAGAAGGAGAGCCGAATTAGAGGCAACGGAAAGAAGAAGCATAACACTTCATTGCACACCTAATGGGGACTATGAACCGCTGCAGTGTGACGATGGTATGTGCTGGTGTGCGGTTCCTAAAACTGGCCAACCCACTGTCACACCAGTACCGGAGAAAGATATGACACAATTGCCTTGTTGTGAGTATGAAATCTACAGTAAACATATTGAAGTTTGACTATATTTAAAAAAAAATGTTTTAAAATCTAAGTTAAAAGAATATTTGACCGTTAATGTTAATTAGACACATAAACTAAAACATACCTAATACCAAGTAAAAAATAGCAGTAATAGATAGTTAAAAATAATAGTATATAAAAAGGTAAAACTCACCATATCTATAAACAATACCATGCTGATTATAATGAAACGAAATCAGAAATTAAAATTACAATAGTCAAACAGTCAAACATGCACCGGCTGTGAAAGGTGGGAATCTAATGTTAAATGAATATGCAGAAGCCGGTTGGGATTAGGTAAATACGTATATAATGTAGCAACTATCGTACACAAGAAGACGACGCGCGTAACAAAATGTGACAACAATAATATATATATATATATATTTGACATATTTATTTTGTACTATGTAGCAATATATAAAGTGAAAAAATCTCCTTGTTTATATTAGCATTAAAATTATAATCGTGTTTTTATGAAATACTATCAACTTTTTTAATGTAATTTTCAAACAAGCTGATAGTCCTCCACATAATATCAGCTACAGCTTACTAACTGAATACTTTAAATATAATTTAAATAAGTCATAATAACAGCTTTTAACTGTCCACTGCTTCAGCTCAACTCCCAAAGGAAAGGCTTATGTGGACATAGTTTTGCCAGTAATTGCCACAGTTGACAGGCGGATTGGCAACCTCAGTTAGAATTTGGGGTTGTTTTCCATGAGACGCCTCTTACAACACCCACGGAAAAGATACGGGGAGTAGCCTATTCTATGCCGAGACCACACGGCTATTACAAATTATTTGTATATAAAATACTTGTGTTTTCAAATAATTCAGTGATTCAGTACAGTAGCAAATACAAGAGACCAATAACAACTGTAACGAATCGTTACAAAGAACCGTGTAGTGAGTGCACTTGTGCAAATAATTATTCAATAGATGTCTTACAAATAAATGAAGTTCTTTTATTCTGACATACTTTGTCAAGATTACTTGGAGAATTATGTTTTCTATTATATATATATATATATGTATCGTTTAACAACTAACTGAAACTAATAAAGGCAAATAAAATAAATTTACGTAAAGTAAGTTGTAGACTAGAACTAGACTAAATGATACAATTCTGTTTACTTTGTTTTGAAATGTTTTGTTTGAATAGAAATTGATGGTGTATCTTTAAAAAGTCATGTCAAACAACTCATCTCTAACAATCTCAACTAGACTTGCTCTCAACAGCAATAGAAATAATTTGTAATTATTATAACTATTAAAACTAAAACATGTTTCGTTTCGTAACCTATTAGCACGTAACTATTATCATTCGCACTATTAGTTCATTATATTTGTTCGTAATTTACCCCATTCGTATTTTTGTCCCATATACTGGGAAGATAATTCGGATATATCATACTACTAGTAGCTACCTAAGCTGCAACATAGCACGTGATATGTTATTTTTATAAGGTCCAAAATAAACAAAATTATTTGGAATAATTGCTGACATAAAAAAAAAATTATAGATGGAGAAATGAAACTTTTAACTACACTTCTGTTTACTACTGTGTAATAAATCGTATGACCTATTTTATTTAATTAAAAAAAAGGGCGATATATTTTTATCTCTTTTATCACTTAAAATCTTTTATATAGTTTTAATATGACCTTTAAATTAGTATCATTTATAAATATATAATTTAGTCCAATTCATTATATTGCAGACAGTGCAGGAGCAATTGGCGAGTCATATCTAAGACGATGTGAAAGCATAGTTCAGAGTTTTAGAAACATACACCAAGAGCAATCGGAACACGGAACATTTTTCATTGGTAATCCAACCACATTCTGCGACTACGACGGTAGCTACGGACCTTATCAGATACAGAATGGAATGTAAGTGTTTGTGATAAATGCAAATTCTATAATCAGTAACACAATTACGGACCTATCTATAATAGTTTAATTCTTCCATTACGTTGATTGTACGTGTTTTTTTATACCACTGAGTTGGCAAACAAGCATACAGCCCACCTGATGGTAAGCGGTTACCGTAGCCTATGAACGCCTGCAATACTAGGGGTATTATGCGCGCGTTGCTGACCATGAAAAAACCTCAATAATATGTGTCTCATAACACATATTATTGAGGTATGATGATGAATATTTGAATAATATTCAAATATTTCTTAGGTAATAATTATTACATTATTTTTTTTTTTATAAAAAAGGAAACGAAGGTAATTAACAGACCCTACCCGCCACTTTGTATAAAATACTCAGCAAAAATCGAGCAAACCGAGTGCTTCGTTCACTACAGACAACAATGGATTATTACCACATTTAGGGGAAGGGGGGAATTATTGTTTGTAATGAAAACCCCATTACAGTAGCCCCATTGCTAGAAATATACAGAGTGAATTCGCGGCTATAGGCAAACTAATCTAAGTTCATCCACACTTACCATCCCTCACTGGTACCTCGCATATAAAGATACTGTAGACAAGGTCTGGATTACCATTCCATTTTAATATCTTTGAGTAATATTTATTTATTTATTTAACACTTTATTGCACCAACATAACATGATTTGTTAAAACAATTTTCAATACGTATAGTGTAGTACAAAAGGCGGTCTTATTGCTAAGTAATCTCTTCCAGACAACCTTTGGGTAGAAAGAATTAAAGCATAAGTAGGTAGGTGGCGCGTTTAAAAAGATAGATTTGTAAAAAATAATATCTGTGACAGGATAATACCTCAGATCCAGATACTATAATACTATACTAGCCTCAAAGCACCCCATCTGGGACTAGTATTGTGTATTTTTTTTATAAATGTATTTTGTTTACAGCGCCTATTGCACTGGTCGAGATGGTAAAATTTTAGGCTCTTGGCAGATTATGTCAAACTTAATGACTGGAATGAATTGCAGTAAGTACATAACTATTGCTTATTATGATTCATGTATAGCTGTACAGCTCCCTGACTACATTATGATTGCTACCCTTTTCCTTACAGTTCTCACTTCATTCATTTTCAAAATACATCTTATTACTCTCATTACACTTTGGTTATAATGATTTTTGTCTTCTTTTTACGTTGTATTTGATCAATCTATGACTTTCAGCATGAAACAAAACTTGCTTTGGATTTACTTCTGCATTGAATTCCATTTTTCTCATTCCTATATCTGACATCATTTCCAATGTCTTGTACAGATGTAAAGGCTGTATAAATATGGCCAGTATATAAGCATATTATATTAATAATTAAGTAAGTTTTCATCCTAAATTGTTTGTAATGCGTTATCATAAATCATAGATCTCAATATGATTTGGTGTGATGTACTATTGGCTAAATGTATATGCATGCGGCGAGTATCATGAGCAGAAATCTCATGTTTACAATATATAATTCATTCTATAGTAGTTTACTATATGTATACTATTGCATTTGTAAATCAAGACAGTTGGGAAGGCATCAGCGTACCGTTAACATGGCGCATTCGCATTGTCACGGTGGGACCGGTTGGCGGCCGTGACCCTGTTCACTGTTCCCGATACGTACGCTCCCACCCATCCCACTGGTTTGCTGGAATGCGGAGACTTCAACACCTTATCATTGTACACACAAATCTTATCAAATAATATGTATAAAAACAACATAATTCATCTCTTGACGCAGAAGATGCTCATTCCAACACTGAGAACTATATAAATCTGATAAGTACTGAAACAGAATCCATTTCATTTCATAAAGCCACAAAGACGTATCGTTAACAATGAGCAAATTAGTAATTTTCTTATAATCTGTTAATTTGGTGAGTGCGAATTAAAATATATTAGTTATGATGCCAAACTTTTACAGAGTAACTCGTTAATTTAACTAAATATTGTTACAACTTCTTACAGTCCTTAACAACATCTTTAATTTAATAATAATAACAACATATTTACATAGATAAGGATTAATCCATCTTATATTATTCATTCACTTATACACAAAGAACACCGAATCAAAATTACTCGTAAATGCAATCTAACTAAATTCTTGAGCATACCTCAATATACCGAACAGTCAACAACGCCATAATCAGTGATTGTTGACGAAGTATACAACATCGGCATGGCATTGAACAAACTAATATTCGCGTGTTCATGTGGTTTCGTAGATATCTAATTTGAAAGCCAGCCACTGCGATGAAGCGAAGGCGGTAGCTATTTTACCATGTTTGGCTTGATTCATCTTCTGATTCATAATAAAAAAGCCTCACCCATACTATAAAAAATAATAATATGCGAATAAAATTATTTTTCCAACTTAAAGGCCTTGGTGACAGATATGAACGAACGATTTTTATAAACCTAATAGCGTTTATATTACGCTCATTACAATTTTATTGGTTAACGTTTTTTAACACACCACTTTCCATTATCAAACATTGGTATAATAGAAATGAAAGCAACTTGGCCATGAACCTCATGATTTTATAAATCTAACGCAACAAATCTGAAACGACTTAACTACTTCATAGTAACAAAACCTTGAAAAAGGAACCTTGACGTACCTATACTGTTACGTATAAGAATAGGTCATACCAGGCCACCGACGACATACTATACCAGGACTGCGATATTAATATTAATTACGCGTTGAGATACACATTATAACTAGCGATCTATAAAAATCTCAATTCTTAAATGCATAAATTGAAGAATTCTTCTGTGTACATTTGTAGCGAAGTTACTTGATAAACCTATAATATAAATCTTAGTAAAGAAATACATTTATTTATTAAAATAAAATTTGATGAAATCCTCCTATTTTAAGTGCGAAACTCCATGTAAATTTTGTCACGATTGAAGACGGATGTTTTTTTGCGGTACAAAATCTACTTTATTATAAAAAGGGACAGCCATTGTGTCTTCTTATATTATACAAAAATAAAAATGTAACCAAATATATTTTATTGACAGACTGCGCCCGTGATACGATGATATACTTCCCAGCGAGCGGAAAGACTGTCACGGAGGTATGTCGGGAGAACGGAAACTATCAGCCGAATCAGAAGGCGGGCGACGTGTACTACTGTGTGGACAGCGATGGTTACATGACAGAGGAAGGTCTGATGGACGCATGGCCAGATGATCACTGTTTACGTTATGATCCTATGTATGACTAAATATTAGTAATGAAAAATATAATGGTTTACTTGCGTATATATTTAGTAATAATTCTATTACCGTTTATTATTGATATTAGTGCATACGAGTACATCAAATGTATGCCAAACTATGAAATTTATTTATTTTGTTACTAGCTTTGCCCGGCACTTCGTGTGGTTATCGATATTTATTTAATTTGTACAAACATTATATGCTTATTCAACACAAATACCAAGTTGGGGATTTCTTCGTAAAACAGGATTACCCAACTAATAGAGTTGATGTCTAATCAAATTTAGAAATGACTAACTTAAATTTCATTGCATATTTTTAACCTAGTTAGCTAATTACGAAAAACAAACCTCAATTTTGGAGACTTTTATAATATAGCATAAGTTTGATGTAATGACCTATTCAAATTAAACGTTTTTATTATTAAAACTAATAACTTTCTCTACTGCCCATTGCATGAAACAAATATTGTAGTACTTCAGCATAATAATCTATTAACATCCCACTGCAGAGTCTCCAAACAGTATAACCAATTTTATAAAGTTCGATAGGATGGCTCGGTATTATTTATATCTTTCTTTCTTGCACTGGCCCTAGCTTAGTTTAACAGGTGACCATGAAGATGCTATCCATTCCATTATGGCTAGCATTCTGTGCGGATTCAAAGAAATTTTCTCTTACGAACACTCAAGCTATACAATTCTCTATCAAGGTTCTCCATAGAAACTACATTATGGAGTCCTTCAAAAAGGATATAATAAAGTTTATTCAGGGTTGGCAACGCCCACGTGACCACCACCACTGTAGCCTGTGGATGCCTGCAACACTCCTAGTGTTGCAGGCATCCACAGGCTACAGTGACTGTTTACCATCAGACGGACTATATGCTTGTTTGCCACTTTCGTAGTATAAAATATATATTTAGGTGCTTATGTTTGAGGGACTGATCACCCTCATTATCATGTCCACAACATCTAACAAAAACATGCTTTGAATTTTAAATAATGTCAGTATACGCACCGGACTAAAGGGTGCTCGCTGTATGTCCCGAGCATCGAGCCGCACGTGTCACCCGACGCCAGGGTGCCGCCGCCCGCTCGCCGCGCGCCCTCGGCCATCTGAAACACACGGCTTGAATTACCCACTGCTGACTCTTCGCCACCAAACGGCCACACCTCACCGCTCCAAGAGACGAGGCCAATTGCACTTTGTTGCATTATTTTAAAACGAAGCAATAATATCTAAGAACATAAATAGAAGATGCAAGGAGAAGGTATCGTTACTTATGAGAAACTCATTGCTAGCAATATAGTATATACCCAGTCAGGTCTCCTACACACGGTTTTTTTCTCAATGGATGAAGATGGAATTCTGTGTTATCGTACGCTGATGGGATACTAATAAATAATCAAGTGTAAAAGTCAGGTTAATTGGCCCATCGTGGTGACACAGGGATAACCGCATGGAGGTCGACCTGCCATTGTATATAGCTAACAAGGAGGCTGTTAGATTCCATTACTAACAATTACCATTGTGTGGAGTTACTCTTAAAATAAATTCTAATAGATTGATATTGGAATAGAAACGTTTCACAATCTCGAATTGCAATACTCGCGAAATAATGGTTCAATATTGTTTTGATAGATGCATTAATATGCATCTATTGTTTGCAATACAAACTATTGTAAACCGAACCTAATTTTAACTTAATTCCTAATTGTTATTTCATGAGTGCAGTACAAAATTGTCATTGACGTTAGATTGGATTGATATTAAATTCAAGAGTAGGCCTGCTGTTCCCATTCCACAAATAAGCTTGTGGCGTCTGTAAATAAATATTGTACATATTCATCTCATAGCCACTTATCAACATCATTACTTTCTTTTCCATCAAGTAGGTTAATTAAATTGTACATAGATATTTCACCTCTTTCTTTCCTTCGGACTGGTCGTACAGACATGACAGCGACGTTTACTTTCTTACATTCATTTCTGCTGTCATTCTCTCCATCTCGATCGCTCGGCTCTTACACTTCTAATTTCCGTTTGTATATATTATTTACTACATATTCCTCTGTACATAATATTTACCTTCTGTATATAATATATGTAAATAATCAAAGTTAGTTGTTATACTTATTTCCTCCAAACAACTAGAAACTCAAAAAAATCCATTTACACATATAATTATCTAATTCTACTGTAACATATCTATTCTGTAATATAGGCCAGTCAGCACGGCACGTTTTTAAGATAATAGTACTACGATCAAGCATACCATATGAAATTGCACCATCTCCGACGTTAAGATGGAGCGAATTAATTTCCGCGAAAGTGCATGACATAATGAAGGATATTGACAAATTACAAACATCTATGCATATGTATACATATTGGTTTGATAATAATCATATCGTGATGATAAAATCGTACTATGCCATGATGTGCCACAATAAAGCATAAAAGCACCCAATAGGCACATGGCAGTATATCATGTGTAGTGCATATCGCCCAATAACACGCCACGGGATATCCATGATTTGTTCTAAACTCTCAACAGTTGTAAATATTCAAAGACAAGTTATTGCTCCATTGCAACCAATTGCAACAAAGTTTACATACCTACACGTCCAGAAAAATATTTAAACAATATATTATGGGCATGTACAGTCTGGTCGGATTTTCATTGCATTAAATAATCCAACGAACACGCAAATATAATCAAATATAATTAAAATCCTTATATCATCGATTGGGTAATTATACAATACCTCCATAACTTCTAACTATATAGGGGCAATAGTTGAAGATTAAGTTTAAAATTTGTCAGGTAACGTTAAAAATTAATTAACCCCTCCAGTGATCAATCTACAAACGAGTTAAATGAAAAGACTATTTGAAAGAAAGTATAATACAGGAGTCTTAAATACTGTATGTAAAAAGTCTAATGCAAGCAAAGTCTTTATGATTTTTGGTTCCATCTATACAATTTAGCCTACCTATTACTGCAGTAAGATCACTTACGATTATCCACTATAGTATAATATACTGGTATGAGTTGTAAGAAAGCTATTGCAATATTTAGTTAGGGGGAATGGGATTGTTAGTAATGGGGTCTGACAGATCATTGATAGGGATATCAGGTCGACCTCCACGCGGTTCCCCCTGGAAAAATCTAGACCTGCAAGATCTAGATCTGAATCCAATATTTGGTCTAAACACAAGAGGCGTAAAAATAAAATCTTGGACAGTTACAATAAACGCCATGACTTTTTTAAATTTAAGGTTCAATTTTGTGAGTCACTCTACCTTCGTTATAAGGGCTTTACAAAATTAATTAAATTAACACCCGGATTAATTTCTATTAAAAAAAAATTAATTAAAAGTCAGTGAGTATAGCTTTTGATTAAAATTGTGCAGATATCGAAAGCAACACTAATTTAAAATACTACAAAACGCAGTAGAGTGGAAAGAGGTCACTGGCTTCGATATAATTTAACATAGGGTTGTGTGCTGGCACCTTAATTTAACATGCAATACCCATTAAAGCGTTCCTGTGACCCGTGTAAGTATTCACACGGCACATTTAGTTATTATAAAACATACCTTTATAATTTACCGTTACAAATTATTTTTTCACATAACAATGTCCTAATCGCGTTTGCCGAAATAATGTGAGTCGCGCACAAACAATCATGAAAAACACTTCCACGTTTCAATTGTATTTTGTCTGGTTTGCATAACCTTATCACACGCCTAATATGTAGTTCATTATTCTACTTATTATTTTATTACGTTTTAATAATGCACTTATTAAATTCTTGATGTAAGCACATCAAGACACTATTTTTCATAATCATAGATATTGTTTTTATTAATATGCTTCACGGGACTTGTTGATATCGGAGGTTAAAATAATCGCTTTACACAAATTATAATAGAAAGGATTCAATCCATATAAGTAGTCAACCAAATTAATAAACATCTTACATTAAGGGCTGCATATATCGCTAAGATCTGTAATAACATCTTAAATTCATAAAATACTATATTGACCCTGAAAATGAAAAATCTATTTAAATTGGTCTATTCATTTAGAAGCTACGATGCCACAAATAAACACAGGTAGAGAACGATTTTAAACTTAAAATAAAAACCCCGCCTTTTCCGTTGAGGGTTAAAAATAAACAACAATTGTACAATCGACGTTTACGGTTAATTTGATACGAAACATAAATAAATATCAAGTATCTACCTATTTATGTTTTTATCTGTAATCGTGTCGTATCAATTTCCGAAAATAAATTGGAATAGGTATGAATCGGAATAAATATAAAATCAGGCGCACGGCAGTGTCCACGCCAAAGGGAGCACGGTTGTACCGTCCTTTTCTGGAAGCAAATGACGGCACTCATGCCCCCCCCCCCCCCCTGTTACTTAATTGTGAATAAACCAAAATTTTAATTTTTAGGGATTAAGAGGATATACTAATAGTATATCCTAAATAGTAAGTTGCTAAGTAAATAAAACTCTCAAAGTCTCGTTCTTTCACTACAAAAAATTGCGAGATCTCAAGTCTATAGTGATATGGTAATGGCACGGCAACATTTCTACTAATAAAATATTTTATTCTCGAGTGCACTGTTTAGATTTAATTAGTAATCGAAATAAAGGTTTGGTATTAGATTATTTTTCTAAAATTTAGGAGCCGTTAAGAGTTTGCATTTTTTTACATTGTATGTTTTTAATGGGATTAAATTATTTACTCAGTATCCCTATACAACGATACAAACGTTATGATAAGATTTGTAACGATTGTGAAATGTCGAGATTAATCGGGTTTTTAAACAAATAAAAAAATAGACGATTTTAGCATTTCAAATATATTTTTTGTATATTTGTTAATTCTGTGTCGATTTTAATGACTCTTTTTAGTATCAATTGGCTCTCTATACTATTGTTTATACTAGAACTTTATCGTACCGGTTTCTAAGATTCCGTTTAGAATCGATAGGGTTTACATTTTATGTATTGGCTAGATTGTTATAACATTCTCCCGGTTGAAGCCGTTGTTTATTTTTCTGGAACGCATTTTTAAAACTCCAATCATGGGGGACCTAAAAAAGTATTTTGTAGGAATAGGTATTATATTAATTTTACAAGCGAAGCGCACGTGTAGCTTGTTAAAAATAAAAACTACCATAATTCTTTTATTTAATGCAATTTAATTACGCTTAGACAGGGTAAAACAAAGTCAACCACTAACGAGCCGAGTCATTGTAAATCGAGTCGAGGGTCGTTCATAAAGGGCTGACGATGTCAGGGCTACAAGACGCCCCGCCACTTGGACACGTTACACAACCCCTCTAAATAACACGCAAATACGTGATCACATAAGTATCCGTATAAAACGCGAGCTACACACAAGCATCCCATTGTGTAGGTACATTGGTATATTATTATATCCCTCTAGAGATCGCATCTGAGTAGGCGCACACCAAACTAGCATTGTGGTAGAAGGAATTGTTAGTGATGGGGATTAGTAACCCCATTGCTAGCAATACACCCTGCCAAATTGACCTCCACATGGTTCCCCCTAGAAACCATCATGCTAAGTCCCAAGTGAAATCATCACTATGGGCTAACTGACCTGCCTTTTTATCAGGTGGGGTAACCATTCTATTATCATACATTTAAAAAAAAACTATCATAGTAATGAAAATCTATCTGAAATTTCAGAATCTTATGCAATGCAAAATATTAAAAAAATATGTCAAATTCAATAGCACCCTTCACACATTTCTATGTCAAGGAATCAGAGGCTTCTAGTTTAGCATATCCAGATTTCTATGAAAGAATTAAATTTTAGTCCTCTTCTCTGTACTTACATACTTAACCCTCCACCAACCATATAGGACAATATCATCTGCGCCAAATTTGGACCAGATGCATATCTTTGTAAGAAAAAAAGGAAGGGACCTCAAACCTCTCTGTTAAAAAAACTTACACACATGTGTACCTCACTAGTAAGGTTTTGAAAGGTGCTTATATGAAGAATAAATATCCAAAACATTTCTTCTTCAATCTTCACAATATCAATTTTTTAGTAAAATCTTAGAAATTATGATTTTTGTAGAGATTACAAAATTTTATTTCCCTAGAGGGTAAAGTATTTAAGTCAAAAACTATAGAAATAGAAAAGAAATTCTAGAATATATTCCCTGAATTTTTTTGGAATTTTTCCCTACCATTAAGTAGGTCAAATTATCATCTGGGAGGATAATGTCCGTGAGGATTGACAATGTGCAAAAAAAACACACAGCGGAGGGTTAATCACAAAATCTAAAACCAAAATTTTTTGTGCAAATTAGAATGGCAAACAAGCTAACGACCTACCTGATGGAAAGTACATACGAGGTTTGTCCGGAAAGTACGTATAAAAGTTTTTTAAAAATTTTATTTTACAATTATTCAGGTAAATCAATTTTATCCCCTTCAAAGTACTCCCCCTGTGACATAATGCACTTGTGCCAACGCCGTTTCCACTGTGAGAAGGCTCCTTGAAAGTCCTCTGGTTGTAGGTTTCTCAGCTGCCCCGTCGTAGCTTTTTTTATCTCATTTATGTCCCCCAAATGCCGCCCCCGAAGTACCAATTTGGTTTTTGGGAACAAGAAGAAGTCACACGGGGCCAAATCCGGCGAATAGGGGGGGTGTTCGGTCACCGTAATGGAATTTTTACTCAAAAACTCACGGACAACAAGAGAGGTGTGGGCAGGGGCATTGTCGTGGTGAAGAATCCAACGCCCCTCTCGCGCCAATTCTGGACGAACTCGTGCCACACGAGCTTTGAGGCGTCTGAGCACATCGACGTAGAATTTTCCATCAACTGTCTGGCCTGGAGGGACGAATTCTTGATGGACAATCCCCTGAACATCGAAAAAAAACAATCAACATTGTCTTGACATTTGAGCGGGATTTTCTTGATTTTTTTGTTCGTGGTTCCCCGGATGTCTTCCACTCTTTGCTTTTCACGGCCATTCTTGCCGAGTTTCGAGAGAAACTTGATTACGACGCGCTGCTCTTCAACGGAAGCGGGCTCCATGCCGACGGGGTTTCGTTAAGAGGTAACTTCACAGATGGCGTGACAAGCCAGTTCGCACCGCACGGCGGTCAGACCAGAACTGAAGCATTGTTAGGGACTTCTTTCTCGCATTCCAGAACACTTTTATACGAACTTTCCGGACAGACCTCGTATATACACTAGTGACCTAATATCACTCTGGTGGTATAAGAAATTGGATAGCACTGACAACACATGCATAAGTTAAAGAACTCTTGAAATGCTGAATGATGACACAGAACTATATGAACAAAAATTATTGTGCATATTTTGAAAAATCTTGTCAAATTTTTCCTATTTGACAAACATAAATCGTACTTTGACCTGAAGAAAATTAAAAGACTAAAATACAGTTTCTGTCATACAGACACTTCATAGAAGAGTTTATGGCAAACAAAATAACTATTTACTCCTCAGACTTTGATATGAAAGTAGTTTAGAATGAAGGGATTTAACTTTAGGAATCATGTTTTATGGTAGATAGACTGTCTTATCATAGTACACCTAAAGTAAATCCATCAGTAATAATATAAATAATAAATAAGGCAATGTGTAAGATTATGTGTGGATTTGCTTACAACAGACCATTGGCATGTGGTTTGGGTTTAGGTACTTACTCTAGTGAGATTCTCTCACAATTTGATTCCAATGTAAAAAAAAAATTTTGAATTTTTGTATTTTGAGTGTACATATATAGAACACTGGTTTATTTTTGATGTTCTACACCCATGTTGCAAATGCTAGAATGCCTATTTGTGCACTTGTTACAGATATAGAATGCAATCTTTAAAAAATTTTAATAAAGATAGTTCATTATTAGTGCATATTTTTTATGTATTAGCCAAGTGTGAACTAATAATTTGGCTACTGCTTTCTTTTAATTTATAATTCTTATGAATATTACCTATTATAAAATTTAACATACACAAACAACATATCCCAATCACACAGACAAAATTAAGGAGCATAGATGGTCTAAAACTGCAGACAGCATACAGATAGGTAGCAAACAGTTTTCATTTTTATTTACTGCACTAAAAAAAATCTATTCAAAGCTCTGTGCAGATGACACATATGTTTGGTATGACAGATTGGAAAATCTACCATACCTCAACTATTAGTTGTTGCATATTTCAAATGCAACAAGTAACACTATATATAAAAATACAACAATAAACACACCAGAGGGAGACCTTGTAAAACAATTGTCTAAATCATGATTTGGTTTGAAGGGGAAAATATGCATTGAAATTACAGGGTATGACACAGAACACCTTAATCTTCGAAAATGGTAACAGATAAGAGATACTAAAGGTGTCACAATATATTCTGTCATTAATGAAAATTACAGAATTGTAGACATAAATAGCATGCCATAGTGTTGTTTATGATGATAAGCAATGGACAACATTTTCTATCAGGTAGGCCAATAATTGGATTTAAAATCTGAGATACATACAACTGCTAAGTTTATTTCATAATTTTTCTACACAAGAATCAAACTCTAAATTGCATTTAAAGCAAGCATTTGTATAATGAATAAATTTTCCTAAGAGGAGTAACTGTACCATCAACCAAATAGTTGAGGGTTGAGCTCGGCTACTTCTTATAAGATTTGCAAGCAAGTTTTATAAGATCAACCATCATATTCACTTTTGAGCTTTAAGACATTCAATTTTAAATTTTTGAAGGATTTCTTTTATTATGTAAAAAGACAAAACTTTATTTAATGCAAACAAGAGTTTGTAAAAACATTAGGTTGGCCATGCTAGTAAAAAATAATATGTGATTAGATTATTCCAACTGCTTCACTCAAAATTTACACTATGCCCCAAAATTTATACTTTATTATGGTTTTGTATTGAAAAAATTAATAAATATAAAATGAGTAAATGGTCTTCTTATAGCACTTAGCATATAAGTGTTTTACATAAATATTTAGGGGTTTATAAATATTTCTTTGGAATTTGGTGCATAAAAATTCTAAATGTAAATACCTTCAATAAACAATTACCGTTGGTGTAGAAGGTATTTTTGTCGCTTGTTCAAGTTTTGAGAGTCACCACACACGACGTTTGTACTAAAACAATAATGATAACGGAACCTAAATCTAATAAGAATAGTGGACATCGTTGTTAAAGAATTCACAGATTCTAATTTGAAACCTGTAAAAATATATACATGTAACTCGCACTGACCTTACAACAGCGTCACGTTTTCTCCAACTTGATGCAATCCGGTTTGCCACATCAATGCCAATTTGTATCACATAATAAAATATAACCAATAAATCACTATTTCACTTTTTCACTAATATGATCTTTTTACTATTCACTACCTAAACCACACGCCCATAAATAACGTACACAAACAGCATTCGCAAGCTAAGTTTCTATGTAGAGATATAAAATAAACGTCAATACCCGGGACGCAATCAGCTACCCTACCATCAAAAGTATAATATCATAAACAATCATTGAAACTTGAGATTTTATGCAAGGATAATTTCAAAGGACAGCTTGTGCTTATCATTGAATAAATATAATACTGTGTAACATAGGACACTTCATTCATGAATAAAATAAAATCACTTTTTATTTTCTTCTCCGTACCGTACTCGCAAACTTGATCGCTCTCCCCAGGTGCCCCCAGCCCCCTTGCAGAACTAGGTAGGTAGTGTTGCAAGTAATCAAATCAAGTCATCAATAAATAAAAATATTTCACGTCACATGATTTTTCTTTTTGATACAATAAATTATATTTTTTATCATATTTCGTAAGTATTTTAATTTCACTGCTTATTTTTCTTAATTACTTCGATCCACAATACATCCATAAAGAAAATATGAGTACTAGTGGTGGGCACTTATAATGGTATATTTATCGACTTTCTGTGACTTTAATTTAATCATAGTTTTAGATTAGATAAATTTTATGATTTATTGTTGTCATAATTTTAGCCTAAGATTATATTAATAATTAATAGATACTCAAAATCTAGTAGCATTACATTCATTTATGATATATGTGGTATAGTATTAATAGCGATTAAGAAGCAATCGTGCTACATAATATAATTTTTTGACAATTAGCAATTGTTTACTATTACAAGGAATCACTCTTACTTCCACTACTGTCCAAAGAGTACTGACTAAGACTACTGTACTGATTGTAAGACTACTGTACTTTCCAAAGAGTGAAATAAGTCAATATCATTTCAAAATGGACCAGGACCCTGCAAAATTTAATTTTTTAAAGAAATAGAAATTTAACATAATGAAATTTCCCTAAGTCTGGAAGCCATGAAAACTTCGCTATTAGAATACTAAGCGTAAAGGTGTTTGAATGTTTTTTTCTATTATGGATTCAGTATTGTTTTCATAAAGTATCAACGAGGAATGAAGTCTAGTCAGTTGACCTATCGTAATAAATTCATCAGGAAATGACCACGACGGCTTTCAGGAAAACCATGTGGAGATCGTTATAATAGCATATCGTGCTAGCAATGGCCCAGACAAAACGAATTTGGTATGATGTCCCTCGAGTGATAATTATGTCGAATACTAAGTTTTAAAATTACTTATGTAGTATTTAAGTAGGTAGCATTACTCGATTTTTTAAAGGACTAGCGAGGATGAAAGTAGGCAATTGGCATGTCTTGATAATTACAAAACACGATAGCTTCTAAGGAACTGTTTTTTCTTATTGTTTGTATTTATAATAAGTTGACTGTTGTGATCTTATGGAGGAAACAGTAAAGAGTATCTATCTATAGAGACAGACGTAATAGGGAATATTGCTAACAACGGGGTCGCTAGTCATTTCAGATTCCTTTTTCAGCACTGCTCAGTAGAACTATTTACTCATCATCAGAATCAACATAATGATCATGAACTTCTATCAGAATACAGGGGTTCCAAGATAGATTTTCAATCGGGCTAATTCAGGATACGAACTTTAGTAAATTGGTTTGGGCTTGGGTTAAGGCCAAATGTTCGTTATTTGGTTTCTCAAAACGTCGTGTTTTCCTATATAATAAAGTTTTTTTTTTAATAGTTCACCCATTAAAAAAATACCATTCATGGAATAGTAACTCCACCTGGGCTATCGGTAATTTAAGAAAGGTAAGGTATGACATAGATTATGTTCATTGTACTGTTAATATTTAATTTATAGGCTAAGATACTTTTCATAAGGCGGACCGTCAACTTGTTTTTCATTCCAATACCTATTAAAAAAAGCATAAAAACACTATAAATACTTTTAAAGCATAGTACTATTAAGATGGACTACGCATGGAGTAGACTCTCGTATCAACCACTTCACAATACGTATAATACAAAATGATATAAAATCGAGATAATTAACGGAATTTAGATAGTGTTCATTATTTAGGTATTTATTGATTTTTAACACAAATCATTGATCTGTTCATTTGTAATTAAACCTCTGAGAGATGATTTTTAAGTTCTACAGAATAACACAACATTTTCCTCGTCTTCTCCAACGAGATTCCATGGAACGTGTTCTATAGGCTTTGCCGATGCGTTTTCTGTGAGTTTTGAAACCTCTTTTATTAGTGAACCTAGAGTCTTTGGATTGCACCCTGGCACACTCGCAAGGAGAGCCGGCACGTGTGACAGTATCCATCGAGCTTGGGCATTTTGTTTTGCTCCTGATACATTTCTTGTAACATTTGTCCGGTTGTGGGCATGGTGCCGGCATCGGCCTATGTTTATGTACACTGCATGTTGGTGCCGATACACACGGCTTTAAACTACTAGTTGAGTAGACGGCTGAAACATAAGGTTATGACATAGAAATTATTAAAATTGTAAAATGGAATTTATTTATTTATATGCAGCTTATTTATTTTCAATTACTATTTTATATAGATATATAAACCATCTAATTATTCCCTACGTCTCGAGTTCGAACATCAAATCTGATGAACATCAAAAACTTGTCAATATAAATTTCTAAACAATGTTTCACCTATATAACGTTGGATTCTAATATGCTGAAGAGAAATCGTGTTTTTTTTTTTATTGATAAATGAATAGTAAATATGCCTGCGATAACGGTTTACGCTTAAAGGACATCAGTGAGGGATGATAGGTGGAAATGAAAAGGTAGGGTCAGTTAGTCCATCGTGATGTATGCACCTGGAATTCAGCTCAATGATTTCCAGGGGAGTACCAAGTGGAAGTCGATCTAATAGAGTACATTGCTAACAATGGAACTAGTGATCCGTATTACTAACAATCCCTCTCCCTAGGCAAATCGTGTTAAGTTTAGCACGGTATTACAAATTCGAAGATGCTTGTCTATATGCATCTTCTAACGAATGAGAACACATTTTTTTTTTTTTATTATTAAGTAGTTTTCTACAAAAAAAGGATAATTTATAACCAATAACTATTATAATTCACCATCATAATATGAATAATGAATTTTAATAATGACAATTGTAAATTAGCAAATAACTTACAGTAACTGTAAGTTAAAATTGTATTGTATATAAATAATAATTTTAAGTATATGTATCCAGATATAGACAGTTCACAATATTAAAGTATTTCGCAGCATTTTTTTCTTTTCAGTCGTCCTCTGTGGCCCTTTCCAGCACAACAGTCGCTTTTCGACCTCGGGGTTCCCTTCTTCCTCGTGTATTTTAAATAGCTGTGACTTCCATTCAATCTATCTTTTTTTTTCATTTGTGATTCTTTCGATTTACGTTTGAGAAATTTTTCAACGGCAGCTACATTCCTGGGATTTGAGGTGGACCTGCTGAATTTGCCACAACTCGAACATATAACTTTCGATCGCGTCGCCATGATTGAAACGGCGCTCTGACAAGGCCTTATGCCTTTCGAGATGGTTTTTTTTAAACATTTTTCCGGATTTTGACATGAAGGCAGCGTGGGATGACAACGCACTGGAGTACATGAAGCTGAAGGCGTGCACGGTGGATGTATACTTGGGGCCATCTGTACGACGTTTACTCTGCAACATTAACAAGTAAAACACACTAATTATAAATTTAATTACATATATTTTTTTATATATCAACTAGTGCCTGCTTATATACTATAACAGAAGCACGAATATAAAGCAACACTACTAATAGAAGCCAACTATTAAACAATTCGAACTGCCACTCACCCTGCAAAGAAATTTCTACGCACGTTATCAAACAGAAGTTAAACAACAACAAAATTACGTAAAAACCTTTGCAATAATCAAAAAGTTAGTGTTTGGTGTAATGATGAGTGAAACATACTGGAGGTACTCACAGTATTTGTTCATATTATATTTGTAGATACTTCTAATGGTATACCCAGAAACTGCGCCGACTTCAAATTTTTACACTAAAGTAAGAAAAAGATAATTTAAAATATATTCATCGAATGAGGTAGAAGACTAAAGCTAATGTTTGAGATAGTAAAAGTCCATTTTTAACGAATACATATATCTATCCTTGCATCAAGTCGTTTTTTAAGTAGATGGAGGGAGTTGAGTGCCAAAAGGATAGAGATAGTTACATATATAATTGCTTCTTTTATTTCATAATACGCCAATCCCGAAGATTTTTTACTCTTCTCTCTGATAGAACCCGGTGATTACAATAGCCTAATCCAGATCTCCCCGAATAGCTACATCTTTACACCTTCGCATTGTAGATATCTTTCGTCAATGTAAATTTAAAAAAATATTCAAATTTATTAAACTACTTGAATAAAAAAAATCATATTGAACAGTGCGTTTGGTCATCACCTCATTAGTAAATGCGTAGGCAACTTTGTACAAAAGTTCAATACCTGTAATGTCTAGATAACATATGAAAATATATAAAAATTGGTTCCAATTATTCATGGTCGTGGCATATACAGGTATTATTAAGAATGCAATTGAACTTTTGTATGCAACTTGTATACGAGTAGAATTCAGGAGACGAGTGGCAGTTTATACTTGTTACAGGCTGCCTCTCTAGACAAGTGTTAAATAATTCTATAGAGTCATTATCGCTACCGAGTCCATGAGATAGCGATTATGATGTCTTATTCTTTCTCATGCGAGGGTTAACTGAAACGTATCTATCGACAGATTCGTTTGCAACTTGTCTAGGCGCAGTTATGCTCACTAAGGTAAACTATAGCAGGCTTCTTTGTACAAAGCTGTCAATAACAATGTCTACCTACTTTAATTAATTAGAAAGATAAAGCTTACCCATAATACTTTTAAGGCCAAATGTAACGAGTGCTGGTAAGAAAAACCTAACCACTAGTACTGTTTCATTTCGATATGATATTAATTTTTTTATTCAATTTTATATAATAACATACAAATTTTAAACATTTTTTATTTTCTAATTTCAACATTGACATACAATTTATTCTTCTTGCAATGACATTTCTTCTTTAAACGGACAGTGTCCTTATAAACCGCGAGCATCTGTATTAAAAAGAAATATGATAGTAGACTCTTCTAAAGAGGAACTCTTATTCTGAAGAGGATAATGTAATTTATCGTATGTAATCTAAAAATGCCGATCTTTGAAAAAATCCTTTTGTAAACTGTAAACAAACTATTGAAAATTTGCAAAGCTTTTAAAAAAAATTAGAGTTTTCGGTTTACAACCATATAAAAGCCGTAATATACGTAATCAAAACTATTTGCGGATAATTTTCATCCATTCAACCAAAATTCCATATTAAACGGATGGAGCGAAAAGATTTTACTGAAACGAATATCTCAGAGCGTATTGTTATTTGAGTTTGAACGTGTAATCAAGAAATGCATGTACATTTATGACATACATTCGCACACAGATGCACGATACATTCTATGCGCATGCAGATCTACTACCTGCTCTAACTGTGAAAGCAAAAGTCAAAACCTGGGCGGAAAATGCACAGTTTCGTTTGTATAACGCTTAACATAACAACAAAGTGTCAATAACAACAGATCTTATAATTCTTCTCTATCTATCCCTAAAGGTCTGTTTTCACTGATAGTGGAAATTAATAGGATTTTTTACTGTATAATTTTCAAAAGAAATTAAATTAAATCCAATTATATCTGTAAATTGAAATACCACTAGAGATAGATGAAACTGGCCGTTCATAAGAAAGTCCAATCACTCTTGAATAACAATAAAGTATATGCAACATAGATAAGCCATTTATTTTTATAATAATAATACTTTTAACACTTGTTATAAATAAGAAAAAATAATAAATGTATGACTACACAACTAAATTTTGAAGAAAAACAATAAAATAATGTAATACCTAGCATGCCAGAATAAGATTTTGGTCTGATCAAAAATTTATTTGTTGACAGTTACAGTTGTTTAAACTATAATAATAAATAAAAAAAGACAAACAATATTCAGACCAAAAGACAACCTGCACTGTGAATTAAATATCTACAGCAAGCCACGATGTCATCTATTAAATATTAATTGGTACAAGTAGAAACATTGTCAATGCAGCTGTCCTCCATCTTTCTAAGTTATCGATTATTTTTTAGATTATAGAGATAAGCATACAATGATCCAACATTTACATAGATTAATCGTGATTTTACAGTAGTTTTTACAAAATGTTGGTATACATTTTGAACATTTTAATTCTGTAAGCCATAATAAATAGAATCCTCGACATGAAATAATTTTATTTTCAAAATTTATGTAATTTTTTTATCATATATAACGACATAGTTTATAATAATAATAATAATCAACAGATTCGTTACCATTACTAAGACAAGTGGAAAAAATAAAAGAATACAAAAATGTGACAAAAAGAAATTACGTACAATAAAATGGGTAACAAATTTAAATGGGGTCCTATGGTAACTTAAACCATGATTAGTAATTTAATTTACTTTAGGCCCCTATTCTCTCGACTATTATATACAATTCTATTCTTACTTTTGTTAAATAAATCAATAAGCCATTTCGAATAATTCAACCTTAACATATAAATATATTGGTAATTAATGTTTCAATAATTATGTTAAAATGTTAACTATAAGAACCACTTTATACATTGGTTGCAAGTTTACCAATTATAATAATATATATATTATTGGACAAGAAGCATGCAATAAATACAGGTACTGTGTATTTTATTCATATACTATCACATTACAATTTACAGCTTAGATATATCGTCATGGTCATAGAATACTGATGGATTTGACAAATATTAAATATATAGATCCGTCAGTATTCTACGACTATGACGATATGTATCTTCATAATATTTCAGTCCATTTACAAAAGGCGATTAGGTAAAATCATTTCCACAATTGTGATGTATACTAATATATAATTATAGGCGATATTATATTGCACTAATAGTTTCATGGAATGTTACTTAGCGATCAGAAGGACAATATTGTGAAAATAACATGAAAAATAACTTTTATAGACTTTGATTTTTATCCTTTTCTTTATCCATGTGAAAATGAGGACAGTGCATTAGTTGTCTTTCTTTGATGTCGATTCCTGATAGGTCGGGGGTTGATCCTGTGAAATAAATTATAAATATTTTTTTAGTATAATAAAACAGTAAATATTTAGGAGCAAATATAGTGAGCGTACATAAAGTAAGTCTTTTATATTTCAACTGTATAGAGATATTATTTACTCATACGTTGCAGATGACATTAAGTTGTATCTGGCCACATACTTCAATGATTTTGCTACCAAGTTACATGGAATTATAAATGAAAATTTATTTCAATAAATTAATAGTATACTACATTTTGTATAAAACTAAAATTGAAAAAAATATACAAATATACCAATTAATCTTATTCAATATTATTTAATTAATGAAATAGAATAAATTAATATTATTATTGGAAACTTTGAAGACAGCAGAATAATAAGTGTTTGTATGGGCGTAGCTGCGTAAAGCGGCAAACAGTTTACAGATATTGGTTTTATCTGTAAACTAAATGTTTACCGTTGACCTATGTTAGATTTGACAATTTATAAAAGATAAATATTCTCAAATATAGGTTCTTTGTTCTTTATTGTATACAAACATAATGTTAAGAACAATTAATTTTAAACATAATGTACAAAGGCGATTCTTACTTTTCTATAATTTTTGGCAAGATTACATGTATAAAATTATTTCTGTAATAATATTATCATAGTTCTTTCAGAATAGTATACTTACATTATAAGGTGGCGGCACATAAGCAGTTTGTGGCCTGTTAGGGTCATAATAAGCGCTCTGGGCTGCCTCCGCCGCTTTAGCATCTGAAAATATTATACAATCTACTGCAACTAATATATTATAATACATATTATACAACCATCTAAAAGCAACTATTAAACTCTTTTAATTATTTAAATTCTAGCTATGTATATCTTAATGTAAAGCTAAAAATACAATGCATCTATTACATTCAAGGCTACTCACGCAGGAGCCTCGGCATGTACTGGTTTAATGCATAAAATTATTCCTTCGAACTGTTAGGTTATATTTAAAAATGTCTTATTTCATAGAACTCGGTTAGTAAACATTTAAAAAAATATATATATTTATTTAAACTCATTATATTTGTCCTCACCACTTGCAGACATGCCAGCCGTGGCTCCTGGTACTGTAAACCCGCCTGGATAACCGGGAGGCATCGACGGGTTACCCGGATATCCTGGCGGCATCGACGAGTTACCCGGGTATCCTGGCGGCATGAAGGAATTACCCGGGTAACCTGGGGGTGCATTAGGAGCGTAGCCCCCACCTGCCGGGGACGGTGATGGGCCGCCCGAGAAACCAGCTCCTGCGGGATAGGTCGCGCCTGATACGCCTGGATAAGGCGGTGGGTTGTCCGACACAAATACCGAATTTGGTGGTGGCTGGTCCGGGAATGCCTGTAAAATGGAAATAAATTTAATCAAGCCTTTTTGTTTCTTGGTGTCTATTCACACAAATCAGCTCGGAGTGGAGAGCTGCTCTTCTCTCCAAACCGGTATGTATGAACAGATAGAATCATACACTCTTATTATAAAATCAGATAAATATATATCCATCCATTTAACATTTCCTTCATTTCGTGACGTTTTAGTTTTAATAATAATTGATATGGACAGTTTTTTATATTTGGCCTTCCTAAATATTACAGTATGGAATAATGACATATCAGTCGAAATTAGGAATACAAATCCAACGGGTCATCATAATACATTTATTACAAATTAACTTTTGCCCGCAATTTCGTACATGTGGATTTTGGAAGTAACCACTTTTAGATCGTGTATCAAGACAAAATAATAGACCAAATTTTAACTTCAAAAATACAACTGTGACAACCATATTCAACTTATTACAATTGTTTTTTCATGATAACGGAACAAACATACATACAGATAGACAGACAAATATTAAAAATATATTGTTTTGATTTCTATTGCTCTTATTGTATTTTTTTCTTAAATATCTTCTAAATACAAATATCACCTAATTCCAATTTTATTAATATGAAGTAAAATCAACGGCAACATATTTATTTTCACGTCAAGTTTTTTCAATAGACATGTAGAAAGAGAGTAGAACACCAAAGCCTCTTATGAACTAGATTTGTTAGAAGTCAAATTAAATAATTGTTACAAATTTTCTGGAGAAATGACTGGAGTTTTCTACAAGTATAAACAATATGTACACATTAAAAAATTCCACATTTTTCATCTACATTTATAAAACAAAAAAATAAATATAGACACGATTATAATCCTTAATGGAGTAGTCAGAGGTTATCGTCAGTTGTTGTTATGATGAGTGTAGCACTCGATATTCTTACTTTTCGCCAAACATTAAAATTCAACGTCACAAAGTGCGAGCATAATACCGTTATTCAAATTACTTTGTAATTTTTGAAAAAAAAATAGAAGTAAAACAAAGAGATCTACATCATCGAAAGTATATTATCTCAAAACGTCGTTATCAAATCTGATAAGCTAAAAACTGCTGCTCACAGTTACTAGAAGAAAAAAAAAAATCATATAAAGATTAACCAACCCAATGATGAAAAATGTTAAATATTATTAGAATTACTTAAATTTACATGCTCCATGCTTTTGGTAAGTGCAATAGTTATGAGTAGCTTTCATAAATGGATACTAAATAGATATTATGTAATAGATATACAAAAAAAATATGTATAAACATTATATAGATTTCTTAAAAGTATATACAAGATGTTATAGAAAGTGTAAGTCTAATCTAGTCTAAATTAATCTAAAATCTAGTACTTATAAAACTAAATAACTTTACTCAAGGAAGGTTGACACAAAAAAAATATCCTTTCTTTTAAATTTTTTACTTATATAATGTACTTACATCATCATCAATATCATTAGATTTGTAATTACTTTTGTAATACTATTGAATTAATGTCTAATAAACCTGTAAGACACCTATTAATTTCTCTTTTTTACTTGTTTAAAGTTTTAAGTATTATTTACGCAACTTCTAAGTTTAATGTAATAATGACTGGATTAATACTAGACCTTAGGTCATGACTAAGGGTCCCAGATAGTCCCGAAACTATTCAAGCTTTCTACTAAAATATACATAAGTTGTGTCGGCCGTTATTACATTATTATGTTTTATACCACAAAGGTTGCAAATAAGCATACAGCCTGTCTAATGGTAAACGGTCACTGTAGCCTATAGATGCCTGCAACACAGGTGTCACGTGCGTTTTGACGACCCTGAAGAAACCTTAATATACCCTTTTTGAAGAACCTCATACTGTAGTCTCCAGGGAAATCCTCGGCAGGGAGCTCATTTCACAGCCTGCGCGTTCATGGGAGAAAATTTATCTGAAACCGCACTGTAAGTGACCATTTAGGCTCAAGCGTGTGAGGATGAACTCCCTGTCGATGGCGAGAGGTGCGATGATAAAAGGTGGCTGTAGGCATCATTTCAAACAATTCCTCAGAACACAATCCGTTATACAAGCGGTAGAACACATAAAGGGAGGCAAAGTCTTGCCTTAGACTTAAGACATTAGTTTTTTTTTTAACAGTCAAAATCTGTCAGAAAAGTAAAAAACTGTTAAATGTACAAAACAAATATTATGTGTGCTCCCCACTTTCGATCCGCTATTTAGACCCTGTTTCTGTTTTACATCTACAATCAAAGTATGAACAGTAAATTTACTGGGACCATAACCGAATTGGACAACCACTATTAGATATTATATCGTACTATTAGATACTAACATTGTAAGGCGGCACCCATCCATAGTAGCCTTGCGGCGGCGGAGCGTAAGCCGGCGGCGGTGCAGCATACCATGGCCCTGTCGGCGGCGAGTAAGGCGGCGGGGTCGCGCCTGGTGCCATATGTCTCGAAGCTGTGTACATTATTTATTATCTACCCACATTTGTTCCACAGACCTCTAGGATTACCAGTCTACTACTTGAGCCTAAGATATCCCCTAATAATTATAATCATGTAACTGACAACTTATAATCAAATAAATGAATTAAATATATAGACAAAGAAAAGCATGAATATATATATAAATTCATAAACACAGCAAATATTTTAATACTTAATTACATGATGTAAACATATCATAATCATCTCAAATCTTTAAATAATTTGATGGGAATTTTAAAGAGAATATTCATTAAATAAGTATATTGAAAGACAATAGCAAAATATTTCTGTGTGATGATTATGACCATGAAAATAAAATATTTAAAAAATGGGTTTGAGATGCATTAAATGTCACTTTAAAGATATCCATGCACTTAAGATTACAAATTATTGCACCTATGTTTTAAAATTTTTAATTAATGATGAATGTCATATATGTAACATTATGTTATTACTGATACAGTAAAACCAATAATAGTTACTTTGTTATCTGTTGTTATCAGAGAAAACAAATGATAAACAGTGTGAACACAATGATTAATAATAGTTTTCTAAAGAAAAGTCATTATTATTTTTATTATGAAACTTACCAAGATGAGCTGCTTTTAGCATGGCCTGGCCAAATTCAATAGCTCCACCTGATTTAAATGTCAATTTGAATTTCACTTCACCAATAAAGTTGCCATTTGGCTGTGCTCTCACTTTTCCTTTAATATAATTTGCTGAAAACATGGGCTGTTCAACGGTTACCTGGAGACATAAATAATAATAAAATAGAAAAAAAAATCCTCATCTTTGCTTTATATTATCCAATAATTTATTTATTTAGGTAATCAATAACTTATAACAGTATAATTATGAGTTATTGAAGTTTTAAATAGACTGCAAAGCTAATAATAGATTATTCTGTGAATACATTTATATGTTATGAATTTTTTCACAATTTCTCCTTTCTAACTCACCTTCTCCCTTTCTAACATTAGAAAAAGCCTTTTAAGTTCAATCAACTACTACCAATAAGTATAGTAAGTACCTACATTCATGTAACAAAATAATAACAATATAATGTTTCACAAATTACTTACATCCTGCAATGCAATAAATGGGAAACTGAAAGACCTCATGGTGTCAGAATTTGATTTGGAATTGTAGATCATTCGATGAGTTGTAAGATACATACGGCCAGTTTTAACACCTTTGAACTCAGCTGTGTCATTACCATAGAACTCCACTGTTACATTGTCCGAAAATAAGATGATACTGCAAATTGAAGTAGCTCAGTAAAAATTCTATTAATTTTATAAATCCTAAATAACATATTACAAAGAAAACATTATTTCTTCGGTAAATTTTACACATGTTGATATGAACAGGAATAAATTGATGGATTGGAGTAAAAAGTAACCTGTCTTTCTCCATCAACAATACTATGACTATACCAATATAGAGTATGTGGGCACTATGAACATGTATGTGTATATTACCAAGCATCATATGTAAAATATATTCTCCTTTATCCATTCAATCAACTAAATCCTATTAACAACAATAGAAACAGATAAATATATACATTCTTTAATAACTTATTAATATTCTACTATTGGGCAGGCACCCTCCTCTCAAAATTCTATTATCCTACTTTGATTATACTGGCCAAGTGGTTTGGAATAGGGTTTCAGTTGGTTTTGCTGCACTTTATTCTGATTATGATAGAAAAAAAGTAGTGACCTATTGTAATTATACTCTGTCATCACAAGGAATGTACAATATTTTTTAATAAATAAATTTAAACAAGAAATAAAAAAAATCCTTATTCATGTTTTAAATAATTTAAGGAAAAAACGTAATGTAGCCACCATGCAGAAAAAAAACTAACAACATAAAAATACTACAATGTTGGTGTATGCTACGATCATACTTCTTAGTATTCTTGTTATTTATGTGTATTCTAAACAAATAACTGAAGAAAAGTGAGTTGTCAGTTTTAATGTATCGTTACGATGTTAGCACTTTATTAAGTTGATTATCATCATCAATAATGAGAAGTTAATATATTTATTAACTTCTCATCTTTGTAACATTAACTGCTTTGGACAAAATAATTCTTCTAAGAATTACTAAATTACCTTATATATTGTATTATAACAATAATTTAATATATTTAATACATAACAAAATTAGTTTTAGATAAAAGAATATTGATTTTTACTATGAATCACTAAGATGCAAAGCAAAAGAATTGTAGAATGTTCTATAACATTAGCAATGAGCGCAACACCAAAGTGACTCACCCTTCTCCAGCATGTATCAGCACACCATGATCAGCGTGAGCCGTATTAAGAGACATGGTCAACTTAAATGATCCCAAAGTTCACACCGACAACTTATGAAGCAACTAAAAGGAAAGAAATATTAATAATTATATTTTTATTTGCGTGGTTCACTTAAAATGTAAGTCCAGTATGATAACAATATATTAATAGACATTTGATTGACAAGAAAATGATAGTAAACAAGACAGTTAATTCAACTGTCAGTCTGTAAAAAAGGGTTCCCAGATGCAATTTTCTATTTTTACTTAAATATCAAATGTTATTTTCTCCAAAGCAATACAATTTCCAGGACTTTTACCCTATCACAGACTAGTAATATTTTTTACTTGGTTTTATTGTGTACCACAAATTTTTATTATCTTCCATTCTCCTTCTCTTATTCCATCTTCTATTTTGTTACCTTTATTCATATATTTTCTCGTATTTATATACCTCTATATACTTTACAAATGCTAAAGCTGTTCAAAAAAAATTACCCATTTTTTTCCAAACACTTTTTACTTTTCTTTAAAAATTTTCGTTTAAAATATTTTTTACCCAAAGTTTTGAAAATAATACCCTATCTGGCAATGTTGACGTGAAGTGTCAGTCTAAATGCCTTAATTGTTAATTGTGACAACTGATGACAAATGTTTTGACAGTAGTTTTTTCGTTACTTTATGACATTGATGGATTTGTATTTTAGTTATTATTTTTATCGCAATTTATTTCATTAAGTCTTTTATTAAATTAAATCTTAACTTATCGAATAGATAAATTATCATGTAATAAATTTAATTTCGTTTATATACCATGGATACTGAAAGAGCAGAGAATTGCATTAAACCTATTAATGTAGACACGATACATAGGATATGTTCAGGACAAGTAAGTTTTGGGAATATTTTTTAGGTATTAATATTTAGTTTATTAAATACTTTGTTTAAATAAAAATATATACTGATGACAGGTTGTACTCAGTCTAGCAGTTGCAGTTAAAGAATTGGTTGAAAATTCTCTAGACGCTGGAGCTACGAACATAGATGTAAAATTAAAAAATTATGGCATTGATTTAATAGAAGTTTCAGATAATGGAACTGGAGTTACGGAAGATAATTTTACTGCCTTAAGTAAGTATTTTGACTATTTTAAATATTGCTAATACAAGTTTTTATATCTATTATTAGTAATTTATTAAAAAGCAATTTTGAAACTTTTTCTGTGATATAAAAAATTATGCAATATTTAATTTATTTTTCTTTTTGTAAATTATTGATTAGTCTAATCAAATTTGTTTTTATATTCAATATAGATTTAAAGAACAACACTTGAATATCAAACCCAGTATTAAGATAAAATGACTCTGCTTATAAAACAATAATGGATATAATCAATCCATTTCCTTCTTTTAATCCAAATTGTTTCAATTATTTATGTGGTTACCTATAAAATAATACAAGTTTTAAATTGAAATTTCACACCTTCAGAGGTAATTTTAAACTTTTTTACAGCCTGTATGTTAACCCTTATGTGGCTGATATCTGTAGTTTCATTAAAAACTGTTTAGTAATTTATTATATACATAGACATAAAAACAGAAATAAAAAATTCTACACAGTATTTCAATAAGAAAAAATAATGAAATCTATAAAGTCAAAATTATTAATAATTTTGTTTTTCAGCTTTGAAATACCATACATCTAAACTTAGTGATTACTCAGACCTGCTGGGTGTAACAAGTTTTGGGTTCAGAGGTGAAGCATTAAGTTCTCTCTGTGCATTAGCAAACCTTACAATTACTACAAGACACAAAAGTTGTGATTATGGTAATAATTTGTGTTGTATTATAATCAATGACTATAACTTATGACTTTATCTTCATAAATAAAATATATTGATTAACTGGTATAAAAAGTAGTCTATATCCTTCTCCATCTCAAATATTATCTGTATGACAAATTTCATTATGATTGGTTGAGTAGTTGGGTCATCAAAAGTTTACAAATAAAATTACTTTTACAAAGAAGTCTGTGTTATACAAACATTTATGTCAGTTTTGTTTTCACATCTTCAATAAGTTTATATTAAAATCTGTGTTTTAAAAATTATCTCTTAGAGGTTCAATTGAGTTTCCAATACAAGACAAATTTAATTATGTATTAAATAATCCAGTTATTCCCTTATGCCCTTTTCTTCCCATGAATATTGTAAGAAGTGACAAAGGGAATTAATATAAAGTATGGGCAATAGTGTCTCAGCAGAACTATGTATTCAAATGCATGTTACATTATTTTTCGGAAATATTTTTTACAGCTATGAAAATAGAATATGACCATAAAGGCAATATAATAAAAAAGACACCATGCTCCCGCCAAATAGGAACAACAGTCAGTTTATCAAATCTTTTCATATCACTACCTGTTCGCCAAAAGGAATTTCATAAGAATGCAAAGAGGGAGTTCAATAAGATGACCCATCTACTTTATGCATATTGTTTAATATCTCTAGGTGTCAAGTAAGTTTTTCTTTATTTATCTTGTATTAAATTTGTATTTAAAAGCATAAGAATTTGACATATAGATTTGGCTGGATTACATTTGTATTAATAAATCATAACAATTTGTATAATTTATATATCAAAACAATAATTTATGAATTTTTAATGAAATTTAACAATATGTTTTATCAATATTTGCTTGCTATTATGTTTTTATTTTCTATGCTTACAGATCTTCACTATGTATATTATTAATTTTTGTTTCAATTTTAGAATAACTTGCAGTAACCAAACAAGTGCCAATTCAAAATCATTAGTTGTAGCTACTCAAGGATCATCATCATATAAAGATAACATTGCTTGTATATTTGGTTTAAAACAACTACAAAATATTTTGGAAATCAAACCAGAATACACTACAAATATTAAAGATAATATATTTAAGGGATTATCTGGTGAAGTACAATCTTCTGATGAAAGTGTTAACATAGAAGATGTGGAAATAAATTTATCTGAAGATTCTAATGATGCAGACAATTCTCAACAAAATAATTCACAAGAAAGTATAACTAGTTCACAAAAATCATTAGGATATAAAAATATAGTAAATCCTGTAGAATTCACTGGGTACATATCATCATGTGCACATGGAAGTGGTCGATCAAGCACTGATAGACAGTTTTTCTATGTTAACTCTAGGCCTTGTGAACCAATCAAAATAATGAAGTTAGTTAATGAAATATACAAGCAGTACAATTCTAATCAGTACCCATTTGTATTTTTAAATGTAAACACAGAAAGAACTTCTATAGATATAAATGTTACACCAGACAAAAGAAAAATATTTCTCATAAAAGAAAAGATTATACTGGATACATTAAAAAATTCTTTGTTAAAATTATTTGAAAGTATTCCAAGAACTTTAAAAGTAGAACCACTGAATAATTTTATTACTGCAGGTTCGAATGATGTAAAACCTGATGTAAGTCAACCTAGAATTTTTAACTCCTTTTTGCAACAATTCAATAATAAAACTAAAAATACTTGTGAAATACAAAATTCAAATAGTAATCAAGAATTAAAAAGAAAATCCACATCTATATTAGAATTTGTGTCATCAAAAACAATGAAGAAAGACATTGAGGATATAAATGATAACATCAAACCTGATGAAAATAATTGTGAAGAAGATAATTCAGTAGATTATGCAATAAACCATTCAGATGGAATTGAAAATAACTGTGTTAATGATTCAGCAACTTCAGTAGATTATATTGCAGCAGAAAACAATAAGGATACATCACAAAAATTCAAGATGTGTATTTCTCTAAAAGAAGATAACACTAATTGTAAAAATAACACTGAAAATATAATTTATTTGGAAAGCACAGACAGCTTACCAAATACCCAAATTAAGAATTTAAATGACATTATTATAGAAAAAGAACATACTATAAAATGCAAGACACCTAAAATAACAGGAAAATCTAGTTCAATAGAAAAGATAAATAAAAAAACAAAAATAGTTACTGATAAGGAAGATTTGGGAAATTACAATAGGAGATCAATTAATATGAAAACATCTTTAGAAGAAGTTAAAGCATTAACCAATATTTATAATAGTTTTAATGTTGTGAAATCAATACCTGAAAAAATTAAGTTTAAAAGTGAAATTAATCCAGTCCACAACAAAAGATGTGAAGAAGAATTGAGTAGAGAAATATCAAAAGACTCATTTAAAGAAATGAATATTGTAGGGCAATTTAATTTAGGATTTATAATAACAAAATTAGGTGATGACCTTTTTATTATCGATCAACATGCAACTGACGAAATATATAATTTTGAAACGTTACAAAAAAATACAGAGCTTACAAACCAAAAACTTGTAATGTAAGTATGATTTGACTCAAGTATGTATAATTGACCTAGGTTTGTCGTTATTTCTAAAAAATGACTTATAAATACTCTTAAACAATTACTATTAAAGGATTTTATGAATTACCCATCAATCTTTAATTATATCTCTTCAGTCCACAGCAATTAGAACTTACAGGCGTAAATGAGCAAATATTAATGGATAACTTGGCGGTTTTTAAAAAAAATGGTTACACATTTGAAATTAATGAAAACGCGCTACCAACAAAAAGAGTTAAACTACTGACTATACCTATGTTTAAAAACTGGATTTTTGGGAAAGAAGACATTGAAGAACTTTTATTTATGTTGAGGGTGAGTAGTTTAACTAATAGATTATTCAGGGTTGATAGACCTATCCAAAGTTCATAGGAGCAAATTTTAAAGTTTTACGGGAGTATACCGAGTGATTGAACAGTTATATTGACCAGACAACATAGGCAATACCGTCCACCGTTCTTCGGTTTTTAAAAAATGTTGGCCGATTTCGCCGCGTTACGAAACTGTTTATCTGAGAAAGGACGTTAAGTTCGACCTTTATCATTTAGGAACATAATTAATAGCGTTAGGCTAGTCGCATCCCCCGTAATGACATCCTTATTTGAGATCTATAGTGATAGATAGACTAACTCGCGAGTTTATCAATTAACAAATTGTTATTCATTATTAGTGTCCGACCGAAACAGATTTTACAGCCGAAACTGAAACCGACCTTACTGAAACTTATTTAAAATTTCTCTTCTGTATTGATATCTAGTGTATTTTTTACACAATTATTTACACAAACACACAAATAGTTAAAGGGTAGTAATAAACACTAAAATATGTAACAAATATGTCATATATATTTATATGTAAAAACAAGTTAAAATTATGACTTACTCTTAGAAGTAAACTTAAAAAAAAAAAACAACTCAACCACACAAAGTTTCGACACGACCGAAATTTCGGCCAAAAACTGACCGAAATTTCGAAATCGAAACTAAATCCGAAAGTAGAATTTCTGGCTGAAACTAGCCGAAACCGAAACCGAAAGTTCGGTCGGACACTATTCATTATTGTAAGATTATAACTATATTTATTGAAATCAACAACGTTCTGTTTACAGGAATCACCATCAGAATACTGTAGGCCTAGTAGAGTCAGAGCAATGTTTGCATCTCGTGCATGCCGAAAATCTGTTATGATTGGAACAGCACTGAGCAAATCTGATATGAAGAAGCTTGTAGATCACATGGCAGAAATAGAAAAACCATGGGTAATATAGAATTATGTATAGTATATCTATGTAACTAAGAGTAAACTGACCAACTGACAGATTAACGGTCACCTAAAATGCCATACCTAGAAACACCAGCTTGGTACTTTTAAACCATCTGCACTCCTAGTGCTTCAAAATATAGCCATAATAAGAGCTCATAATAATAACTGTAAATATTATTGTTTCAGAATTGCCCACATGGAAGGCCTACAATAAGACATTTGGTTAATCTTGCCATGATACATATGGATAGTGGTACAAATTTTAATGAGTAATCAATACTTTTTATACTAGAACACTTTTTAAATACGGATAATTAAATCATGGATAAGGTTTAATTAAAAGATGCTGTGTTTAATATATTATTTTATTTTATACACTAATTGTTTTGAAAATATTGAATCCAGTGTGAGCAGTAGTTACTATCACTCCTGGTATCTGTTTATGCCAGTGCAATTCTTTTATATCGTTCTGTCCTTGATGAATAAATAATAGTTGAGGGGGAAGATTCTGTAACAAATATAAACATGCTATTTTCAGTCAGGTTTATTTGGTAAAAATAGTAGGTAACTTTTTTATGCAACTCTAAATGGCAAATAAGCTGACTGTCCAACTGATGGAAAGTGGTAATCCCCGCCAATAGAAATGAACAGCTGCATGGACATTATAAAACACAACACCCGTATGATTTTACAATTTAATAATCCTATATATATATACAGAATTCACTGTATACACTCGTGTTTTATAGTTATTCTACAACAGGTGTGCTTGTAAGGCTGTGTTATGCGAGTTGGCAGTGAAATTATTGAGTATGGGGGATAACAATTCTAATTAATGGTCATCAATGACGATTTTTATGGGATGATAATGGAATGGCGACTCTACTGTTTTATCAGTATATACTGGCAGGGCGCCAATGAGAGATAAGGATGAAAGTAGGTCAGTTAGCCTATCATGATGAATTTAATAAGAATCACAATGGTTTGTAAGATGGTTTTATTATACACTGTAAAAGTCAATATTGTTTACCACTTTCCAGCAGATGAACTAACAACTTGTATTTTCCAAGTCGATCATACGATTTTTTTTTTCTAACTATGAATGAGTTAGTTTTTAAATAAGAAATATAGAAAAAAATAAACCAATAAACATTATTATCTTCATACCTTGAGTTCTTCATCAATGATCTCATCATCATCACGTTCAACGGCCAGATCCCAGAGCGCGACTTGGTTGTCCTCCCCAGCAGAAGCCAACACACTAGGTTCAGTCCAGTGCCATTCAATAGATGTTACAGGCGCAGTATGATGTTTGAAAGTGCCAACTGGGGTACTTGTAGTAAATTGTCTCAAATCCCATATGTGAAGAAAGCCGTCATCACCACCTGAACAAATTCATATGATTTTTTAAAAGATTTTTAAACATATTAAAAAATATATGTTTTAGCAGTAATATGTAAAAAATTGAATGAATTAAAACTATTTCAGATCAATTACATTATTTTGTTACTTAATGTCTTCTTGTATTTGACTTCTTAAATACATTTATATTTATTTCAATTGCTGCTTTTATGAGGCTGTTTTGATTACTCATTTTTTATTTACAACATAAAAGCTTATCTAAGAAAAATAGATTTCAGTATGCATATAATAATTAACGGTACAGATATGTGGTAAGTATATATAGCACAGCATAAGATTAGAATAATAAAAATTGAATATATCAGATCCAGATCTTCTATTTCTAACTTATCTTTTTTCAGTATAAATAGGCGAAATAAAAAAACATGATTGTTACACATAGTTAGATTTGTAGTGTATAAATAAAGTCTACCTCTTTAGTATTCATCATCATCATCATCTCAGCCAACGGGCTGTCTACTGCTGAACATTGGCCTCCCCCATATCACATATACACCACATCTGCCCTTCATATGTTTTCTGTTTTTACCTAATGGTTAGCTGGTAGAAAATACCATATGGTATCAAGCTCGCCACTTGTACGAAGTTTTATTGTGCAATAAAGAATAAATAAATAAATATAAGGAAGGAGTTGTCATGTTTAGCAGACAAGTTGGCAACTGTAGTTATGATTTTGGTGATGTTTTAAGAGGAACACTGCTACCCACCTCTCGATTTTTAAGTTCCCTTAGTCGCCTCTTACAACACCCATGGAAAAGGGACTTGTCCATTCTATGGCTTTATTATGAGGTCCCCACACGACATTGCTCCATAAAAAATAATAAACTAGGTTCTTAAAATATTACTTGTATTCACTGTAATGATTAAATTAATAATAATCACTGGAAAAAAAAAGGGTCCATACCACTAGCTATAAATGGTTCTTTACTATTCCAGGATATAACATTGATATCACTCTCGTGTGCATTATTTGCTGTCAGCATGCAAGCTTTGTGAGGCGCCGCTCGTGTGTCCCATATCCTTATTGTTTTATCCACAGAACATGTTGCTAATACATTGCTAAAAAAACAAATAGACATGAATTTTAGAATTTCAGAGTCAGCTCAAATCAGAACACTTCCCTTCTTTATAAATATAATCATAACTATTTAAGAAACATACTAAAGATGTTACTATTTGCCGTATTTTACGAGATATAAGTTCTAAGAATACTCACTTCATCTATGAGTATTAGGTTTTAATCAAATGTAAATAAAAATTCCGAAGAATATGTTTTGAAGATTAGATATAAAATGTTGCATATGTACTTATTGTATGAGTATGGCGGCTCATTGCCATTATTATTATCTTCATATTTGGGCCATATGTGGTAAATGGAAAATCAAGGCAGTCACTACTTTCAACACAAAAAACTATAAAATCTATAAAAATTCTGTAAATCTATATTATGGATTCAAGAAATCTAAATAAAGCAGTGACTATTACATAGCAATCTTAAGACAATCAGATAGTTTGTATAATATACATAAGACTGTAATCTCATGTAATAAATATTACAAAAACTATCATAAATGCCCTTAAAAGCTATTAATTCATATAATTATTACCGTTCATTAGGTGACCATTGTATATCTTCAACAGAACTAGTATGGCCTACAAGGGGTCTTTGGTCTACATCCCATGTGCCTGCTTGATTGGGTTTCCAAATGTGTATATCCCTTCTGCAATCTCCTGTTGCTAAAACCTGTAAAAGAGTGATTTTGATCATGATGAATATTTTTTTAGGGTTTTTTTTTATACAAGTCACCAGTCTATCAAATTTATTTAGGATCTTTAAGATCACAATATAACTTAATGCTAGTAGCCATGAATATATTGCCATGTGATTCCAGCATAAAATAGGCTGCCTCTTCTTCCCTTATGACTCCCCATGGGTATCGTAAGAGATGACTAAGTGAGGATAAAAGATGGCTGGCAGCATCCCTTTTAAAACATCTGTAAAGCCTAACTATGGTTGTCAACCGCCTGCCCAGCGTGGCAACTTCTGACAAGATACCCCCAAAAGGGAAGCTTATGTTCAAGTGGATAATTAAAGGCTGATATGATGATGATAAGTAGCTATGAGTAAGAAACTCTTTTTTTTGTAAGATATATAAACTTAATAATTCTCCAGACTTCCCAAATGAAAAGTGACATTCATCATGTAGACATAGAGAGTAACATGGACATTTACATTTATGGAACCAACACATATTGCTATTATTGAACTAAGGTATTATGCCTTTAAATAGAAGAAGCCAGATAAAAAGAACAACACTTACACCAGGTTCTGTTGGACACCAATCAATACCAAAGCCTTCTTGTTGGTGACCATTGAAAGAATATAAAGGTTTAACAGGGTTTGTAACAGTATCCAGATTATATCTTTCTAAAAGCACTGGATCATCTACAGCTTGCAATTGTTGTGTGATATTCCAAACATCTACTCTGCCTAATTCTGACCAACTTGCAGCTAGTACTGAATTCTTGAAATTTGTTGCCTGTAATAGAGCACAGTAATATTTTAAAATTTGTTATCACAGCTAATCTATGTTAGTAGTTGTGTTTAAAGATGATCAGCTAGATATACTGCAAAATCTTAAGTATGATTAAATAATACACACTCTAATTCTGTTGACACAGCCCTGGTGTTTAATAAATGAAAATGTCATTTGAGGTTTCTTTTCCTCATCTTCCTCCTCCTCATCATCATCATCATCATCTTCAGATACTTCATCATCTTCGCCTTTTGAAGTTGGATGTAAATTGGACATTTTTATTACTAGTAAACTGAAAACATAAAGTAGATCTATTAAAATATATTATGCAAATGCAAAAAAACAATATTGAAATAAAATAGTATTTAATATTAAAAAAGTAGCAAGTGGTAATATACAACTACTGTTTTTTACCAAAATTATTGTTTCATTTAATTATGATCTAACTAAATGAAACAATAATTCTGAGAATTTTGTATGCCAGATTCTGGTGAAAAATGTGATCAATATTTAAATATTATATTCCATCTTTTATACCATTTTTCAAACAAAATAAAGTTATTTGTATTTTTTTTTTTTTGTATTTTTTGAGACTATATGGTCTCATAGCATGGTGACGAAAACTTTGAGGGTTATTGATAAGAGCAAAGACAAAAAAAGAATAGGCAATTATAACTTTTCAATTTAAAAATACATTACTTATTCAAATGCGCGCTTGAAGCCTGTGTACCAGCAACCAAATAGGCCGTCATTGGATACTCATTTCGATCATTTCCCAGGTTATCTGTTATAATATCGAAGCTAAGGCAAGGCGCGCCGGTTTGGGCTTGATGTAGCATCACATACGCCGACTGATCGCAGACTAGCTGCTCGTCTTCCTTCAAAGGATTTCCAGGAAGATAAGTCTTAGGTCCTTCTTCAGCATTATCTTCATTTCCTTCATCCATATCATTATCATCACTTTCACTGCTGCTCGCATCCATTTGCTCTTCAGTTTCATTCGACATAATAGCAAAAGTATATAAACAACCTTTCTAGCAAAGGAGTAGATTAAATTTAATTATTTTAATAAAAACTGAATATAATGAAAACGTGGGTTAAATTTATTGCTTTGACATGAACAGCACAGATTAAATAACTGACTGTTTAAATTTGAACCGTATTAAATTTGACATTGACACTGACAATGACGTCCTGCACAGCAGATCCAAAACAAAGCATAAGAATATTCAAACTCTATTTACATTTTTTATTTTGATTTTTTAAATATGTCTTTCTATTAGCTATAGGCTATACCAATACCTACCTATATAATTGTTAATCAAAGAATAACGGTAATTATCTATCGTCGACGTAGCCGGCTATTGGTTATAGCCATTTTCCAGTGTACGACACATTATAACGCACTTACGACTAACCACCAACTGGTAACTACGTTCCTGCTAGCTACAACAGCTACGGTAGCTGCCGCAGCTACGGCTATTGATAGCCGCGCTAGCAACTGGCGGTAAACGTCCGAATCGATAATATATGATACCCGATACTTGTTAGTTAAATAACATCTCGGCTATATTGCATCCAGTTCAATCCTTACCGCGGTAAGAAATAAGTTAGATGATCCAATATTGCGATTTTGGTTTTTTTTTTTTTTTATTTTTATTCCAAAGAACAACTTTATAGTCATCACTATATTATTAATATACCTAATATGCATTAATAAAAATAAATAATAAGATATTGCAAAATCCATTGTATCATCTTAGATTATAAAGTGTATAGATTGGCAATGTAAAAGACAGAAAATATAATAATCTATATGTTAGAGTACAATAGGACAATAATTTGCACAACATATGCTCAAAGCTAAATTGACGGGAGTATGAACAAAATAATTTCTAATCAGTTTTACACTTTTAAGTGTAATTAATTTTAAGTAAATGCCGTTATAATTAAATATGCTGTATCTGAATATAATGTAAATAACAAAAAAAAAAAATACAATATCATGTTTTACGTGTAAATAAGCTTGAAACCTTTCACTTATTTAAGTACTATATTTAGAATCATGACAAATATTTTGTGTATGAATCGCCAGAGAAAATTATCACATTTAAACTAATAACTGTTAGTAGGTAGTATTTAATACTATATTTATCAACAAAAATAGACAACATCTATGATCTATGAATTTAAATTTTGAGTTGTTCCATTCGATTATGGTTGATATAAGAAAACCTTTTTAACTCATTTTATAGGTAGCACCACTTTCGACAAGGTTAAGACATTGTTTTACTAAGAGATATACCTAACATAATTATGACTACTAAGTAGTACGTTGAATAAAATAATAAGAAACAAAATTATATCATCTAACTTATACGTTAGTGTGTTGAGGAGCAAACTCGATGTAATGTAGCTGGACAGTTATCTTTATTAATAACAAACCCTAAGAATTACGCTATTGGGTCGATTATAATAAGTTTTTCGTTTAATAACTGAAGACAAAATAACTGGCTATTTAGCCAGCTATTCATCATAAATAACCGGATGGTTATTAAAGTATTGTCGAGTAGATTGCTACTTTCTATGATTTTGACATTGATGTGTCTTTTGCATTACTCTATTGTTTTCATTATATTTCTTGTTTCGCATTTTCTGTAATAGTTCTTATTGTAATATCTCTTATTGTCTCTTATTTACTCTTTAGTAATTGACATATTTTATCTAATGTTTTGTTTTCACATCTTTTACTTAGTCTTCTTAAACATTATTTATTACTTTTTACCAAGTTTTGTTAATTAAATTACCCATGCGTTCATTGTTCTTTTCTTCTTGTTAAATGTTGTTAAATTCGTGTTGTGAGTAAATTTTTCTTTCAGATTTGACTTGCTAATTTTTAAATGAATTGTAAAATATCTTAGTTCTTATTAAAAATGGCATTTCGTTGCTTGAAATTATTGAGAAATGTAAGGAATAATACTGTATTTCGTTGTAATCTTATATCATCTTCAGTACCAGTAGTAGAAGAGAAAAAAAGAATTTCTAACCTTAAAGAATACAAAACTGAAAAGAATTTCCTGTATCTAGAAGATCCAGACACATTTGGTACTTTATCATTAAAATCTCCATCACATAGTGATGAATTACAAGATGAAAGTGATATTAAAGAAGAACAGTATTTACAGAATCTACCACTAAAGTCACAAAAATTGACCATAAAACAATATGCAGATTTAATTAAGCAGTATCTGAAGTATAATAGATTGAAGGAAGCTATTGATGTTTTGGAAGTTAGAATGTTAACTCAAGATAGAGTAAAACCTGAGAATTATATCTACAATATATTAATTGGGGCTTGTGCCGAGGTTGGTTTTACTAAAAAAGCATTTAAGTTATACAATGATATGAAAAGACGTGCTCTTAAACCAACTGGGGATACATATACATGTTTGTTTGTGGCGTGTGCTAATAGCCCTTGGCCTTCATATGGCTTGAAAAATGCAAGACATTTACGTTCACTTATGATTGAAAAAGGAATTGAACCAAACTTGACTAATTATAATTCAATGATTAAAGCATTCGGTCGATGTGGAGACATATCTGAAGCATTTAAAATAGTTGATGAAATGGTTTCAAAAAAAATTAAAATAAGAGTTCATACATATAACCATCTTTTACATGCTTGTATATCGGACAAAAATTTGGGATTGAGACATGCTCTAATAGTTTGGAGAAGGATGCTCAAGTCCAGAGAGAAACCTAATATTTATTCATTTAATCTTATGTTGAAATGTGTCAAAGAATGTAATTTAGGTACTAAGGAAGATATTGAAGAATTAATAGGTATAATTCAAAATTTGATTGATGTTACAAGACCTGTAACACTACAAATTGAGTCTAAAGGTGAGACTGCACTATCTAATAACCAAAATAGTAAGCAAATGCTTCTAGTGTCATCTACAAATCCAGTTAATAATGAAAGCAGCAGTAATATAAGATCCATGGCGGAAAAAGTAATTAGTTCAGGTGAAACTGTAACAAATAGTCAATCAATTCCAGTAACAGATAATAAACAAATAACCATTATTAAAGATGATGAGAATATAACTTTAGAATTTGTTGGAAAATTGGCTAAACCAGCTACTGTAACAGAGAAAAGGACAGTACCAAATCTACTTTCAAAAGTGTTACAAATGAAAGAAGTACTGGCATTGCAAGAGATTGGTTCAACACAAGAAAAATTTGCTGTTTTGGGGGGAATGGAAGATTTTCTCAAGGAAATGAAAGAAGTAAATGTGACGCCTGATATTAAAATATTTACACAAATGCTACCATTGATTGAAGAGTCTAGAGAAGCTGAAATGCAATTAATTGATACAATGAAGGGTTTTGATATTAGAGCAGATATAGATTTTTACAATATGTTAATTAAAAAAAGATGTTTGAGATGTGATTATGATGGTGCATTTGTAAGTATCCAAGTATAGATAATGTATGGTCAGATATTATAAAGGGCATTGATTTAGTGGCATATGTTAATAATTGGGCATGTAGTAAAACTTGTTTACTAGCAAGATTTAATTTTCAACTATAAACTTATTCAAAATTATTTAACTTACTTATTCAAGAATTTAAAAAGGGAGTCAAAATCTTATAATTGATAAGTATGGTGTGAGCGAAAACTCTTGTTTACTCATATTAACATAACAACTAATAAACTCACTATTGGTCCCTGCTTCCTATAAGAGGAAGAGTTCTATATGCCTTGGCATAAGATTTTATTTAAAAATTTCCTTGTGTCTCATACTTCTATTTATGTGGAAATAAGTTTGTATTCCATAACCATATAATATAGAACATATTACCAAAACCTTACAAACTTCTAACATACATATGTAACCCATGGTGTCTTTACATTTTTTTATTTTATTTTAGGATATAGAGCATATGATAGACGAAGAAAACAAATTTCTGAAAAAAAAATATCCACTGAAGAAAAAATTAAGGCTAAAACGTAACATAATGACTTATGGTGTACTAGCTATGGCATGTAAAACGAAAGAGCATGCTGAAAAATTACTAAATGAAATGAAGTCTGCACAAATAAAGTATGTTGTTTCATCACATGAACCTAAATACATTATTGTCACATATATATTTATGATAAGTATAATATGGGTATATTTATTACTTTATTTATATTGAATGTTGTATATGACAATGCACATATATTACTATGTACACATACTTATTTTTTACAATAAATAAATTTCTTTCCCAGAATCAACATAGAAATCTTAGGAACGCTGCTCAGACATGGCACTGCACATGCTAGATTCAGCTATGTAGTTTATGTAATGAACATTGTAAAGGAAGAAAACGTTAAAATAAATGACATATTCCTTAAACATTTGGAAGAATTCAATGATAAGTGCTCAAGTATAATTCAGGTAATTAGTATAGTAGATATATTTTTATGGAGTTTATTTTATAAGATTTCTAACTAACCTGAATAGATATGGGCTACAGGCAAAATGATGATAATTACTTAAATCATGATGATGACTGCTTAGAGCAATATCCTAGGTAAGGACCATTGTTAGGTCTATTATCTGCCTAGACACAGATTATAAAATTATATTCTGCATCATCCATGTTTATATATGGAAGTTAAGACTTTCCATCAGGTGGGGTCATCGGCCCCCTGAATTGTTAATCCCAAATGTCCAAAATTGTTTCTTTTATTATTGCATTCAATGGTTGATATAAGTCGACATTTAAGTGAGTTTTAACTTCTGCTCAATACTTAAATAGAGCTAATCATGTATTAAATTATTATTAACCTCTTTTCTGAAGCCTTGATTATATAAATGTATTTTTTTTTCAGAGTAAAGAAAATAAACAATCAGACACATTTGTAAAATCCTATGAAAAGTTTTCAGAGTTTTATAAGAATTGGTTGAAAGATCTCAATGTTGAGGAGGCATTGAAACCAGAACATCCTTGGTTACAATTTCAAGTATCTTATCCAGACACAATTCAACATCAAAACATAAAAATTGTAGAGCCTAAAAAGTTTTATAAAAGAAATAAGAAATATGTCGAATATAAAGTAAAAAATTAGAATAAAATACAAATCATTTCTAAATATATTTTTTTATTATTTAGAAATTTGTAATTTGACACTGATTATATTTTAAAATGATGAAGCTTCCTGTTGAGCTCTTCAAATTTGAGAAGTTTCCGGATGAAGAAATCTCCGTACCGATGGGCCACCTTCGTATCGGCGATATGAATCATATCATTGTCAATATAGAAATCCAACTGCAACCAAAAACAGCTCTTTAGGAATCAGGAAAGATATGTAAAATAATAATTTTTATTTATAAGTTTTTTGTCTGCATTTAATCTATTTTTGTTATGGTAGGTCGTCCTCCAGGCAGTTCCCCCTGGAAATCATTGTGAATTATCGTTGAATTTATCATAACTAATGTTGAATTTGTCATGGGCCTGCCTTTTCATCTTCACCAATGATCCCTCACTGGTGCCCCGCCAGTGTATACCGATAGCGCAGGCGGGGGCTAACTTTCCATTATCATCATTAAAAAATCATTTTCAGATTTACACTAACTTCTCTCAAGGTTTTGTTAAAAAAAAAAAATACAAGTTTAAATCTTATTAGCACGAGTCTAATACGCTTAATCCTATATTGGCTCTATTATCATAAAAAATTGAATTGACACACTCTTTGATACACAAAAACAGGTTGGATGATATATATCGAAGAATAAAAGCTGAATAAGGTTCATAAATAGCTAATTCAAAATCTTACTTCAGAACCACTCTGGAATTTTCCATCAAGGCCGCTAGGGCCCTTGGTCCACACAACATTCTTCATTTTGTGCTTGAAGCACAACAGATGTATGGCAAGCGCAGCGTGTTCTCGCGCTGCGTCTCGCTCGCCGCCGCGCGCTGCCGACATGAAGGCAGCCAGCTTGGCGAGGGGCAGGGTCGTGTACAACTTCAAGTACGAACGGATAGTTGGTAACATTTTTTGTTGGCGGACCTATGAAAAGGATTAGAATTTAGACATCAGTTATAAAGCGCAAAATAAAATATTACTGGTGAGGTTATATTGCATAAGTGGGGCTCCACACAGCACATTCACGTTTGAGAACGCATACGCTGAAAATACGCAATATATACAGTGTGTGTACGCAGATGTGTAGTTACACTATTATTATCTTATTTTAAAATAATATAAATACCACTGGTCATGTAACAAAGTTATCTAGTCCCAAACTGTGTAGAGTTGAATTATACGGGTACAAGATAATTGACAAATTTTATGTTTTTTGTATATACATTGTAATTCCTTTATGGATTTATTTTTATAGTAATAGGTGATCTTTATTACTTCATCCATAAAGACTTGGGTTTGATGCTTCACAGCATCACGGCCATAATTGGAGCCTGGCTCGATGGGCGGGGGGCAAGGCGACAGGAATTTCGGGCACGCAAACGTAAAGCAACTCTCGAATTCACCCAAGTCCCCATACTGCATCTTGAACATTTTCTCATGATAGTTCTTCTCGCGGAGCACCTACAAAATATTTTAAATTTAAACAATTGTAATTACATACATATCTTGTGATAAAAAATACTAAGTGGTGTTCTTTTAACTTATTCTGATTCTAAATACTAAGTGGTGTTCTTTTAACTTATTCTGATTCTGAATATGTAAGAGAGTATTCCTGTTGTTATGCCTATCACCAAAGTCCTAAGTACGGTAACAACAGAATTATCAGAAAATGTTCTAACCCTAAATGAAAATATTTCTGATTATTAAAAAGTGTTTTTTAAATAATTGGTATATATTGATTATTTATTACACGACATCCGCCTATGACGAGAAATTGGTATGATATACCTTTATACAAAATATAGTCATCAAATGTAATCACAAACGACCGAGACACGCATATTGACTGCGACATTTAGAAAATTAATGTAAAATTTATATTTAGGGTAGGGTAGTTAGGATATATAAAAGCTATAAAACATACAATATATAATGATTTCTGTAGCCGTAGTCTAAAATACGAACCTGTTGAATGGACTCGTCAACACATTGTGGATGAAGGACCAAACAAATGGCTAACAGATGGTACATCTGCTCAGTCTGCTTATTGATTTGATCGTTCTGGTACGAGCGTGAAGAGAACAGCTGTTTGGTGCGCTGCATGTATAGCAGAGCCGAAGATAAGGTGCGGATGGCGTCCGCATAACGACGCATCATCATGTACGCAAAACCAACGTAGTAGGACGTTGAGATCTGGCACGCTGGCACATGGGAGTACTGCGACTTTTTGTGCAGCTCAATGTTCTCCAAGACCTGACGTTATAAAAGCTTGATGAATTGACAATCACAAACCTTTTCATTTTTAATAGGTTTTTTAATGTGAATTGTAGGATAGTCTTCTAGACCCTCTACACACATATACACTAGACCTCAGGTTTTGCATATAGTTGTGTATATTGAGAGGTAAATGATGTTAGAACTATTCACCAGTCAAATTTATCATCAAATATTCGGGTTTTAATTAACTGTATATTTAGCAACCAACCCTGATAAAGATAATAGTCATTTAAAAATAAATCAGACAAAAGCAATAACGCCATAATCAAATAATACAAAAACTTTTTAATTCAGCTATTTGTTAATTCACAGACATTTCGATTAACAGACATGATGAGTCTGTTTATTATATCTACAGAGTATAGAAAAAAGGTTTAAATTGTATTAAAATAAAAATATACCTTAATGGCCTGGTAATAGTCACCAAGCAGAGAGTGTAAACGCAACAGGCCCACTAATGAGAAGTAGCCCAACATCTTATAAAGCGAATGACGACCAAATTCCCCTGCTACAGAATCAGGGTCACCACCAGTTGCATACACCTGCAAATTGAACATAAAATTATTAGTTTAATAATTAAGTTCAGAAACATATTTAAAATAGGCTTTGATTTAGTAGTTCCATATGTTATGTTGTACAGTATTTGCTTTTATGTTATGTCCATGGTACTGCTTATGTCTATAGGCAACGGTTACCACTTTCCATCGTGTGGGCCGTCAGCTTGTTTGCCATTCTAAGTTGCATAACAAAAGTATATTTAACTAACTGACATGGCAAATGTTGTTTCGCCCTTCTGTCACCACTTAACTGGTCCATTTTTTATCAGAATACTTTCTCAAGTAGGAGCAAATTTTATTAAAATTTTTGAGCGGTTTTAGAGATCGCCATGAAGAAATATTATGACAAGGGCTTTTTATATATTAATAGGATATTTTTTAAAAACAACTGAGTATAATTTAATGATACATCTAGGTTACATTTTTTTTCTTCAATGGGTGATAATGAAATAATAACCCCACCTGCGCTATTGGTATACGCTGATAGGGCATCAGTGAGGGATAATAGGTGAGGATGAAAGCAAGTCAATTGGCCCATCGTGACGAATTCCACTAGAATTAACCACAAAAGTTTCCAAGGGAAACCGCATGGAGGTCGACCTGATAAGAATGTATATTAGTAATGTGAAAATTAAACCCCATTACTAAAAATCCCCCATCAAGATTTGAACTGTAGCATTTAGAATTGTTTCTATTTCAATGGAAGATTTAGAAATTAGTTTTTATGGGTAGTAGTTTTATGGTATGACATATTTATTTAAATTGCTATATTCAGTACAAGATTTCATTTATATTAAAAATATTTTTGTATCACTCAAGCAGTTTCATATTACTCGACTACAGACACAAATTTCCTTATGCAGTATAGAATTGTATCTGTGATTTCACTGTTATATCCCATCTTTCTAACCAAAATGCAGTTATTTAGTAGCAAAAACAAGAGTCAGGCAGAGATACCTAAGCAGATGAGTTTTGTACAATCTCACTGATGTAGAATATAAGTGCAAGCTATATTGATTATATGAATGAGGTTGAGTATTGAGTTAAGAGATTGATAAGTGTGATCTTACCTCCAGTTGGCGTTTAATGTTGGACTTGTCCACCAAAGAATGTAATACATTGAGGATACAAAGAACATTCCAAGCTTTGTTTTCTGTGTTCAAAGCTTCAATCTCTGCTGGGCTCAGCTTGGATGTTCTTGACCTGTATACAAGTTAATTATTTGTTATCACTAAACACTTTGTTATTTACAAGTCTTCTAAAAAATATATTTTTAATATTCTTTCAAAAATGAATAAGAATAGCTCAAAAGAAAGAGAATAAACTTAAATAAGCAATTTTAAATGTTTATTATTTCTAAATTTTTTTTGAATGATAAATGACATTTTTATTATATTTAAAAAAGTAAAAAGATATTAAATTTATTAAATAACTGCATATATAAAAATAACAATAAAGTTTATTAATTGCATTAATATTTGTATTATTGTAATAATGTTGCAGAATATATATATAAATTTGGTAGAAGAATTATGCTATTATCTGACATTTGGCACTTTATTTCTGTATAAACTTTAAGTATACTCATAAATGCCAAGATAATTAGAGTTTGTCTTAAAGTTGTTTCTCTGTGTGATTATATTATTAGTATTGATTATAATTATTGTTATACCTGTATTGTGCAAATGACTGAAACTGATAAACAAATTCATCAATCAGCTCCCACAACCATTGGTCTGGCAATTCAAGAGGCACTGGTGTTTCTGCAGACAAGATGTAGTTGAAGAGGTCACAGTAGTTGTAGAATGAATGGAACCGCTGGTCAGGCTTAGGACCACCAGGCACGCGAGCATAAATGTCGCGGTAGTATAGCTCTTTATATAAGATCATGAATACCTATAATGTAAATAAAGCATTCATTGTAATTAACATCTATAAATGTAACAGTAGACCTGTTAAATGGAAAATTTAATTTTTGTTTGAACACATTACTTTTATAAAGTTATAATGCCAACTTCATCTTTATACTTTACATTCAATCATACTGGTATCATGCTTTGCTTTCATTAATCACATTCACTCTGTTTAAAATTCTTTTCACTCATCTTTTAGAAAAGTCCATTCTACATAATTAATAATTTATATATAAGAAAAACTAGCACCTTATGTATTACAACAATATCTTATAATCAATACCACGAATGGACATAAGCAGACAGTTGTATTACAGTTGAGTCAATTATTTATGTTTACATTTTCAATGAGTTTCATTGGAAAAGACTATACCTACATATTGTATTAGCTAATATTAACAAGAGATGAATAAATGACAGTGAGAATAAATTTAGGTTAATTAGAAAATTTTATAATTAAAAAATATTTAAGTTTGTATACTTACATGATCATTATCAACTATAGGTGCAACTTCAGATTCATCAGGCCATGGAGTACTCTCAAAATATTGCTCAGTGAGCTTAGGAAAAGTATTCTCATACAAATTCAAGATCTCATAAGTCACACCCTCAGTAATCATGTTCCGGAAATAGACAAGGAATTTTTTGACCTGAAAGATAATTAAAATATGGCTACTGCAACTCATTAATAATCAGGATAAAAAACTTATGCCCTTCTTCAACTCATATGTGTTAAGAAAGTTTTACATTTATTTATAGTCCAATATTAAAAAGTAAATTTATTAATTGTGATAACAAATTTATAAAATAATAGTTTTGTTTTCTTAAAACCATCTTGAAGGTATTACTATGGGTGTACTAGGAGTTTAAGTAACTTGTACTCTTACGTTAAGCATGGAAATTTAAAACTTACCATATCAGGCATTTTATAGTAGGATCGGTCATAATCCAGATCATATTGAGGGTCTCCGGTATGCGGTTCATAGTCCCCATAAGATTCATAACCCCCCTGAAATAAGTTCAGAATATAATTAAACAATACATTTAAATAATTTATACTTTGCTTACGTCTCAAGTATGATTTTATTATAGGTTATTTTATTCAATATTACTGAAATAATTTAGTATACCTCATTGTAGTCATCACTAGAATACATTTTGTTAAGTATTTAAAATGGATGCGTAACAATGCTACAATAATTTTTATTTTTTGACAAATGTAAAAAAAAGCTGTAATAAGAATATAAATGCAAAACGATTGCACAGAACAAAGAGTATATAACCAACATAGAGTATATAACCAAGGGATGGAGCAGTGTGACTATCACATTATTAGCGAATCTACCACAGACTGAGCAAAAATCTGTCGCACACGCCGTCAAAAATACAAAAATTAGGAATACGTTCCTAAACCAACATGTTTCAGCTATAATTGCTATAAAAGAGGAGATAAAGGAATATGGAGACAGTGTTTCCTTTAAACTAAAATCATGATCAAAAAGATGCCTTCAAAATGTATGCCTACTTGAAAAATGAAGACAATAATTTGGAGGCAAATATATATACGTAGAGTAAATATTTTTGTTGATTAAAGAAACTTCATTGAATTCGTTGAGTATTTTTTTTATTTCTTTGTAGTCATTTAAGAACAAGGAATTAAAAAGAAAGAATAATAAAATAAAAACTGTAAATCATGTGATTGCCTTATTTCTTCTTCTGCAAAAATTATTAGTAAAAAAGGAACGAAAGATACGCCATCAGATGCTATTTTTCACAAATCATAGTAAGCTAGTGTATAAAAAATGTTTGGTATGTCAATTATTTGTCAATTATAAATCATACATTACTAGATTATATATTCGACACAGTTTATGTAAAAAGTATGTAAGCAGATTGTATCTGAATTTGGTAGGGTTATACAGCCGTATTACATTTTATGTAGAAGGTATTCAAGCAGGTTGTATTCTTTGTAATTTGTCTGAATTTGGTAGAGTTGTACAGCTGTATAACATTTTCTAACAACAGGAAAAGCTCAGTAATAAATAATATATGATGATTAAAATTTATAAGTAATTCTGAGTTTAAAGCTTTTATCTAGATAAAGTTAAAAACATATTACTTATATTGTTTGTAAATATATTCAACCAACTTCTAAATAAGGGGTGGTTTTTTATTTGGTTTTGTTTGTTTGTTACCTCAGAATTACGCCATTTGTAAACCAATATGTATGATAGTCATTCTTTATCTGAAAGGATATTATTGGATTCTTTCGGATTGGTTTCAAAGGAATTTTATCAAAATCGGTTTATTAATTTAATTCTTAAATAGTTTTGACGCTCGAAGTCGGTGTTTATTTTTTTATGAAACAAAATCCTATTAATATTATAAATGTAATAGTTTGTAAGCATGACTAAATGATTGGATTAATATCCAATTCTTTCAAGCAAAAATTACTAAACTATGCAATTAGTTTCTTCTTACGCATATATAATTAGTAAAAAGAGGATGAAAGATATACCATCGTTTGCTATTTTTCTCGATTTATAACAGGCTAGCTAAGACTAAGGTTTAGACAAACACAGACAAGATAACTCCACCACCCTCCGCTGAAATTCACTTTATTAATTTCATTAATTCGATTTTAAGTCAAGAATGCTGCCAAAATCAAAGACAAAAATGTTAGTAGATAAGTAGCGATGCGTGAATTCAAACGATTTTGTTACTCGAATAATTAGTAATTACTAATTATGTAATTCAACTACTAAATTAGTGATGTACTAATTTCCGTATACGACTGATTTTACTAATTACTAAATAATTAAAAAAAAGAAATACCTTTAACTTAATTTAAATTGGCAACATTCTTTCCCATTACAAAAAAAAATGTATGAAGGATTTTTTGGCGGGCTTTTGAAAGAAATAGGCGCGAATTGAAAAATTTTTAAAAGAATAACTGTTTAATTGTATAATTTGCTATAAATAGCCTATTTCATATTATTTTAGAATATAAATAAATTATCATGCCTGAGGGGAACGGTGACGTCCCGCCTCCGGGCCGAAAAGCTACAAAGAGATATAAAATTCTTTCGGAAAATTACTACAAACCATTTATAAAACCGGGCTATAAGCAGATCTTCTCAGAAAATACAATGGTAAGTAGTGAATACACTGTATTTATTACAAATTCTACTTGAAAAAAAATTGGAAACCTTAATCCTCTGGTACTGGCTAATTTCTTCAAAATTGAAGTTAAGGGCGTGATGGCATTAATGCAACTAAAGTCGCAGTGACATTTTTCCAAGCTATTACGCTAACTATTTTTTGAACAATAAGAACTTTCTCAGTAAGCACAGCTATACTACACATATCCCTGCAGCGCCTGTGGAAATCATCGACGTTCTTCGATTTGTTTCCACAAGTACAAGTAACGAAGAGTTGTTTAAAAAACTTACTCCTATATATAAGATAATTTGCGCAAGTAGGTTTGCAAAAAAAGTAGATGGTGATGTTAAACCATTTGGGTCTGTCAGATTAACGTTTCTGTCTGGAAGTCTATCAGACTATATCTATCTAGATGTATTTAGATATAAAGTACATGAATATGTGGCTCTTCTCTTACAGTGCTATAAATATTTTAAATTTAATCATGGAGTTAAATTTTGCAAATCTTCACAAAAATGTTTAGTATGCGCAGGAGACTCCCACTTCTCAGACTGTAAAGCAGAGACAGTCAAATAAAGTATTAACTGTGGTGGTCAGCACCTTGCTATCTCGAGAGGCTGTCCAGTTAAAAAGTTTAAAATGGAAGAAAAAATTAATAAAGCTAAATATACACAAGTGTTGCTTTAAAAATAGTAAACTTAAATAATATTACAAAAAGCTATGATACAAATGTTTCTGCGATACGAAATAATAATAATAGTCAATCCAAATCAAATATTAAATCATACAGTGTAAAATCCTCATTACCCACTTCACAAGATGAAAATAAAAAACTTATTAACAAAATCATTAAAAGTAATTATATTTTAAATGGGCTAATTAGCGCTTTTGTTTTCTTAGGGAATGATGGCAGGGCTCTGACTTCCACAGTTATTAAAGACACATTAATTGAAAATTATAAAATTGAATAAGTCATTTGTTAGAATATCTCAGTATAATATACAAAGTATTTGTAACAAAAAGCCTTTATTAATTAACTTCATTCTTGAAAATGATATTGTTGTTTGCTTGCTGAATAAAACGTGGTTGAAAGAGAATTCCAAATTTTACGTGTCGAATTACAATTTTATAAGTCAAAATGGTACAAATGGATATGGAAGTGTAGGTTTACTAATTAAGTATGATTTTAAATATTCAGTAGTTTGTATGATTTCATGCAATCTGTAGCTATTATACTAAAAACACTTTAAAAGCAATTTATGCATATTATGTGCATATTGCCCTCCACCAAATAATGGTAGAGATCGTTTTAAAATTACCAAACTTAAATATTACAGAAACTTCCCACACCAGTAATGCTATCAGTTGATTTAAATGCTCATTACATGGTTTTTGGCTGTAATAGTTATGGCTGCATATGTTATGGGTCACCCCACTGACCGTTTTATTTACTCGAAGGCTAACCGGCCTCGTTTGTATTCGTAATCTGAAAAGGCATTTAATTGCATTAGTTTGGACCATATTAACCCATTAAATAGTTATGAATTATTTATAAATACATTGAATAAAATCAAAATTAATTCTATACCCAAATTAAAGAAAACATCTCATTACAAGACTAAAAAACTGGTACCGTGTTGGAATGATGAATGTAAAAAATGATTCAACAAGATATAATTACAGAAAAAATCCCACACTTGATAATTACATAAATTATAAAAAAATTGATGCTATAAGGAAAAAGTTTTAGGTGGAAAAAAGAGATAGCTAAGAAAGATTCCCACAAATTACAACAAATTAAAATACAAAATTACGTGTAAGTATTATTTGGAATTAAATAAAAAAGTTCAAACACATACCTCGATATAATTGTCCTAAAAATTATGAGTGGATACCATTTTTCTTAGATAATCTTTTCTCTCTTGAAAAAGAAATTAATAAAGAAACATTGAACAGTTTATTTGGAAAAATTGGAAATTCTGATTACTAATTCCTCTCTCAACCCTTTTCACTTAGTGAATTAGAACGTCACTGCATTCCCGAAAAGACACTACTCCTAGATGTACTACTACTAGATGACATGACATAAAGTTATATGATATTACCATAGTAATGCTAAAACATTGCTTCCAGATATTTATAATTTACTATAGAATCATCAGTGCATACCTCTGTCTTGGAAAACATAATGTGTAATTCCCATACTAAAACCAGACAAGTCACCTTATGATCACAATTCCTACATTTTCTATGTCATCTTGTATTAGTAAACATTTTGAATATATGCTCAAAACAAGATTAGATTTTTATGTAGAAAAGAATAATTTATTACCTCCTTAACAATTTGGCTTCCGTAAAGACCATAGTGCCACTGAAAGCTTCATCTCTTTATTGGTGACACCAAAAATTCTTTTTTATAGTCATTCTTTTACAGTTTGTGTATTTCTGGATATACAAGTTGTCTTTGATAATGTTGACCCTTCTATCATGGTTTATATTCTTAGTGATATTGGCATCCCAGGTAGTCTGTAAATGGATATTTAACTTTCTATATGAACGAACTATGTATATTAAATACAATAACTTAATACATGGCCCAAGATATATTTACAAGGGTACTATGCAAGGTTCTACTATCTCCCTATTATTGTATAGCTCATATACCAGTAAAATTATAACTATTTAACAAAAAACAATAATAGTATAAGATTTTTACAGTTTGCTGATGATTTGTTTGTACATAATATAAATAGTAAAGTAAATATTGTTGTAAATAAATACTTCATTTAAAAAATTGTACCTTCTACCATAATAAATTAAAATTAATAATTAGTTCTAGTAAGATTGGTACATTAATATTCTTCAAAAAATAATACAATTCATTACAACCTATTTTGTATTATAATAGTGTTCTAACATGGATCATCATCATCTTCCTACCTTTATCTCAGTTATTATTTGGGGTCGGCGTAATATGGTTTCATCCATATTACTAAAGGATTTGGCTTACAATTATACAACCGGCCGCCTGCCTAACGTTAACACTTACCACTTTCCATCAGGTGGGCCGTTAGCTTGTTTGCCATTCTAAGTTGTATAAATAAATAAAAAAAAAGCCCTCTTTTGGAATGCATTAATAAAAAATTAGTTACTACTTTATATTTATGATAAAAAATGATAACTGAAATGAAATAGATGAGATAGCTGACTCTGGAGTATGGTCATCGCATTATCCGAATTCCTCCATGCCACTGTAAGTACAATGCCGTACAGCTAATCTGGGCTTAAATTAAAGATTATGCAGCCCGCCATAATACTTCTCCAACGTATGACATAAAAAAGATGAAGACGCTTTTAAAAAAAGTATGTGAAAAAGTAACAAGAGGTGACTGGATGAAGGTGGTTGAAAAGTCTAAAAAGATTATATTTGATGACGTTGACCCCGATATCCGTATATATACTATGATTGACAATAATATGATAATACATGTTAGTGAAGATAACAGCGAGTCCTCAAGCGAATTGGAACCGGATTAAATTTTAATTTGACGTAGCCTTCATTTAAATAATAGGCTTAAAACTGTGTTTCATAATATATATTTTCCAATAAAACATCAATTTGATTTTCTTTTCCTTCGTTACATTTAGAAATTACGATTTAATTCATTCATCAACAATTAATATTGTGTTTGAAATATGATTCCTATTAAAAATAATAAAATATATATTAAATTAAATAAATATGCATAATTAATACAATAAATAACGTTACTAAATATTATTAATGTTGTTTATGGTACATAACTAGTCATGACGAATGGACAGATGTCAGAAACGCAATCTCTGAGTGGCCGGACTTTAATAAATGAAATTATAGTAGTCGCATGAATAAAATTAGTATACGAATAATTTGAAAACAATTCGATTAATCCGATTGTATGCTCAGTTGAATCGTAATCGGATAATCAAGTCGCGCATCGCTACTGACAGTAAAGACAAAGACGACAGCTGACAGAAGAGACAAAAAGTGAAAGAAAGAACGACGGAGATTATTTTTTATTTCATTTCGATCTAGAATATTTTCCATCCGTCAAAAAAGGAGAATTAACTATATAATTCTTATTTTATAATCGCTTATACATAGTACATACTGAAATCAAAAATGTTTTTGAAAAACATTTCAAATCTGTTCATACGAAATTCCAATATTTATAAGAATTCACATTTAGTGAGAAAATTTTCTGTAACATCGGTAAAAGGTGATATTGTTAAAATCCAAAGTATTGATGATTTTAAAGAAAAAGTAATCAATAGTAAAGTACCAGTTGTGGTCGATTTTTTTGCTACGTAAGTAAAGGGAGTTTTATTAGTTTTGAAATTTCCATCTACCTAGTTACATTATAAATGTAATAATAAAGATATCGAATAATTAGTAATCACTATAATAGTGTAAAATGGCAATTATAAGCCGTGACATGATACTATCAATGAAACTTAATTTTATGTGGGGGTTTGTTTGAAAGTTCAAAAACAAGTGATTCAGACAATGCTCCTTGGGATAGCAGTTTCAAAATATTATCCATGAAAGTAAACTTGGAGGATGTAAACCCAATATCACTGACTCTATACATAGTAATACTTATTTAGAATAACATATATAAATTTTTAGTCCTAATAATCTATTCATTAGATACTCTTTGCAACAGGTCTATAATTAAACACTTGAAATATAATTGCAGGTGGTGCAATCCTTGCAGACTTTTGACACCTCGCTTGGAGTCTGTTATTTCAGAGAGTAAAGGGAAAGTTGTATTAGCAAAAGTTGATATTGACGAACAGTCAGACTTAGCCCTCGACTATGAAGTGAGCTCAGTACCTGTACTGGTTGCTATAAAAAATGGAAAAGTACAACAAAGATTAGTTGGCTTGCAGGATACTGACAAACTGCGCAAATGGATTGAGCAATTTACATCTGAGGAGTCTAAAGCTGAACTAAAAGCTTAACTTTTTTTGCTCTTAATTTATAAATTATTCATTGTTACCAATATGTAGTTGAAATAAAAATAAAAATGCAATAAGTTTTATTCTTGTAAACATTGTATTAAATCCCTAGCTCTCTTATATATTACATCATCAGGTTTGTTCACTTCTGTTACTTCATCTGTATTAGCAATATTGTCATCATTTTTTTCCTGTGACTCTGTCCATTCTTCCATTTGCTTAATTACTTTATTTGCATCATCAAGTAGCACATTACGTATATTACCCTTACTGGACTGCAAATACTCTAATAATAAAGGCCATGATTCATCTGGCACAAGGGTTCTTGAGAATTTGTTCTTGTTCAACCAAATTTGTTTTGCTTTCATAAATTTCCAGTTAGATTGATCATGTTTCCATTGAGATAAATAATTGAGACACTGCTCTTTAAGTTGTTCTTTATTTGCAGCTTCAGCAGCCGCTATGCGCTCTAGATATTTTTCTCTTTTCATTTGACGTATAGATTTCTTTTTTTGACCTTTGTTAGCATCCGTGCTTTCTGTTATCATGTGCTGCTTTTTCTTTTTCTTCTTGGGCTGTTGTTCATCATCTGAATCATTATCATAAAATCTTTTTTGAGGGGTTGCCAAAACTTCTTGTGAGATCATATCAGATTCCTGTTTATCTAGCTCTTCAGACGAAACATTTGTTGTTTGAAGTTTGTTGGCTTTTTTGATCTTATTTTTTTTATTATTACGGTTATTTCGTCTTTTTTTGTTTGCTGCTCCCATTTTTATTAGTTAAAAGCTTAGATATGCTTAGCAAAGTTATGATATAGCAAATTTTTATAAAAATTATTGTGACTATTAGATTAGATATTTATTTAGAGAGAGACTACGGCATAAGCAGATTTAAGAAAAACTAGTTTTTATTGATCATGGACATAGAGGTTAAGAAGTTAGGTTAGGTTATTTTTTTAAATTATAGTTTTAAAATTTTACTGATTTAGAAGACAGTCTTTTATACTCATTTATTTTACATTAGAGAATTTTAACAGTCTAAGTTAGTGCAATTGACTAAAAATATGCATAAATTAATTTTTTTTATATAATTATGGCACTTATTTATTTATTATTTTTCATCAATAAATTATTATTTATTTAAACTTTAATGCACAGTTAAATTCTATGAACATTTGGCCGACTTAACACCGGACGGTGTTCTTTACCAGTTGACCATTGGGCAAACCGAGAAATACGTAGGCGGTGCATTTTTAAATAGAGAAAAAAGAATAAAGCAATATTTGATAAATTCATACAATATAAATATTATCTCTGTAGTCCATAGGAAAATACTTTTTTTTTAATGGCAATCGGTCGATCTTATTATTATTGGTTATTGTAGTAAACCATTTTTTCATTTTGTTATGTTTTCTGTTTATGTCTAAAATATGGTTGATTTTTTTAATACATCAAATAAAAAAATATACATATTCGTTGAATTTTGTACTACGCTTGTTAATCCTGCTGATTTGCATATTAGTGACTGGTCACCCTAGTCCCAACTAATCGCAATTTTTGGCACGTCACAGCCGCGTCATCATGTCTCCGTGTCTGCTTTTATCATCGCGGAATTAAATTGAACTACATTATCATACCTTATCGTCATCTTTGTATGTGGACTATAAAATTCAGACCGTTCTGAAATAACATTAAAGATGGAACTATTAAAGTCAGTGTCTTCGAATACACAGATATTGTTCCCTGTGGCTGCTGTTGCTGTTGTTTTAGTATGCGCAGCTCTCGTATTTGTGTTCGGATTTCATACAGCGGAACAACCGCAATTTGATAAGTTACCTTTAGTGGTCGACGATAGGAAGTCATCTAACAAGAAAAGAAAAATCAAGGACAAGGTTAGTGAAAACAATATGTTATTCCTGCCCGCCACTGTGGCCAGTGCGCTCATTTTATTTTTAACCTGTAAGCATATGCTCGTAGTTTACCGGGGCTTACTAAACTAAGATTAAGGACCCTCGTACAAAACAAATTTAATTGGTTCTCTTACATAAATTTGATATATTAATCCACATGTCAAATTATTGTAATTAGTTTTTATATAGTGCTGACGCGTCTAATTCAACTCCGTAATATATTTCCATTTACTATAATGTTATTCTCAAGATTTTGTGTAATTTAAATATTTTTTATAATTATTATTATATTTTATATATTACAGAAGTCTTCACCTAACCGTACTGCAAGCGATGATGTGAAGACAAAGTCTGATAGTGCTAAAAAATCTCCTGCCAAGGAGAAGAAGGAGGAGAAATCAAAAGAAGCAGATAAACCTAAGCCTAAAGCAGCTGAGACAAAAACTGTGAAGAAGGAAATTAAAGAAGAAGCTAAAAAAGGTAAAAAGAATAAGAATGTTGCTGAACTTGAGAAGCCAGCTGACTTTGATGAGGGTGTGTGGGAGGAAGTGCCAAAAAAAAGTGACAAAAAAAAGTTGAGGGGTCCAGAAGAAAAAGAGAAAGATAAAAAGAAGGACAGTCCTTCAAAAAAAAATAAAAAGACCAAGGATGCTGATATTGAAGCTGCTCGAAGTGTTGTAGAGGAAGCTCCAGAGGAGACCATAAAGGTTATCAGTGCTGAAGGCCCACAAGTCGATGAAGAATCAGCTCGTGCATTGCAAGCGCAAGTAGAGGAGCTACAACGAGTTCTTAAAGAGGTATTTTTCTAAATGTTACTTTTTAAACATCTATTGGCTATTTAATTTAAATTCTTAATAGATTAATTGAATTTCATTCTCAAGAATTTATTGAATTCCACACATTTTGGATTTTTAAAAATATTATTTTATATTGAAAAATTTTACTTTCTGACAGGACTTGAATCTATATTTCTCGATTAGTTTTATAATGAGATAAATGGTGTCTATACTGGGCTTAATGATCACCTATGGCAACTCTGTTTACCATCAGTTGTGCTGTATGCTTTTTTGCCACCATAATAGTATAAAAATTTTGTAAAAGGGTTGAGCTCACCCTAGGATGCGAGTGGAGCTTTCAGCTATGTTTTTTTTTTATACCACTGAGGTGGCAAATAAGCATATGTACTAAAAACATGGTTAAGAGTACTACAAAATAATCACAAATATGTCAATGATCTTGTCAAATTAAAAATATCAAGTTTAAAGATATTTAACATGTTCACACCGGGATGACTTTAATGTTTTTTTGCTGCAAGGCGGCGCTCTAATGGATGCTACGCTTCATCATTGAATACGTACCACTGGTGGTATGCGCCGCCAGATAAGACAATCTAGTGCGTACCGCCGGTGGGCCGCGCCGGCGTGAACGTATTAAAAAAAATAAAATTATCAACTGGTGGAAGTTGGTACTCTGATCACTGAGAGATATTTTTTTTTTTAATTAATAATTGATTACCATTCTAAGTTGTATATAAAAAAATAAAATAAATACAAAAATATAGATTAATACATAAGATTTGTATATCTAAATTGTGTAATAGGCAATGGATGAAATGATAAGGATGACAAAAGATAACATTTTATAATATAAACAGATTTGGTTATTATGCAACTTTTCAAGATGACTGGTCATACTTACCAGTTACACACTAATTTTCACAGATGAAATGTGAAGCTAGATATTGTTTACAATTTTCTTTAATTGCATTTGTTTTGTATGAAAAGGACTAATTTTATACTTTAATATCAATATACTATATATTGATATTCATTATTTTAATTTATATTAATATTATTTTATTTTTATATATAAATAAAAAATTGCAGGCTGAGCGTCGAGAACAAGCAGCATTGGGTGGTGCCGAAGAAGTTGGTGTGGAAGAGCTGACTGATGTGAAGGATCTCAGAAGTAACAAGAAAAAAGAAAATAAAGAGAAACAAAACAAGAAGAAGGCCAATGAGGTAATAAACAATAGTGTGGAGTATAGGCCACTTATATTGGTTATGGATTTTATATTATTGTTTACAAAATTCAAAATTGGCATATTCTTCTATTTTTCCTTTTGAAATATAAAACTAAGAAAGCTTACTAAAAAAAGGTGAGCCCTTCACAGCTCTAGTATTTTAAACTTCCTTGTTTTATATTTATTTTTCAATTTCCATTTCTGGTTCACACCAATATCATTAGTAAAAATTAGATTTTATGGAACTAAATTGATGAAGTTAAATGATCAGCTTTAATTTCTAGACATACACTCTGCAATAGTATTGGAATTGTAATAAACACACATCAGAATAATGTTCTCCTGAACAGATAATTAAATTGAATATGTGTAGTAACAGTAAACATAATGGGATGATACTTAATTTTAATATTTGTCTTTTCAGTCTGCTGCTGCAACAAAGAGTAATCCCAAAGCTGACATAGTGGACAACTCTGAATCATCAGATAAACAAGAAGATAAACAGAACACACCAGTTTTTGATGAGCTTGGAGGTAAACATTAAGATAATATAATAATATAAATATTAAAAATAGTTATTATTTAACAATAACATAATATATACTAAAAACTAGTGTCCAAAAACTAGTGTATTTTTTTTTTTATAATAATATAAATTAAATTAATAATTTTTTTTTATAGATTCTTGGACAGATGCCAAAGCATCCAAAAAGAATAAGAAAAAGGCTCGCAAAGATCAGTGAGAGGTGAGTTGTTCACACAGGGTCCATGTAGGTGCTCTACCCTGTTACTAGCTCAATGCTATTCACACCACTGAAAACGACTACTACTTTGATCCATAGGATACTTTATAATAATAAATTATACATACAATAATTTTGTTCAAATTTTGCAAAGCATAATTAATCAATTATTGTAATATTTAAATTACTAGTTGTTTTATTATTATTGTATTTAAATATTTTATTTCAGGGTCATAGATTTACAGGGTGTGAAAGTCTATATAAGTATATTAGTTTTAATAACTTTGTTCATACACATTCAGGTTATTTACGTCCATGTTTTTAGTTGCATATTTTATTTTATATCTAGCTCATGTTGACTTGTTTTCCTAATAATTTAATGATTGTTTACTATAAAGCATAATATGTTTTGTTTTGTGTATGTTATGAGTCATAATTTGTAATGTGTTCCGAATTTCACGTGACCTTTGGGAATCTGCAATATTTTGTTATTAATTAAAGACTGTCGAACGTTCGTAATGTTTGTCGAGTTACATAATATTATTGATAAGTTGTGTAACAGTAGGTAGCTAACCCGTAGTAGGCATAATATGTAAGGATTAGGAATGTAAATCCATAATTAACATTCAAGATCTTCTGGTGCTTGTAGTATAAGTATCTTGTTTCCTTTCATTCCATGTATGTGCATTTTTTCCTCATCCACCTGTGAAATACCATTGGTAACTAAATAATATGTATTTCATTCCCTTATATTGTTTATTATACCCTATAATTTTTAATACTCTCTGTTATGATTTATTATGATGAAAATTATGAGTGAGACCTGAATTTGGACCAAAATAAATTATGCAGTTTGCTATAAAAGCTATATCACTTGCAATTAGTGAACATGTAGTTTCATTCTATTATATGAAGCAGTCGCCATTTTTAAAGCATATTTAGATTATAATATAGACATTTTCCGTCCGAACTGTAATTGAATTCAATGTTCTGTGTGCATTCCCTGTAACTAATTTACCTGTTTTTGTTAAAATTAATACATAACATCTTATGTTCCAGAAGTGATAGTAATATTGTAGCATCATATTTTCGTCATCGCAAAAAAGATGTAAACATTACTGTATTATTGCAGATTCCTATTTTGTATACCTTAGATATAAGAATAATTAAAGTTTAGGGTAGTGCCGACATTACTATATAAAGAATATTTTAAAATTCTAAATGTCTCTGAAGATAATTTATTATCGTATAATAATAGGATATGAGTGAGAGCGTTTTTGCTATCTAGAGGAAATTATTAGCTTCGATACAGATACGAATACGAATGATATTTATTTATCGGCTGTGCAATGTTTTTACATACATATATCATTAATAATATCTTAACTATTTATATATTGACGAAATTAATTATATATGATACATCCTTTGTTACCTATTTTATTTAAATTTACCTATGATAAAGACAATTTTTTTTAAATATATAGTACCAATAATCGCTTTAATTATGCAACTCACGTGTACATTCTTGACATAATCTTGTGATATTTAGTGCGATATAATGTCGTTTTCGTAATTGAAGAACGATTGAATCGATTCATAATGCTGACTAGAAATATTCCATTATAAAGTTAGTACAGTTTCTTCGTCATTATCGCTGTTATTAAGTGCGAGGTGAGGTAATTTAAAATACTTTCAGTTTCCATTACTTGTGTTCTCTTATCTATAATATGTCAGTACTTAGGGCCTAAAATTTTATAAGAATTTATCATCGTGTGGATTCTCATAGATGAATTAAATTCGTATATTGATTAATAGGTACATTAGATGTAATGTATATTTTGGCTTCATATTCATTAGAGTAGTGTGGGATGGCGGCTACGCCAGTTGCGAGGCGGCGAGCCGGGCTTACGATGCCAACTTATAGACATGTATCTTGAGAATGTTATTTGTTTTTATAGGCTCTAAAATATAATGAATGTGTAATATAAATATTTTTTTAAAATCAATAAAGAGTGATATTGATAAATTGTTGTGATTTTAATTATTTCAACCTTAATTATATATACTATATATAGAATTATTATAGATTAGCTATATATTATTTTTTGTACTTGACATGTTTAGTATACAATATTGGCACTTATCTTTGTATCAAAATAACAGTGCATAATAAAACAATGAGCTAGAATAGAGGTTAAATGTTTATTTATATGTTTTTGTATATTTAACTGACTAACTTCAATAAAAAAAAAAAAACATGTCAAGTTTGATTATTTTATTTAGATTAATAACATATATGTATGGTGTACTTCAAATAATGGTAAAATCCGGATGGATAAAGATGATGGTAGATATGGTTACAGATTCGAATTGAGTAATAAAACAAATCTGTTATGACAGTTGTTTAATAATTAAATACAAAATGTTATTACAAAAACATGAGATTCCAAGTTTGTATACTGGAAAAATATCTTAAGTATAGCTATAACCTAGATATTATTAAGAGATCGTAACTTTCATATTATAAAATACGTAATAGGTATTATTTGGTTATACAAGGCACACAATACTTATATTTTAATAAGTGCATTTATTATAATTAGATAGTATCTTTTCGTTTAATTAATCAGTCCATTCTCAATCTTTAAAGGGACTAGTGAGACTATCGTAAACACGAACGGTTTATTGCCAAAAAGTATAAGAAATGTAAATCATATAGAAAAATGCATACTCTTGAGAAGGGAATGTGTATGCAGATACAAGTCTGCGTAATAATAGCAATGAATTTATCTTCTTAAAATTATGTACAAAACGTAGATGTTTATATATTCTCTATAATAGGAATTATCATAGATAAATTATTTAAATTATCTATGATAATATTTCTATTATGCGTTTTTCTCACATTTATTTTCGGTACTTAATGCGATATGTTGACATTCATGTTGAAATAACCGCAGTAATAAAAATCCGGTATGTAGGTAATTAGGTATAATTTACCTGTAACAGCCTCGCGTTAATTCCCAAAATTAAAATGAAACATATTTGTAGATAACAAGTCGATGCGAAACGTATATATTTCATAATTTACGGCCGCTATATTTATATTTGTCTTATATTCGTCTTGTAACCTTTTACCATACAGCACTTCATCTCATTTATTAAAATCTTTCAAGCTATTCCGTTGAGTCAAAAATTCATATACATACGTGAAATTTTGTAATAGAACCACACACTTAAATCCAGGGCTGGTCTTAGATCTAGTTTTTGAACTGTGTCTCTTGACGACGAAGTAAATGCTATTTAATAAAAATTGCACCATTTGCTGGTGTTCTGGTCCGGAGTAATGTTGATGGCGCCCGTTGGTTCTTATTTAACGATGAAACAGAAAATATCACCACCTTGTATTGAGGTGTCACTGAGCAGTGTTAATCGCGCCTTGCGGCTTTCGTTACTGACAACAAAAAAGGCATATTTTAAAATTAACTATAATAAGAAAGTCATCGGTGATCCACGCTGTTCACTTTGATGCGACCCCTGATTAATCCTAGAGTCATTCTTATTTCTCGGCGCCTAGATTGTACGAGACTATCAGACGAAATGACGTACTTAAATATATTTTAATTTCATAAATATATTTATTTCTGTATTTGTGGGTATCAATTCCGTAATTATTTCCATTTCCAAGCATGTGTTGTATATTATTACGGACAAGAATACGATGAGGGCTATTTATCGGCGATCTTTTACAGTTCAGAATCGCTCTTGGCACCCGATTTCACGTTAGGCTTTCGTGTCACAGGTGCAGCGCTTTTACTGCGCGGTTTTCTTCGCACGCGCCGTTTCAGGCGACGTAATTTGCCGCCGGATTGTGCAGGCGCTGCCTGAGATCTTGACTTTGTTTCTACCTCAATTTTTAGGCGAGCGAACATATCGTAGTTTGTGATGGCGCACATTTTACCTGTAACAAAAAAATTATGTACTTTATGAAACTCAACTAATCTAACCTAAAACTAACCTAATCTTATCTACAAACATAATAAAAATACAACTACACTAGATGCTGTCTGTAAATGGGCATTATTTAAGAAAAATTGATATGCCGGATCCTATCGGAGCAATAAAAGCGAAAACTATATTTTTTTAAAGTGTTGTCTCTGTATGTTCGTTCCGGCATCACGCAACAATTGCTATAATAAAATTAGATGCAGTTTACGCAGTTGTGTTTTTGAAGGTCTAATTTAAAATATAGTATATATTTTATTTTGATACGTCATCTCGAAGTATTTTTTTTTTTCATGCAACTTAGAATGGCAAATAGTATATACTTATTATAATATCTATTTCATTGCTTTTACTACTTCTGAAGTTCACTCGTCCGATGTAGCAAGTGAAAAGCTAGTTACTAATAATAATAATCGTATAAGCCGTATGGTCCTGACATAGAAACGGCCATCTCCGTATCGTATGAGGCGTGTAAGAGAACTTAACGGTTGAGGGAGGTGCAGCAGCGTTCCACGTTTAATATCACCAAAACCTAACTGCGGTTGCCAACTCGCCTGCCAAGTGTGGCAACTACTGGCATAAATCCACAATAATGACTTGTATAAGGAGTACTGAGCATGACAGTGACATTGAGACGACGATGTTTTCAAGATTGAATGATCCTCTAACGGGTACTATTAGGTACACCTTTTGCTATGCCCATTTACATTTTTAAAAATTATATGATCAATATATGAAATTTTTAAATAGTATACTCTGTTATACCCATGGTACTGCTCATGTGTACCCCCATACCACTTACCATCAGGTGGGCCGTCAGCTTGTTTGCCATTCTAAGTTGTATAAAAAAAAAAAAATAAAATATGACTACATAAATAAACTTATTAAGTTTTAATATTAACCATTGCAAAATTCTTCTCCACATTCCAGACAAGTTAGGATTCTAGTTTCTGTAACGCCGGAGCGATTCTTTGTTTTTCTAATCATAGTGTTTTTGGTCATTTCTCTTTTGTCTCTTGCTTTGGTTTTTAATTCAGCTTTACCAAGTTCTATTAATCTAGAAAGGTACTTATATTATTATATATTACACTATTTAAATGTTATGTTTTTAATATAATAAATGAAATATAATATAAATTGACCTGACCGGTATCAATTTAGGAAAAGAATCAAATCTGGGACCTTATTTATGCAAAGCAACGTGCTGACATCTGCGTAGACTAAAGGTTAAAGGTCACATATGGTTAGTGTCACATAATTTTATGTGGGGATCGAATTTTGGTGCAGTACACGATATATACCGTATATACATACATCGCCGTGTAGTCCCGGCATAGAATGAGCCATCCCTCACTATCCCATGGGTGTCGTAAGAGGCGACTAAGGGAACTTAATAGTCGACGGATAGATATCTGCGTCTCTTAGAAAACATCATCAAAGCCTAACTGCGGTTGTTAAACCGCCCGCAAAGCGTGGCAACTACTGGTAAAACCACCCTTAAGAAGGAGGCCTATGTTCAGCAGTAGACATTTAACGATTGTTAGTCGTTAAATGTCCATATAATAATAATAATAACACGATACATATTTTACCTATAAATTTTGACCACAGCAGTAAACAAAATTATTGTAATTTTTATTGTTCCTTTTAGTAATGTGGTATTGAAATACTATTTTTAATTATTGTATGCCAGCGTAGTGAGAGCGACTACCCTGCGAGACGGTTAAAGTGTTGCAGATTCGATGGCATCGTATCGTACTTTCTGACGTAATATGAGGGAAAGCTCTGGACGATAGAAGAGTTATAATGGTGATGATCATGCTATCATCTTTGAATGATATGAAAAACTGATATGCTCCACATAGCTGTGGTAAAAGAATATTGACACTACTTACCTATTAAAATATTCTTCGTCCGATTTCAATTTAGGTCTAATTGAGGTGAGCATTTTCCATTCTATAGGTACAGCACAGAGTTCATCAAATTTGAGCCCTCTCATTTCCACAGGTATAGGGTCCATAAATGTAAACTGCTTTTCTTCATACCCGCGCGTACCAAACCTTTCATAAGCGCGTATCTCCTTTTTAGGTGTTTTTGTTTTGTGATCTTCGGATTTGTCTTTTATTTTTATATCATCAGCTTTGACCTAATTTAAAAAAAAAAAAACAAGTATTAATTATAAGGTAAATAAATAGCGGCGAATGACGCAAATAATAATAAAAGAAGTCGATAGATAAAACTTACCTTTTCTGGTCTAGTTTTGAAATCTGGAACTTTATCTAAAACAGCTCTATATTCTTCGGCTGTATTAATAACGGTTTTTGATAAATCAAGCATTGGCGCTTCATCTTTCTTTTTGTCAAAAATATCATCTAATTTGGACATATTCTCAATATCAAATCAAACAATGGCGACAAGACGGCGCGGCGTCGACTTTATAAACTAAACTTAAAATTTTATCGACCTAACTTCGTTCTGACCTATTTCCTAGAAACTGTTGAATCGATAGCAATCAGTACAGTATTTTTAGGTAGGTAACTTAATGCCAACTACAAATAGTGAGCTAAAAATGTGCTGTTATATTATATTTTTTATATCTGCTTTTTTACCTACGGTCAATATTTCGTTTTAACAATCAAGTTTTCTTGGTCCTCATTTTTATCTAAATATTCTCTTTTTGTTACGTTGAATTGGTCTATGATTTTCTTTCTATTTTCAACATCGAATATATTAGATTTGTTATTGCGCTCGTTAACATCATCGATCCATAATTTCCTATTCCCGTATTTATCATTAATAAATTTCTGTGAAAGAGTCATTCTTTTTGTAGGTGACATTTTGGGAGACTTTTTGTTGTCTACTACATCATTTATTATGTGACTTAGGTTGCTGAATTCAGGTGTTACTTGATCATTTTCTGTAATATGCACAGGTCTTGATAAATCTTGACTAGATCTTTTATTTTTCCAATATGATTGACTTAATGAATTACGTTGTTTGTGACCCGCTTCCGTCATTTTTTCCGATTGTCTCAGTGGTGGACTCGGGGATCGACTATCGTCACTCGATTGTGATAGATACTGTCTTGCTTGCGGTCGGTATTTTTGTCTCATTTTTCTTTTTTGACTATAAAATGGGTCCTTTTCGCTTTGTTTTTTATATTGAGCGGCTGGTCTATTGACACCCCATTTAGGTCGATTTTCTATTTCCTTTTTATACCTTTCTTCTGAACGAAAACGTCGATCTTTTTTTAAGGTATTATGATGACTTTCTTGTGGTGCATTTTCATCAATACTTGGGTAATTTTTATCTATATTTCTTTCAAGTTCTTGTGTTTCCACTATTTTATCTATAGTAGGTTTTGAAGTATTTATTTCTGTCTGTGTGGAAGCATCTTTTGTTTTTCCTGACCGGTATTTTCTAGGTGTCAAAATTTTACCAGTGTCCGTTAATTCTTGCAAATGATTTAGTGAATTTACCGAAACACTATACAAATTATTAGTTAGATTTTGAGGTACTAAAACAGCTAATTGTATACTACTTGGTTGGCCACTTATATCACTATTTCCATTAAGGCCAATTGGAACAATATTGAACTGGTTGTCAGCAAGAGCTAATGGAGGTACGCTGTGTATAAACAAATTTAAATTTCCAGGTCCTACAGACCGGGGAGAATTAAATTCTGTAGTTTGATGCGACTCGCAATCTTTCTTTTGACTTTTTGCTGAATGTAAGTCATAGGTTCTATTTGTCTTTGTAGGACTTATACTTTCATTTCTAAGTATACTATTATTAGTAGTACTAATAATGTCTTCTTCTTTGGGCTTGCTTTCAATAGGAACAGCTGTATTTATATGTTGTCTGTGACTAATAAATCGTTTTTCTTTTTCTAATCTAGCTTTCTTTTCTGCATCTTCTAAAGCTTTCTTAAGAGTTTCTAATTTTTTTTGTTCCATCAATTGCTTTTCTTCATGTTTTCTTTTTTCTTCTTCAAGTCTTAATTTATCTTCTTCTTGTTGTCTCTGTATTCTTAATTCTTCGAGTCTTTCTTCTCTTAAACGCCTTTCTCTTTCTTCTAATCGTCGTTTCTCTCGATCCTCTAACTGACTTAATATTGCTGACTGCAATTCTAAGGCTTTTATTCTTTTATTTTCACGCTGTGCCTTAATTTCTGGTTCTAATGGAACATTTTGTCCTCTAAGGAATGTTCTGAAATATAAAGATTACCATAGTATTCAGAAAATAATGTCAATAGAAAAGTATACACATAAATAAAAGTATTCTTTTATGAGAGTAATTACAACTAAGAAAGGTACATTTGGTCTAACAAAGATCCGCATAATATCAAATATTGTAATACAGAGCAATAAATAGTGGCCAAAATTTAATTTTAAATTTGAAGGTCCTATTCGTACGAAGGACAGTAGTTTTACTTGTCAGTATTTAATAAATAAGTTAAAAAAATGTTACGGAAAACAAGTTGGCTATTAGTAATATCTATAAGCATAAGAGTAATAGATACAAATTGTAAGTATACGTACTTTCCTTCATCGCTTCCATTACAGGAAGACCTATCACAGTCGAAACCCGAATTCGTTGAACTAGTTTGGTCAATGACTAGAACTTCTGCTGTATTTTCTATCATATTCAATCCACGTTCCACCCATGATGGCGTGCCTTTCTTCTGATTTTGCATCTGAATTATTAATATTTTGTAATTATTAATAGTTATGAATCGGTAAAAATTTAGGATGCACCGCGATAGTATGGTAAGCTCAAAATTAATTGTTGTTTTTAACTTATATTCTTTTAGTGAATTTTTTTTTATATTCATTTGAGCGTGTTTGACTATAATCTTACCGAACACAGTTTCACAGAATAGTCCCTTAAAATGATACTATTTCGATTTTACCTTGGTGAAGATTGGTTTATTCAAGATATTGTCTTTTCAGATTGTGGCCCTGAGTAAGTTAGACGCCACCTCTCTTGCCGAGATACGAAAGAAAACCACTGTCATCAATTTTACATCCTGGCGTCCGTCCGCGTTTGCCGATGTTTAGTTCAATTGAATTATATGAGATCTTTTATTGATTGCAGACCAACTGGGTTTCCCTTAAGGTCGGTACTGGGTATTCCTCAAAAACTGAAACTTCGTAATAAATTCAATAATCACCTGTGGCAGTCTGGCATTAGGAGCAGTCGGTTCCCACAGGCGGCCAGTGGCGACGCCACGATCTCCCCAGCGCGGGCGTCCTTCTTCTGCCGTATTGCTTCTCTGACTCCGTGCTGACCACGCGCCATCCGCAGACCTTCCACCACTCGAACTTATATTTCTAGTTTTAGTAATGAATTTTGAATTTTCATAGTTAATAGAAGTTAAAAAAAAAGGTAAATAAGTGTTGTTGAAATTATCGTAGCAACACTGTCTAAATTAAATTAGTAACAAATCCAAATATCTTAGCAATTAATAATCAGAAGGAGACTTTGTACAAAAGTCGTTTGCTTGGGCACCTCCGCTCCATTCGTGTTTCTATTGTGAAGCAGTCATGTTTGCATGGCTGTGTTTCGGTTTAAAGGCTAGGATATGGCGTGAATTTACTGGGTACAGAGGAATAACACCCGAGTCCTCAGGAATGGCAACGCATGGGGGGTATCATGGGCGAAACAGTATACTCTGTTACGTCCATGGTACTGCTCATGTATATAGGCGACGGTTACCACTTTCCATCAGGTAGGCCGCTAGCTTGTTTGCCATTCTAAGTTGTATTAAAAAAAATATCAGTTTATGATTTGTACTACTCTTGGACATCTGCAAATTGTCTTATGGCCGAATCAGTTATTCGTTTGTTTACATTTTTATTAAGTTCTATGGAAACAGACTACAGTTACATATATGCGCATATCAGGTGTGGGATCTGTAATTTGTATTTATTATTTATAGTTGAAAGCATCCAATATTTTTTTAGTTTTATTTTATCATATATGTAGTTATAAATTATTAACCTTTATAATTTTATTTTTGTAAAAAATAGCTGTAGCGACGTTTTTGTGAAATTACAATTAGCTAATAACCCAATAAACGAACAAAAAGTAATCTCTAAACGATTGTTGTATAATACTTAATTAATAAATAACAAATTGTATCGGGTACCTACTTCGACTATCTTGAATTTCTCAGAATCCAACCATCCATAACAATAAGAAAAAATGACTAAACAACTGTAATACCGAGATTTTATGTAAGCGAATGAAATGTACTTTCCCTTAAGGTTAGCTTTGAGTTTATTTAACAAAAAATGTTGGTACCTAAGTATTTATTTAGTACCTAGAAGTGTGCAAGAAACATCGGCAGTAGGAAAATTAAATTATCAAACATATGATCTCATTAGATGTTTTTCTCGACAAAGTTGTGGAAATTGACGATAATCACAATTTAAAGGCAGTTAATCGTATGAAAAGAAGATAGTTAGATCACAGTATATTCTTTAGATAATGGATACTGGATAGACTAAGTGAAAGACAGTATGGCTCTCTCACGCACGCTACTGAATGAATTAGAAAATATAGCGCCGGCTCCATAAGCTGATGGCATAATGGCGAGAGCGTGTTAAATTGTAGTTAATGGTTATGGATTAGGGTTTGAAGATAAGAATTATTAAATATAGAGTTTATCTGGTTCCAGGGTACTGTTTGCATTTTTGTAAAAAGACAGCTAAAACATTTTGAAACCTACAAGACCGTAAATAGATTATAATCCATTTATCAGTTTTAATAAAGGGTTTGCGAAACAGTTATCTGCATCCGTGTACTATTTTTAAATAAAATCACGAAACCTTCGTGAAATTAGTAATGCTAAAGTTAGTTATTTCTGTATTTCAAAATAAGTTCCTTTATATTGTTGTTTGACACGCACATTATGTTTTTATGAGAGGTTATGAAAAAATATAGATTGTTTGTTGACCTACCTGTTTTCTTTCCCCTGTTGCCATGCCACAACAGGGTTTCGATTATTAGTGACATCGTGTAACGCATCATTTTGACATCTATTCATATGATTGATTGTTTCGCTTCCGTATCCCGATGTGTCCCCTTCCGCATCTTCGTCATAAAAAGCGAATCTTTTTGCACTAGGTATGTTTCGGTTTAACACATTCGTTCTTCTTTCTTCTTTACTCTTCTCTGGGTCGTTGTTGCGAATAGGTGGTAGACTAGGACTTCGCTGGCGTTGTATAGGTTCTTGGTATTCGTATGATGATTGCTTATGTAGTTCGAGTGTGCTCGCGAATTGGTTCCGTATTTGAAAGCGATTTGTGTAAATAAAAAAAAAGAGTTTAATGTAAGCGCTCTCCCATTGCTAGAACCCCAACCAGGCGACCTCCTCGCGGTTCTCCCTGGAAAGGTTAATTCCTGATGACATTTCTTCTGAAATAAAAAAAATCCCGTTAGCGCAAGCGGGGTTTAATGTAAGCTTGTTATAAAATACATAAAATGATATCAATTGACTTTAATATTTAACTATTAAATACACGTCTATGAATTTTCTTGAAAATGTAATAAAATATATAAGAACCTTCCATGACAACAGCCAGCTAAGAATTAACTATCCAATCGAAGGAAAAATAAAAGAGTTCCCCTTATTGTAACAACATATAAAGGGTTTTTATGTTTTGTCGATACCGCGTGCAAGGAAAGCAGTCAATTTTCCATATTATGTGCAGCTCTTTCTTTTTAATGTGACAGCTAGTTGGGTATACATATGTATATATGCATTTACTTGTCGAAACCCCATTTGTATGACACGGAAACCCATAGTATGCATTAAGTATTAAACTAATAGGATATCAGAGACTATAATGTCTATAGTGTATTACATGATTTGGTAACTGATGTAGTGTAGTGTGTAGTATAATATTGAGTAGGTATAGTTTTTTTAATGGAAGACAATGGAATAGTAATTCTGTTTGCGCGCGGTATACACTGACGTGTCACCAGTAAGGAATAATAGATGTGATGAAAAGGCAGGTTAATTAGCCCATCGTGATGAATACACCAGGCATTCAACACGATGAGTTCCAGGGGGGACCACGTGGAGGTCGACCTGACAGGGCATATTGCTAGCAATGGGACTGGTAGTCCGCATCACTAACAATTTCTTCCACCCAGTAGATATAGTTGATACCTATTTATTCCGCATTCATGTCGTATAATTGCACAAAGATTTCAAATTCACGTCTACTTTTACTAGCACAAATGAAATAACTAATTCGTGTCGGCTAAAAGTCTAGAACGGCTTGATGTCGAAACAAGAAAAATGTTAATAGATTTGAGTGGCACGCGACGTGATATAAATTCACGAATGTGTAACTACCTATTACATAGGTAAAGGTAGGTATATAGTAAATATAATGTAACCAAAATATAAGTATTTCGTGTAGGCATAGCAGGGGCATAATAATGATTGCTGTTTTTCCCCACTTTCTTTGTTTAATTTCGGAGTTCTCATTATAATACATATATGTAACGGAAAGTTAATGAATATGCATAACCAAAATACTGTAGGTATGTTTAGATATAATAGATATGTGTACATGTTTAAAATATTTTCCAAGGCGTAAAACAATGAAATGATCAAATTACGTAATGTAAGTGGGTAGGTGTATTTATATATGCACGGTATCTGTAGTAAGTACTGAATTTCGCGTCTCGCTTTCATTTGAATGTAATTTGGATGTAACCTAATGTAATTTTTAGGTGTCCACAACAGTTATTTTTTATACAAAATAATGAAACAATATTAACTGTATCACATGTTTTATAGTAATTTTGTTGTAGACTATTGTAATAAATAAAACAGATAAAATGTAAATATCCTATTTTAAGTGCCCGTCTTTGCTATAAATAGAATCTTCGTGATCCCCTGTCAAGACCTATTTTAGAAATTAATATTTGATGTATAGGTTAACTGGTTCTTTTATAATATAGCTGTGTTCACGACTTCGAAATTTATTTATAATTCGTATGAATGAATGTGTATACTTTATTTGCATTATACAATATAGGAAATAAGCAAGACAATTTACAAACACAACGATACAATTGTATAAGTAAAGTAAGGCGGTCTTATTGCTGAGAGCAAACTTTTCAAGACAACCTTAAGGTAATGGACTAATTGTTGTACAAGTAGGTATGATAGTGCTGTATAATTAAAAAAGCATCTTTTGTATTATTTAATACAGACATTGTAGTGCGATGTGACTATTTATTTGCTAATAAGTAATATTATGCTGGATAGTTTTTATAAATATAGCTACCTTATTTATAATTAACCCTTCTTTGGATAATGGTGGAAATTTCCATCATAACATTTAATGCACAAAAATTATATAAAAGAACAAGATCACTTTAAGTTGATCATGTCTGGATACCTTTTTAATGTCCATCGCAGAAAAAAAATATAGCTGTCATAGGTATTTTGTTTTTCCATTTTTCCTTTATTTTTGAACATGAATTATATCACCTTGATTTATTTCACCAATAAAAAAAATCATGCAAAGAAGGGTTAAGAAAGTTTTCTATTTTTACAAGGCGAAATCATAGTCGTTAGATACTTAAAAAATTAAGAATTTACCCACGCTAGCATATATTACAGAATAGAAATTTTGTTAATCAAAATTCAATAGTATTAAAAAATCTCCCATACTAATTTACCATGAATAAAATTTTTATGACGTTTTTGCCATGTTTCTTTGGGGTAAATGATCAGCTTCACTGATAAAAATCTCTTGTTAAAGGATATTAGTTATTTTACCCCGTGTATCAAGATTATTCCGATATTGGTAATAGCGGATTTACACATTTTACCGTCCCTACCGACCTCTACAATTCGGTACTTACCTTAGTTCGCAATCATATTAATTGCAATTTTTGTGTAAATGAAATAGTAACTTTATAATAATATATTATAATAATTTATAATAATCATTATTATTGACATGTAATTACCATTATATTGATTACAATAGACTGTAATTAATTTATAATATTATTTTTATTTTATATTTCAAACGTTGTTATTATCATTGTGATTATTTATTTTATTAATTTAAAAATTACAATATAATGTTAATATCTACAATATTGACTTGCCATTGTGTAATGAAAATTGTTACATTGGTTAAAAAAGAAATATGAATAGGAATAATAAAATAAAAATTGGCTCCAAACTTGACTCCCCTAAAATCACGGTAGATTAGTAGGGGAGGTAGCGTAGTAGGTTAGACCTAGGTTCCAGTCTACTCAGCTTGCTGGTAAATCCGTCGCTAGAAATTGGGCTGATAGCCACTGATTATAAAATATAATTGAAATCCATTTGGCCATTATACCGTGACCGGTAACAGACGAAGTTTCTGGACACAAGTCTATAGCACAACTTATTAGGAAAGACAATATTTTGTGAAACAAAAAAGACAGCCTCTTGACAGACATTTGGCAAAGTGTACTCTACGTTTGATTAAATTTGTCGTCACACCTCAAATAATTTACTTTTCAAAAAGCCTGCATTGATTAATGTTTAATATTTTATGTAAAATTTTGTTAAAGAATCGATGAAATATTAATAAGTATTTAACTTATTTATATTCAAGATCAGCTTTATATCCGCTACTTCGTACACATGGATTCTAAAAGTAGGAAAATCAATGAAAGAGACCACATGTAAATGGCATTTGAAGATGAAATATAAACTAGTTTTTAAGTTAGATCTTTAGGCTACTTTTGTCAATCACTAAATATTACTAAAAACTAATATATTATAAAGTAAAATGGTAGCCAGATGAGAAACAGCTGTCTAGTAAATATAATGGCATGGCATATTTTGTTTGCGTCGACACGCTCTCGTGGGCACTGGCTGAATTAACAAAGTATAACGAGCCAGGTTTTGTTTTATTATTTAACGCTACGATAAACTACTTATAGTGTATATGTATACCTGTTATTACATGGAGTAATCAAAACATTTAATGTCAGGTTAACTGTAATTTATTATTGGCCTACATTAGTTTGAGTGATCGAAACAGAAGCTACTTTGCCCTATTTAGGGTGTTAAAATAGCTACATAACTTACTTGGGAATATTACTTTTATTACAGTAACAAAATCCTTTTATGGATTATATAATACTGTAAATTACATCTACTAAAATAAATGTAAAAGGTAAAATGGATGTATGGATGTTCGTTACTACTACTTCACACAATAATTAGTGAAAGCATTTGAATAAAATTTGGTACATAGAGAGGTTAAATACTAACCATCCATATTAGATACTTTGTATACTAATTCACGAGGCCGAAGAGGCGGATAAAAACCAATTTAAAATAAAATGTAAAAAATACGAAGAAATAAAAAAGAGTTTATTTTTTTAAATCTATATTATCATTAAAACCATAGTTGTGATTTAATCACCGTGATTACTAATCAAAAGTTCACAAGACCAAAATATTTAAAAAAATGTTTCCATAATTGACTGTTCCAAAAATTCATGTATTATCTGTAATAAAAAATAAAAATGCTCAAATTTTAATTTATTATATTATCATTTAAAATTTTAACTTATTATTAATATATAGACACAACTAGTAGTTAGGTATCTACGATTTAGCATCAAATAATGTGGCATTAATACAAATAAATGTTTTTTTTATACAGTATTTTAATTAATGTAATCAATTTTTTAAAATAATGTTTTTCATTAATTAATAAGATATCAAACAATATATTTTTTCCTATAAAAAACTTCGAAAAAAAAAAAAAAAAACTTCTTGTGTGTCAACGTCACTACTAAAAAGGTATGTGTACATATAACACAATACTTGTATATATATATATATATATATATATATATATATATATATATATATATATATATATATATATATATATATATATATATATATATATACAAATAACCCTACATGGAATCTGATATGAATACATATAGCTACGTGTTTGATTTTATTCTAAAAAATTTTAATTTTATTTTTTTAGATTTTTTAAAATAAAGGTAATATTGTCAAATATAAGCTTTTTTTTGGTCTTATATTTTCTCTACTAGAGAAAAAAAATTAAAGAATTTAGGTATTTTGAGACTATTATATGAATACAAACCTAACACTAGTTTTAATGGAATATATTACGTTAATTAGGTAACATACTGTATATGTAGGTACATTATATTTGTATTAGTTTAAACCAAAATTATAATATAAGTTAATGAGTACTGTATATTTTTTTATATAGAATCCAAATAAAATAAAATATTGAAGGTTAAAAATAATTAAGTAAATGTTTATAAGAATTACCAATTAAATATTTAATGAAAAACAGTTGAGGCCTTTATATTATTAAAGAACTTTTTGATAGCCCTATTATTTTGTATAGCAACCACCGGAACGCTAACAAGGTAAATAGTAATAGGACTAAGCACATAGACATTAAATTTCATTTTATTAGAGAAGTTATTAATTAAACCTTGTGTATTTGTTGTTCACTCTGACTAAGTATTCATATTTCATGGAATGATAAACTGTGTGTGTTTGTGCTTATGGTATTTTTTTTTTATGTTTGAAACAAAGTTTGGTTTGAGGGGTATCAAGTATAGTTTATTGTGAACTTTATATAGCCTTCTTTATATACGAAGACTTGTCGAGCGATTTGATATTAATTTATATCTTTCCTGTGTAGGTATAACACGCGACATCTTTTCTAATTATTTTAAATCGATTTTGACAATTAATCTTTACAATGGTTAGGGGTTAAAAACAATTTAGAAGTTTATAATAAAAGTAGCCATGTATATTTTTAAAATGTTTATGGACAATTTATAAAAAAAAAATGAAAATTATAAATAGGTTTGATTGTATTTACAGGTAACCCGAAATTTTTAGTAATCTTTGAAGGAAGTGCTCTATCTACTATTCTACTTTCACCAAAGTAATATGGTGAAAAAAGTCAAAATTTTGAGCCTCTTTTTATCCGACTTCAAATAAGGAGGAGATTATATGTTTCACTGTATATTTTTTTTTATGTATGTCCACTGATTTCCTCGTCAATTGTGGGTCGATTTCAAATTATGTTTTTCTGAAATCAAGCAGGCGAAGCCACGGCTGGATATATTATTCTTGCTAATATTATAAATGCGAACCTGGGTTTGTTAATTTGTTCGCCTGAATTTTAATGGTTCGATCAATAATCATGGAACTTGATACCTCTATATCGGTAAGATTTGAGATTGAGAAGGGCATACACAACCTTCTTCTCTTTTCATTTAAGAGTTTCCTCTTGTCGGTGCAACTAATTCATGCATCTTCCTCCAGCCAGCTCTATCCCAGACCATATCCTTTATCTCCCTATACGACATGACACCTAGTGTTTCCTTTATCTGTACCATGTAGTTATTCCTCGGTCTTCCTCTTCATTGGACTGGAGGACACTGACATGGAGGAGAATGGAAAGGATAAGCTGGACAGAAAAACTAACGAACGAGGAAGTCCTAAAAAGAGTGCACGAGAAGAGAACGTTGGTTGAAATAATAAAGATTAGAAGAGGAAAAATGCTGGGCCACCTTATACATAATCTATGTTATTTATAATACCGATTAATAAATATCCCCGTTACGCGGACAAAGTCACGGATATAAACTAGTAGTTACCTATTATAATTTAGACAAAGGACAAAGGTCAACCTGAAGAGACCTTGAAAAGCTAATTGTTTCATCGATCACTATTGAAGCTCAGTGACATTGCAACATAATAATGGTAGGTCTCTATACATTCATTTGTGGGTGCTTGGACAATTACTTTTGTTGCGATTAACACAGGAAATCGATTGATGACCGATTGTTGTTTTGATTACGGCAAATAAAAGGCAAATAAATAAGGGTCTCAGGAACTAACATTTGTTGCTATTTTGCACCTGGCAATTTTAAATATAAATATTCCTTTTTGATTTTGTACATGGCAACACAAACAAAAGAGACTGTTCGTAACCGCATCTCTTTCTAAACAGTTTACTCGCTCTTAATGAATTAATTATTCTCTCTACACCATAACGTTCTTTTTTTAATTTGGCTTCGACCAACAGCTGTCCACTAGCTATCCCTGTAAGAATGGGTCTCTATAGAAATTCAATGCCTATAATTTATTGAAAGAGAAAACAGTAGTTAACGTGTGATTAGATATGTCTGAGCCACAACTATACTAAGTTAACTATATATTTTTTATAATACATAGAATGGCAATCAAGTTGACTGTCCATCTGATAGAAAGTGGTAACTGTCGCCTATAGGCATGAACAGAAGTCACAGAAAACATTGTGATGCCCATAGTGCCCATTATGCGAAATTATTAGGAAAGACTATGTTGTTATGGCTTTGCACTCTGTAATTTCATTGCCATATACCACCTTTTAAACCAAAACATAGCCATGTATGCACAGTATATATTTTGTTTATAGTTAACATCTGAGATACTGCAATAATCTTTTTTTTTACAACACAGGGGGCAAACGAGCATGCGGCTCACCTGATGGTAAGTGACTACCGCCGCCCATGGTCACCCACAACACCTACGGAATTGCAGGTGTGCTGCCGGCCTTTTAAAAAGGAATATATATCTATTTCAGAATTTACTTCATTACATACTACCGTGTACGGCAATGAATGAACACTTTTTTTTTATAGATGAATATAGAATTGTAACCCCGTCTGCGCTATTGGTACATGCTGGCGGGGTATCAGTGAAAGATAATAGGTGAGGATGATAAGGCAGGTCAGTTAGTCCATCGTGATGAATTCCATGTTTCCAGGGACCACGTGGAGGTTAATCTGGCAGGATATATTGCTAGCAATAAGCTATAAAATATTGCTAGCAATAAGCTAGCTATAAAATCTTATTATTAACAAAGCCAGTTTCGCGCCAAATAAACATTTTAGCGTAAAATAAACATTTTTCACTTCAGAATGGCTACAATTATTTGGATAATTCTTATTTTGTTGTATAAGTAATTGTCGGGACAAAGTGTGTAAAAAAGAAAAAGTTTGAAAATTTTTACAAAAAAACTACACCCGTGAAAAGCCAGGGCAGGCAGCAAGTTTATTATATAATTTCCATTTTGAAGCCTACCTTGTCAGATTTCCTGAATTTAGAGCAATACACGAAAATAATAGAATATAATTTTCATATTACATATTTTTTAAACCTAAGATTTATTTAAATAACTTTATTGATCAAATAAAAATATAATACAAAAGTCGGACTTAATGTTGGTAGCGTTCTCTACTAGTCAACCTTCGGGCTGCCAATCATAATTAATAATGTATTTAAATAAGAAATATTTTTTAGAAACCAGGTCTAAATAATTGTTTTTAAATTTTTTGACTGAATGAGAAACGAACCCGGGACTTTATTAGACACAAAGTGATATTGATTTAGCGCTGCGCTATGCACGTTACAAGTACAGGTGTCTTATTTGATCGGCATCTAAATAGAAATATTTTTAAGCGTCTATTGTACGTGAGACAATTAACAAAAGTATCATGTAAGAAAATCAGAAATACGTACCGGTCACAGCTAAATTAGACTTATTATGATTTCAAAATACGCTCCAGATCCAGTGCACGCGTGTCGTACTGATACTAAATAACAATCTAATAACAACGGAGACGCGGGTCGACGTAAAACTCCTTGAGGAAACCACGACCGTGAATTTATTGCAAAATAATGAAAATGATGCAGCTCGAGTATGCACCGGTGAACTGCCCATTAGTCAGAGCACACTAGGCTACAATTCCATCGTCGAAATCGGCTACCGCCACGCGCACCACCACGGCCATACGCACCTCTCTCCCGCGCCCACTGCTCCTTCTTCTGTTGGACCAGTGATGCCGGCTTGCCCACCGACAGCATCGCACTACACAATATACATTACACTTTCTAATGTCCCGTATTGCACACACGTTGCGTTTCTGCCGACCGCAGCGTAGTTACGGTGCACCGACTAATGAGTGCTCTGAAGTGCTTTTCAAAAACGGACGCTCGCGCATCAGCGGACGCGCGTCGCGGTTCGTTTCGCGCGTGTAGTCATTGTCCACGGCTGCTGGACCCACCCCACCTACACCGCCTGATGCGATCCCACGGAATACAATCGCTTTTAAAGTTAACGGTAATATGTTTAAGGCAAGTGCAAATAAATGTTACATTAGTTACGACGCATTTTTCGGTCGTTCATAAACAGACCGCTTATCTAGATCTCCAGACCAATACTGTTTCAGCCCTCATTGTTTCAGTGTGCGTCACGCGAATGAGAGTTTCAGACGAAAGCCTCGGAAAAGCCGTCGGTCGATATGGTAGTCATGGTAACGTTTGTTTCACGTGCTCGCAAGGAGCCGTGGCATTTTTCTTCTATTTGCATTTTAGGCCACGGCGCGACGTGGAAATTGAAGGAAAGATTAATTATAGCACTTAGGCGGCGTTTTGTGTTATTATGAACAAGCTGGGTTATTGTTAAAGAACGCTGATAGAAACAAAGGCGAATAGCATTCGACTAGTTAGGTATATACGTATTTATTATAGACTCTTGAGGGACGTTAGTGAAAGTTAGTAATAAAATTCTCTGAATGTATTTAGTATTCTTAGAACGCAGAATTGATGAGCGAGGTAGGTACCTGAGAGAGTAAATTTTATGTAAGCTAAGAACATTCTACGAATTACAAAGATGTTAAATAATATACCTTCGATTCTACATGCTGAGAGTAGTCAATTTCTATCATATCTAAGTAAGTATATTAAACGGTTCCTTGTTTGATTCTCGGCCAGACTAATATAGGAAACATATTTTTCTAAATTGGTTTGGGTCTGGGTGAATCCAAATGATTGTTGCTTGGTTTCTCACGACAGACGGTTTTCTAGTTTGAATATCAGGTGGATATAGTAATTGTACTGTTTATTATTATTATAATCTTTCCTATATAGGTAGAGATCTATACAGAGGTAAAAGTAACGCTCCATTTTATCAATACTTTTACGCTAGGACTCTTGCGAATAAAGTAGATAGATACAAGTACATTTTATGATTTAAATATTTTAATATGTTTACAAGTATTATATATGTACCCAGTTGAGTTCCGAAGACTCAATTAAAAAAAAAAGATATTTATAATTACTTGTTAAACTTTTATTAATTAATTACCTAAAATATTAGAAGCTACGGTCAATTTTAGATTGTTATAAGGAATTTATGTTTACAAGTACCCCTATTAGAAGCGCGAGTTTTTGTAAAAAAATCTGTATGAGCACTTCTGTTAACATTATACTTGTGTTACTGCCGCTACAAATAAAATAACAGGTACTATATTTATGCAAGCATGGCAGTTTCGGTTTGAAGGTATAAAGCATGAAAAATATAATAGTTATAGGAATGGTAATGAGGTACTTCTCACCGCGGGCCTCGCACTGTCTAGCCCATTAGGCTGTCAGTGCAGTTCTTATTTTCATCCTAATCTATTATTACTCACTGAAGCTCCGCCAGCGTGTGTTTAAGTGCAGAAGAGAGGAGTACCGTTCCATTTTTACCAATTAAAAAAAAAATGGAGTGATACATGCAGTTTAGTCACAGATTATAAGTATTTACTAATATTATCATCATCTATATAAATGGTAGATTTTTTATATACGTTGGCGGGATAGTGGTGAAGGGTGATAAATGAGAATGGAAACAGGCCAGCTTATCATGATTTCGTTAGGAATTAACCATGACAATTTCCAGGCCCGCATGGAGGTCGACCTGGTTGGGTATATTGCTAACAATGGGATTCGATTACTAACGATTCCTTTCCTTCCCATGGTAGACGTTAGGTGGTAATATGACCGCAAGCAATGAGCTTAAGAACGCGTTAGTGCTATATCTTGAGAGGTTAATGTCAAGTGCGGTAAGTCCAGTCTAGCAGTTGATTGATGATGATAGTTCAATGACCCGTTTTTATAGTTCCGCATGAAAAATAATAAAACCCATTTTTTCTTTGTCGCAAATTATTTTCGGCTTCTTTGAAAGTTATGAGATACATTCATTCTAGTAAAAAATATTAATAGACAAGCTAAAGCATATCATAGATGAAGAAATTAAATGTATCGAATCTTTTGTAGTGATCGTATTTGAAAATAAAAATGTGAAAGCGTACGTGAAAACGGTGATTATTCGCGAATATTACTTAATGGGTATGTATAGAATTTATTCAATTGTGCAATTACCATAGACAGATTTTCTAGTGGCTACTATGGAAGTTATATATATATATATATATACTAGTACATACCCACGAATTTGTCCAGGAATAAAAAAATTGTCTATTTTCCATTTTAAGTGTATCGTATCAAGTTTCATGACTAGTTGAGTTGCTAAGGTACTAAGAGGCAATTAATTTTTCTTTACCTATACCATCTTATACTTAATACTTGTTATAAATTGTGAAAGCGTGTTTCGTTTGTTACTACTTGCATAAATCATCGTACCCCGTATTTAGAATGGAGGACATAGGCCACTTTTTATCCCGGTTAATTAATGTCTCGGTCACGTAGACGAAGTTTCCGGTAATGCTATGCTACACTATTATTTGTGGTAATAAAATCGTGAGGATCGAAACGCCTGTAATTTATTTTCACAAAAATTAGCTGGAGAGTAGAAAATGTTGCTGATCGTTTATTTGAGCGGTACAAAAAACAGAGTTTTTTTTTAATGAAATTTATTCCTTACAATTATGACATTTACTGGTATCTTAATAGCTACATTAAAATGCATATCTGGTTCTTATGTCTTCAAGTTTCTTTGACACTTCAGCAGGTGTACGCTCCAAGTCTCCTGCAATAGCTTTCTGTTTTTCTGGATCCAGCGAATTGAACTGTTCGCAGAGATCTCCATCTATTACATTCTAAAAATAAAAAGAAATGTGATAAGTGCTGTGAAAGATTACAAGGAAACTATATACTAGCATTATCATAAAAAATAAAGGTATATATTATAAAGAGTTTTTAGGAGATGAAAATCTATTTACATAGATAGATTAGATCCAGTTAAAAAACATGCAACATATTTGATCGTACAACTCATTTATAGAGTATGAACGCCACTCACGAGAACGTAGTCGTTAAAGTGCTATCATTGGGGGGAAAGGAATTGTTAGTAATGGAGACTGTGAACCCCATTACTAGCAATATACCCAACCAGGTCGATCTCCTCGCAGTTCCCCCTGGAAACTATCATGGTTAATTCCTGATGAATTTTCATTATGATGGGCTAAACTGGCCTGTTTTCATTCTCATCTATCACCCTTCACTGGTGCTCCGCCAGCGTATCAGGTTAGCGCAGGCGGGGCGGCTACCATACCATTTTCACCCATAAAAAAAAGTGCTATCATTGTACGTTCCAAATACTACAGGAGCGTTATACGACGCGCCCGACTCTCAGGGACGAATCCGGCGGCAGCGGCGCGTGGCCTGCCAGTACGGAAAGCTCGCGCGTCGCCGCTAACCGGTCCTGCTCTCTCAACAGTGTAACACAGCCAACAATATATTATCGATAGCTGTTGACTTACTGTTGATGCCTATATTTCTAAATATTGTACTTAATTACTTTATACATTTCAAGTAGATAAGTAGCAACTAAATACAAAATTTCAAATTGTTACAGATTTAGTAATAGGTGACAATTATAAATAACTAAAAAGATTCTGTTTACATGTTAGAACTGCATTAAGAATGCTTCAATTAATTACAGAGAATTACTATTACTACTTATCAACATGAATAATGTAAACTAGGCATAAAACCATACAGAAATACTAATATTGAATATCTCACCTTTACTGGATAATAGTAACTTCTAAATGATAAATGATCGCGACCGCATAGAGGTGGGTTTTCACTTCGCATATGCATTTCCAAGTGTTGGAAGAAGTCATGGTCTTCTCTTGATGTGAAGGGAAGTAGTACTCCAAGGGATCCACTCACAGTAGCATAGAGGAGGGCTTCCGAGCCACCAGGAATTAGTGTTGCTCTTTGTAGTGATGTCACAGTTTCACCAACATGGAAGTTTATGACTATTTCCCCTTTTTGTGACGCTCCATTTAGAAGACCTGTGGAAAATATATAATTGTAAATAAAAAAAAAAATACAAGTTACATAGCCAAGTAACAACCTGGCTGTCAGATTGGAAAGTAGAATCATTTAATAATATCATAAGTCTAGCATGTGTGAATTAAATGTTATCATCATATAGCGAAATTTTAGTTTGGTATATAGAACTTAGTAATATTTACCTCTGTCCCACAACGCCTTATTTCCTGTAGGGTCTTCATCAACATCATCTGATACAGATTGTGGCAGTCTCATTACAGCAACATTTCCAAATTTATCTGACATTGCTACTGTGTCGTAATCTAATATACAACTATTTGTGATCCACCTCGGGTTTGTGTCATCTGCGAAAATGATTAATTGGTTCTCCCGTTTTTTGTATTTTACACATAATACTGATTCTTGAACATCTGACACATATATTCTTTGGCCAAGGGTTTTGATATCTGCTATAAGGTTTGGAATATGTCTGTTCTCGCATTTTCGTAATAGTTTCCGTCTTCCAATATCATATAGTCGAAGCATACGACCCACTCCCGCTAAAAGCTTGCCGTTGAATGCGGCTACCGCACCAGGATATTCATCTATGGGAGTCTTGTGGACTAACTCTAATTTCCCAGTATTTCCATATATCTGTAATTAAACAAGCTTTGTTAATACTACAATTGTGAAAGTTTAGTTGGATGTTTGTTATTTAATTATACATGGTGGAAAAAATAAAATGACATTAAAAACAGTTATCCATCTGTTGTATATCACATCAGTGTATTCTACATTTTATTAATTTTTTACGAGACAAAGTAGCAGATTACAGCAAATATTTCATTACATTACAAATTAATATACATAAGTGCATATTTACCTTATACACATGCAAACTGCCTTCTGAACAAGATCTTGGTGAAAGAATCATATCTTTGGCAACTCCGACGACTAAGTGTGGTCGTGCGTGTTCAGCATGCGCGCTCCATCGTACAATACACATAGATACTGCTGCTTCATTTTGCTCAAGTGGTAATTGGAACAAAGTGTTGGGCTGACCGCCACCCGTTCCCATGTCCACAACTCTAATTTGTGACGCCCACATTCCTAAACAACAAAGATATTTTTAAATAGTTTTTGTAAAAAAGAAACTTTTTTTTAAATATACAAATGTAGTACATACTTTTTAAAATTTGTTTCCCAAACTTGAATCAAGTGACTCACAAAGAGATCACCTGGGATTAACGTAGGGATTTTATATAGCCACATCCGATTAGAGTCAGTATGCTTAAAAACATCTTCTGATCTTGCCCAGAGAATGTGGCTATAAGGAACATTGAGTAAAACATCAATATACATACCGGCTCCAGCTTTTGGTGATGAAAATGTGTTTTCAGGTAATACATCGGATAGAAAAGCGTCGGCCATTTCATTAGCGAGTTGTTGTTCTTCTGGGCCGCCACCAGCAGCTGCCTCACGCATTTCTTGTGCCATTTGGATTCTAATTTAAAAAAATATTGGTTAAGGTTATTTATACACTTTTAAAATATATTGTAAATAAATTTGAAATCATTATTTAATCAGAACTGCAGGTATATCAACATATTTGTTTATTAAGATACTGTGTGTTTTAAGTTATCATCACTATAATTTATGGTATTATTTTAAATGATTACAGTAAATTTTTGATATACATTACCTTCTTTGCTTTTTCATCTCTTCCGTATAAGAATTATGATCAGTTTCCAGTATAATTATGTGGTTATTTTCAGAATTTATTACAAATTTTCTAGGAGTATAATCTAATGGCAAATATGTTTGATTAAAAACAGCACCTAACTTTTCTAGTGCCAAAATTCTAAGTGTGTTAGAAGAGATTGCCACTATACCTTCCGCACATTGTTCTGTAAATTGAAAAATATAATTATTATCGTTTTCTTAGTTTTATTTCGCATCTGCATATATATTAATTAGTATGTAAAATATTTGTTTTAAGGTAGGATGATACAACCTAATAATTTTAAACATGATTAAGTAACATATACAAATATCTTTATAAACTTTCACATTAGTAGTAGGATTAAGGATCTTTGTCCACGACATGGTTTTGCCACCTTCACAGTCTAAGCGGCTCCAGTTTGACTATGGAATATGCCGAGTCCAACCTCTACCGCAAGTGGGAAGTCGGTCTGCTCTGCGACGTCGTGGGCACATCACTGCATAAGACAGCTACGCTCCACCATCGCGAGGCATCACCGGAAGGCGATACCACGCAACACGTCGGATTAACATGACGATTTTGATAGATTTTTACCTGAACTAAATCCTGCAGCATATTCTAGGCATTCATATGACAGAGGTGTCAGATGAAATCTGTTTTGATAATGGTATCCAAGCCACGTTCTCGAGGATACAGCTAATACAGCCTCATTGGCTTGGACTCGTACTTTAAACAGTTTGACTGGTCTGGATCCTAGGTATCTGGAACAAATATTACATACTTGTAATAAAATTATAAATTAGTCACTTATAATAATTCTGTTAATATTTGGTACCTCAGATCTGGTTAATTAATCGTCAATGTATTTCAGATGAAACACGGAGCGAAAAAGTTGACATCATTGGTGAATATCTATGTTCTGCCTTGCAGGGAAGTAACAGAACAAAGGGCAAAAACTATGTTACTTTATTTACTTTTAAACTAATCAAAGTGTGTGCATACCTTGTTCTTGTGTCAGCCAAGTCACCACTTACGGAATCTAAAGTGGTCCTTAGTAATACACCATTGCTCAAGCCAATATTAAGATGTAATGCTGATTTAGCTCCAGATTCAAAGGGTTGCTCAACTATGCATAAAGATTCTGCTGCAGCAGGCAATGCTTGCATCGAACGTGGCGACAAACAATCCTATAAAATAATGTTTTAGTTATATTCCAGAAACATTATTAACAATATCTACTTTTATACAAATTAATTGTATCAGATAGTTTAAGAATAACGCATTTTTTGGATGTTGTAATCATAAGATGATCAGTGGTGTCCTTTTATCATCATTGTATCAATACTAGGCATAGTAATAATTTTCTATAAAACAAGTATAATCTGATAATAGTGGCAAATTAATATTTCTTACCGATGGATCTAATGAAATTATTCTAACAGTATTATCATTCAGTCCAACTGCTAGAAACCATGCTCTCTGTTCACCAGTAGCTACTGAACCCAATGCCATACATGATACATCCGATGACAGCTTTTTTCTCTCTGTATATTCATTTAGTTGGCCAGTCTGAAATAAGCAATGAGTTTTAGTAACTGTGTCTATAATTGGTAGATAGATTTGATTTCAAAAATAATATTTTTGTCCACGACATGGTTTTGCCACCTTCACAGTCTAAGCGACTCCAGTTTGACTATGGAATATGCCGAGTCCAACCTCTACCGCAAGCGGGAAGTCGGTATGATCTGCGACGCCGTGGGCACATCACTGTATGAGACAGCTACGCTCCACCATCACGAGGCATCACCCGAAGGCGATGCCACGCAACACGTCGGTTTTAAAGGAATTTATTTATAAATATTTACTTACAGGATCCATTTCAAAATAGACAAGTTCGCCACCAGTCAAAGCTATCACAACCTGTCTCTGATTGACAGCACATTTGACAATTGACTTTTTCCCTGGCGCTTTCCATTCATTGACGCGTTTATCAGCACGAATGTGTCTTATGCCATCAGGGTAAACCTGAACAAGAGCGTCATTGCCCAAAGCGTGGCAACTGAGCGTCGGCGTTGTACCCAAAAAACCAGAATCTGTTACTTCTTCAACTGTCTCGCCGATAGAGAGCACGAGTGTAGCGTTTACGAATGACACAATGATGTAAGAATCATATTCCTCTGTAACCAACAGAAAAGATTCAAGATAATACAAAACCGATTAGCTATTAAAAAAAAATATTTCCTTTCATAACAGCGGCTCCAGTGAAGTTAAATTTGAGTCCGTTGCCTACCTGTGCGATTGTAGAAACCATCTCAATTTGTTCATCGCCGGATAGTAGATTCTGAAAAGAAAAACCACTGGTGTTTATGTATGACAAACAACCAGGGTTTATTAGTAACTATTTCATATTTGATAAAGAGGGGCCTTCATAGGTGGTTATTGTGACGTCACGGTTTATCAGTAACACGGACCAGAATTATAATCATTAAGCCCCAATCATTACATATGTCAGTGATGAGCCATTATCCTACTATAAATTATTCTTATAACTTCACATTTGATGGATTTAAATTTTATCTTTCTACTTTATATATATCATATCTCCCTATATAAATAAATTTTATATTAGCAAAGGACTTACCATCCTTATGGCGTCTGACAGTCCATACGGCATTAGGTGAGCCTGGTAATTCTGAGACAGCCATTTCTGCCACTTCTAAACCATGTCTTAGGGCTCTTATAGAAGATCGTGGGCCGCGTCCACAAGCTAAGTAAACCTGAGGTGTATCTTCACCTGCTAAATCAGCCACATGACAAGCTGTAACAAAAGTTAAAATGTTCAATTTACAAAATAAAGTATGAGATGAATTATTTCAAAGTTATGCAAATACATTATAATAAAATAGGAAAAACGTGTTTACCTAATACAGGAGACAGTGAATCCAATTCATCAACCAATACTAAATTCCTGAGAGGTCTTGGTGCAAAGAAGAAAGTATCACCTTCTTCTAAAGGCATTGCTGAACTGAATTCTGGTTCATCATCTTCATCTCCCAAATGAGCAATTTGATATAAAAAGCTGGAAAATAAAGTTTATGAGAGTTTACATTTTTTATCCAACTATACTAGTTTCTGCATATAACATTTTACTATATTCACTGGAAATCAATTGTGCATCTCATATCAGTGTGCACTCACCCCATAATAAAGGGAGGACCTTGGTTCAGAGATTGCTTCTATAGCATGTGTAAAATAAATGTCAGCTTGGAATAATCCATGCTCACAGGCTTACATGCATAAAGGATTTTAGTTACAAATATTTACTTACTGGTTGCCAAATTCAGAGGCCACAAACAAAAAACCTGTTTTTAGGACACACATAGAAGAGGCTACAGGTACTGTGTCAAAATATTTCAACTTTATCTCAGTTACCATGTCTTCATCAGTTTCTATAGTTATTTTAAATATGTCTCCTTGTTCAGTTTGTGCCAAAAAGAAAAACATAGATTTTGTTTTGTGAGTAGCGGAGCAAACAAATATCATGCCTCTTTCAGGATCATCTAAATCATTACGCCGCCGCGGTATCGGACATCTGATATCATGCTGGTCACCCAAGTTTTTGTATGTGAGATAATTTTCAGAGCAGATCAATACTCCAGATGGACCATCATTGCCGCCTGGGACAGTTATAAGGAAGTTTGCGTGTTCTTCTAGTGGTTCAGAATATTTCCTTACTACATGATTAAGTCCCAAGTCCAATTCATAAAAAGTCAGAGTCTGTTGGGTTTTTTGAGCTGCTTCACCTGTGGGTAAATATTTTTATGAAATCTACTGAAAATACAGACAATTATGATGAAGTGGTAGGTAAAAAATCATACAAAGAGGATTTGACGTCACTGTCAATCGGAAACACGGACCTCAAAATAATCATTAGTTTTGAAGGAAAAATATCCAAAATTGTATATGTAAAGGGAATTATTTAATAACTATAATACAAAACATTACAAAAAATACTATAAAATACATCACAAAATGTAAAAAAAAAAAAGATTTTCTTTGAAAATGAATAAAATAATTATAATAATGATTATTAAATTTACCAGTAGGATCACTGTCAGCATCTTCATAATCAATTTCCAGACAAGCAAACATTGGGTTCTCAAAGCCCACATCAACACCCACCATGTGGTACACCAATGTGTTGGATTTATGTGCTTCTAGTGGAGATGAAATTGTCAATCTAGCCTCAGCATCTCTGTTCAATATATATACTAGTTTCTGTTTTTCAATGGCACCTAAAATAATTTGGTAATTACAACAACATCATACATGATATGTAAGATAGACAATAGTTTATGTAGGAGTCATTCACTAACTGATATAGGAATCAGGCTTTTGGCACTATATCTCCGTTTAAACTATAAGTGACTTACTGTAAAAATATTAAAGAAATACATTGTTTGAGATATTAATGTACTTTAAATTTTTTTTATACAACATGGAATGGGAAACAAGATGACAAGACCACCAGATGGAAATTTGTAAATATGGCCTTAGGGATTATTAGTAATGGAGTCTAATATTAAAGTCCATTGCTAACAATATTTCCTATCAGGTTGATCTCTGTAGGGTTATCCATGGAAACCATTAGGGTTAATTATTGTTGAATTAGTCATGATGGGATACTTATTTGCCTCATCCTCATCTATGATACCTTACTGGTGGCCTGCCAGAGTTTATTGACAGTACCAGCAGGGTCAATATTTAATGTAACCCATTAAAAAAGGTGTGTCATTTCTGCGGACTAAGATATTAATGCCACACTTTTAACTGAAATGTAGCTATGGCTATAATCTAATTTTATCTTTTTTTTATCAAGTAAACTAATAGTTTTACCAATCATAACAGCTCTGCCTTTCGGATCAATAGCCAAGTACTGTCCAGGTACAATTCTTCTGCATCCCGATTTACCAAAGGTCTCTTGATGAACCTTTTCTAAAATATTTTTGGCAGGTATGTATTCTAATATAACAATACGTCCCGAGTCGGAGCCAACCACAATGTAATCTGTAACAAAAGTATAATAAGAAATTGATGTTTTCTTTTTTATGGATGATAATGGAACGTAAGCCTTGCCTGCGCTAATGGTATACACTGTGTGGGGGGGCACCAGTGAGGGATGATAGGGGAGACTGGAAAGGTCAGTTAGTCCATCATGATGAATACACCTGGAATTCAAGACAGTTTCCAGGGAGGACTATGTGGAGGTTGACTTGACCGAGTACATTGCTACTAATGGGACTGGTGGTCTGCATTATTTAAAAACCCTCCCCCTAAAGAATTGATGTTTAAAATTAAGCATTTTCATTATAATTTAGACATGGCATCTTATGCAGTAGTACAGCCTAAAAAATGGCTAAAATTTATGAGGCCATTTATAACCTATGATTAGTTTGGATTTAATTTATTAATAACTTTTAAACCAGGTATGTATTAGGAAAAACTAATTTATTATTTGAATTTGTAGCTAGAATTTGACCTAATATAAACGAACATGATTGTGCCAATTCATGATACAACTAAGCAATCATAGAGATTACTAAGAGCGACACGCTGGCTTATTATCTTTGCATCTAGTTATACCACGCAACCAGTATATGTGGATGCATGGAGCAAGACGATGCAAATAAATATTAGTTGGAAATGAGGCATTTAATTATGATACAATCGTACTGTAAAGTCACGTGAAGATTGATCTCATTACTAAAATTTGGGTCACCTTTAGGTTAGGTTAGGTTAATAATATATAAAGAGACGCCGGCCGGCTATAAAATAAGTGTCCAATAAAACCACGTGGTTGATTAAAATTTGGAATTTTATTTACCTTTTGTGCCACCAGTGAGACGGAACGACATCATAGAGCGTACTACGCCGAATATTTCCACTTTCATCAAAGTATGAACTTTTCCTGTATTAGGATCTGGACGTAGAAGCTCCAATATCTTGCCACGAGAAATCACTATTTCTTGCTGTTTAGTGCCAGAAAAGTTCCCATGCACGGCGTGGGTAATGGCTGTTGAGCCTTGTAAAGTTAAATTATATAGATACATTTTGCCGCTTTAACCAACTCCTGTAACAAAGTTATTAAGGTTATTAATTTGAACAAGTTAAGATATTTTCGAGTCCATTGTTTGAAATCAATTGTAATGCCTGTAACTGACGAAAACAGAGATAATCTAGTGTTTTCGAATGGGTAGGCTTGTTATTTTAGCACTGATATTACGACCACGAACGATATTATATTATTCGTGGAGATACCTCTAGTGCAAATAATAATATAAAACAATATTAAAAACAAAATGAGTTATTATTTTAATCTCACCTTCTGAAAAAAGTAGTAGATTGCCGCAATGCGGCCTGATTTTATTTTCAATTACAGACGTAAAATTTTGTGAGTGAGAATAAGGCAAAATGGCGGAAGAAACGAATGCCATTTCAAGAACACAAAATGTATCCGCACCGCTGACCAATCAAAAAGGAGTATTTGTAGACATGGCGTCGACTTTTATAAGTTTAGTGTTGCCATTTATTAATTTTTTAAATATAGATAAATACTATAATTGCCTGTAGTTAGCGCCATCTTTTATTCAGTAGCTGTTTGTTATTTACTTGAGGAGACATCGCTTAAAGAGAGTTTTATGAATAAGATTTAACTATTTATCAATAGATGGCAATAAAGGTTGTTTTCGATTTATAATAAATTGCCAACCTCACCTTCACTATCGGTATATGCTGGCAGGATTTCAGTGAGGGTATAGGTGAGGGTGAAATTTAGTCAGTTGGCTTTTCATCACGAATTAATTAGGATATTTTTAAAATTCACAAAATCAATAATTAATTAGTTCACAAAACTACTATTGACATTGGCATTGTACCTACATAAGGCACCTAGTAAATGATTGAATGTTAGATTTCGTGAAACCATGCTCCTCTCTGTAAGAATATGTGGAAGTGGCAGTGACAACGGTGTTTTAGGAAATTGAAATGGTTATGTACTTTAGGTATAGGCCAACTTGTAAATCACGACCACTGAAGTATTTTCGAGTAGAAATAATTAGTTTATATATATTTTTCACCAACGAAATAGTTAATCTATTCTTACGAGTAACGTTATTCTTGTTGTCGTTTGAATATTTTTTCTATATTATCCCTATATTTGCTATATAAAAAAAAATAGTTTTTATTTTGGTTTTTGTGTTGTATTTGTCAAGAAGTTTGCATTCATAGTAATTTCCAAAACCGCTCAATTAATTTCAATTTAATTTTATGTCTATTGTTTGCTCCCATTTAATCAATAAAAATTGTTACAATATCTATTTTTGTTTTATTCCGATAAGAAAAAATGGAACCGATAGGTGGCGGTAGCGGACGAAATAACTTTTGATGGTTCAGATAGACAATAATGCGTTTCAGAAATAGGCGACGAAACAAACGGACTGGGTGAAACTCTTAGATTATACAGATCTCTATCTAAATACTCTTGTCTCCATGCAAATGCTTTGAGAAAAGCGGGTCAACTTTTTTATACGATTTTGCGTGATAAAAAGTTCCGAATGTTTTCCTTATAACTTCTATATTTATTTTGTTTTATAATTTTTGCATGTTTTTAATGCGTAAAAATATTTTTTTTATTAAATAATTAAATATAGATTCGTCAAGATACATTAAGTGCGTAAGTAGATAGACCATTGATAAAAAAAAACGAGTCAGGTAATGTGATAATAAGTTGACCCGTTTTTGAGAATTAATGCTCTGTCTATATAATCTAAGATAAAACTATTTTTTATAATAATATCTATGTACATAGGTAGTACAGTAGAATCTAGATTATTCGAATAAAATAAAACCAGAGGTATATCATATAATTGAAAATACACATAATCGATTTCAAAGTCAAGTCAAACAATAATTAAATTTAAATATATATATTTTTTTACTATGTAAAGGGCTTTACATACGTCATTTAGAAAATGCGATATAAAAAATTACGAGTTATAAAGATAATAGATTACATAATACCTATTTATCCAATATATAATACATATATATAATAATATAATACATACTATTTCTAAATCGGTAATTAGAGACGTGAAGAATAAGTCCAAATAAACGAATATTCGAGTAATGGATGTTCGGATAATTGAGATTCTATTTTCACGTTTAATTACGGTGTGTTATTTGACGTAAATTTTTGACGGTACAGGCAAAGTCGCAGAATATTTACTAAGAAATATAATTACAGGATGAAAATAGGTCTTACCGGGTCGAGCTAAATAAATCTTTAACAGCTACTTGATATGATTGTAGAGACAGAAGTTTAAATTTAGAAATCGTCAACAAAGAAGTACTTTGTCATTATGTTCGTCATATTGAATAAATGGGAACACCTGAAGATTGTTCTGTGGGATTTAAAATTCCGATACGTATTTGTGTACAATTGGTGGAGGCCTGCTCCATTGTGGCGCGTCTCGCGTCTTTTAATTCTATTTTGTGAGTGCGCCGGCGGCCAACGGCTCACAGACTCACAGGCTCACATCACAATGTATCCGCCATCCATTTTGGTAAGTCGGTAACGATCGGCGCACCTGAGTATTCGGAGTCATTTCGGTATTTTGCTTCGTGCGGCGATCTCTTGATCTTTGCATAATGAAAAATATTTTAGAGCCATTGACGTCAGATAGGTATTTAAGCTGACATAATAGTCTATTTCGAATTTGTTTTCTGTGAATAGAAGTTTCATAATTCTTAAATGGAAAAAGGAAAACTATCAAATTAATATTTTCTTATTGAAGTTTATTACTTAATGAGTGATGTGATCTAAGAAACGAATATTTTTCATATCAATGATTTTATAATTATGTAAATAATAATATAATATAATTTATTTAATTTAATAAAATAAATTACTACATAATTATAGATATGTAGTAATTTATCATGTACTTATTATACTTATTACGTACTTATTATATATTTATTTAATTTGTCGTATTGAGATTAGAGAAATTGTAAAAGTATTCATTCATTTCAGATTTGGACACCTACAAAATTTAAATCAATAAATTTGCATAAAAATTGTCTAGAATATTATATTACACAGCGCAATATTAAAAAGAGTTTGAACAGAATTAAATATTACAAAAGTAATATATGAGTACTCGCACAAGGCTATTTTAATATTTTTTATATATGGGTACTTATCAAACATAGTAGATTTTATAGTAACATATATAGTAGAAAAAACCTTGCCCAATACAAACGGAGATAAAATATTTGAAATTTATTATGATATTAAATATATAATATAAAATAAATTTTGTAGTATATAGAACCGTTCCTTTTTCGTAGATGTCGTAAGAGGCAACTAAGGGAATATAATGGCCGAGGGATGGGCAACAGCGTTCCTTTTAAAACGCCACTAAAGCCTAACTGTGGTTGCCAAGCAAAACTAGGCTGTTTTGCTTTGCAACCACAAGACGTCAAGTGTGGCAACTATTGGCAAAACCCCCAAGGGGAAGGCCTGTGTTTAGGAGTGAGCAGTTAACGGCTGTTGCGATAATGATGATTATGGAAGATTAAAATTAGAAGAAGAAAAAGATGGAACTCTCAACCGCTGGAAGGCGAGGCAGCGCGTTAAACCGTCACACTATCAAGTCGGTACCAAAAGGGCTACCATGAAATGAAACTTTGAATTCGGACTTTATTTCGTATTTTTGTTCATACCGAAATCCGCTCAGTAAATGCAGCTGAACCCTTTGTTTCTGAAGGCAGTAGATATGCTTACTTTATGAACTAATAAAATATCAAATATAATTGTATCAACGTTTATGTCAACTAGCTTTATTATACTTTTTATACAGAAGAATCTTGTTGTCAATTAACCGAGGTCTGTGAACAGTCGCGGAGGCGAGAGCAGGCGCAGGTCACGATCTGCGCGGGTGGAGACGCGCACGTGTGCTCGCCTGTTTTGTATGATTTAATGGAGTAAACCTTATATTTTATGCCGTAAAGATCAAAATTGAAAACGATTTCTGTTTATGGAACTAAAGAATGTAATGTTATTGGCATCCTGCTAGTCGCAGAAAACAAGACAAAAACAATAATTGCCAACAAAAACGTAGTGGTTACTATTATTTATATGTAAGTACAATGGTTTAAAAGGTATCTGTATATTAGGACTTCAAGAAAAAGGAAAATATTTTTTTAAATTTAGAACTTACTTAGAATAGTAGGAACTTATTGATTGTTTTACTATGACAAACTTTGCTTAGTTTAATTAGTAAAATTGGAGTGTCTGTTTGTAATATTGAAATAACCGTTTTTTACTACATGTATATGAATATATACTCGTGTACGGCACATACACCAAAATAACATTTTTTACAATTTTTGTTTGTCTGTCTGTCTGTTTGTTCCGGCTAATCTCTGAAATGGCTAGACCGATTTTGACGGGACTTTTATTGACAGGTAGCTGATGTAATAAGGAGTCACTAAGCTACGTTTATTTTAGAAAAAATCTTTTATTTAATAAAAATAAAGTAATGTTGCAATGTCCAAGTACTGTCAGGTACCGTGCGCAGCTTCCGCGCATGCCACCACTGGGCCGTCAATTCGGGCACCTCCCACCAACAAATTTGGAATAAGTTAAAATAAAATGAAATTTAGTAGGTATCATAATAAAAAAAAAAAAAAAAAACTAAAAAATTAAAGACTCGACTGTTAGGCGGAACGAAGTTCGCCGGGTCAGCTAGTTATATATATATAAATAAATTTGTTAGATAAGTAATACAATATTGTATATGCAGTCATTACAAATAGAAAAGAACATTTAATAAATAAAACATAAATATATATGCAAACTTGCATGGACGACAAAATTCTTTATGTTACAAGAAATATAAAATTGTATTTATTCCTGTAATCCTTTTTACGAAGAGTCTAGCATTTTATCAAAAAATTTGGATTACAAAACGAGGAGAAATATATAGTTAACTTTATCATATCTCCTATATGTTCATTTTCAGATTAATCCTATATAAAGTTTTTTTTTGGTAAAAATTAATAGGCATTGTGGTCTTCGTTTTCTCTTACACACATTTCTTTTTAAAGTAAGTACACGACATTTTTGTTTCTAAAGATTTTTGTTACTAAACGCACGCTTAAATTAATTTGAATGAAGGGAGACTTTGTACAAAAATCGATTGCTTGGGTACCTTTGCCCCATTCGTGTTTCTACCGTGAAGCAGTTGTGTTTGCATGGCTGTGTTTCGGTTTGAAGGGTGTGATATGGCGTGAATTTACAAGGTACAGAGGAATAACATCTGAGTCCTCAGGAATGGCAACGCATGGGGGGTATCATGGAAACAGTATACTCTGTTATGTCTATGGCACTACTCATGTCCAAAGGCGACGGTTACCACTTTCCATCAGGTGGGCCGTCAGCTTGTTTGCCATTCTAAGTTGTATAAAAAAAAATT